TTTGTGCAGTGTATGTACTCACCATTGGCTATTTCTCTCTCTCTCTCGTTTTCTTTTTCCTATTTCTTTTTTTTTCCTATTTGTGTGCTGTCACCACACCAAAAAAGGCATCTTCATATTTTTTTTTAATCTTTTTATTTCATTCAATTTTACGGAAAAAGCCATCTTCATTTTTTACTCCTTAAGATTCTGTCTCCTCTCTTGACAACGGACCAGCGGTTTATAAAGTGCTTAATATTAAGATTAATTACAAGAATTAAACACACAGATTCATGTTTTGTTCTTCAATTCTCAAGTTCGTAATCCAGTTAATGACGACCATAAACCAATTAATGACCTACGGATTATAAAGTTCTTGACATAGTTTTTGGTGAAATTCGCCTATTGATTTAACAGACAAATTGTTTTCACAACAAAAATTACTACCACACAACTTTTGTGAGAAACGACAAGAATATTTAGATTCTTTTACGGGTTTTTTTTTTTGAATAATCAAAAAGGTTCTGAAAATATTTAGATTCTTAACGGCAGGAATATTTAGATTTTTAACGGTTTTTTGTCGTCGTTATAAATCATTTCAGCTTATGTTTTTGCCATAATGATACATGGCCGATCGGAACTCTTGGTCTTATATTAATTTATTTTATTTTATTTTGAATCTAATAATTTATAAGCACTAAGATTTTGTTTAGTGGATTGGAGGCTTTGTAATTTGCGCGGGGAATCTTTACGTGTCCTAACGATAACATGATGCACATAGGTGCATGCCAAGATGGACGACCAGCTTTGATGAACGAACATACAGATACAGCAATTCGTTATTTTTAACTTATTCTGTTACTATGTTTATGTGTGAACACATTGGTTTTATTACATGTTTTGTTTTAACTATCAGCAGCAATAAAAGGCTCAGAATCTTGATATATGTACATAGTATTTGTTTCTTGATTCGTTTTTTTTTTTTTTTACATATGACTATATGAGAAATCCAAAATCGTACATGACACTGGAAGAATCCAAACAACGTACATGTACGATGAAAATGACTTTGGTTGGTGAAAAGGAAATGATTTGTTATGTGGGATAGATTCCACATAGTTTTGTCATCTAATTAAAGATATAGTCATGGTTGTAAAGAACCAATATTTTTCTTTTTTTCTTTTTTCAGGTAGATGGTAAGACTTCATTTGCTCATTTTGATCACACATAACGAATCATTCGATTCAGTTACGAAGCTCACGAGCCACGTATGTTGGTTATATATGGCTTTCTGTACCGAGACATTCTTCTTAATCTTAATTGTGATTGGAATATTTTGGACCAACAAAGCGACTGATATCAAACATGTTTGAACACACACAACACAAACGTATATGTGATTTTTTTATCTAGTTGAATTTGGTGTATAGACATATAACTTGGTCTGACGTCTTGCTGACCTTACGTTTCACCTCTTTGCTTTGGTGAAGACTCAAAATAGCTAGAGCCTGAAGGGAATCCTACGTTACTGGACGGTACTTGTTTTTTGGATCATTGTTATATGTTTTAGCTGATTCCCAAAGCCTACTCTTAAGGGATTTGAATGACTCTTTCTATACTGAAGTTTAACTCTGTTTTGGTAATTTTAAAAGGGGTAGGAGTTGATGATAATCATGATACACGCTACCGTACAAAGCCATTAATCTCATTGGAACACTCTAGAGAGAACAAAACATTTTCCCGGGTTAGAAGTTTGTCCGGTTTATTCTACTACAGATATCAAAACGACAGCACCTGCTTCCACAAAATTAAGAACCATGACGTGATCTCGCTGTGTTCGTACTTTATCATCGCCAACTTCACGCCGTCTTAGTTTACCGGAAACGCAAAGTGGCTTTTTAAAAAGTTTTATCCAATGTATGACGTGGAAAGATTAAAGAGAATGCACTGCCACGTTTCACCAATAAATACTTGACACGTATCCAGCGAGTTTTCTTTTTTTCTCAATGATTAATTGATTACGCCATCGCTTACGTCATCCTTCTTTGTTTTTTTTGGGTTGGGGGCCTTGGGGTCGTCGTCAAAGTTATAAAAAAGGAAAAGTCGTAAATGGCATCGTCACTGAGTCTTTCGCACTATTTTAACCCCGTCAGTGACACTCCTTTCTTCTCAACTAAAATCCATTTCTCTTTCTTGTCGATTCTACCAACTTTTTCTCTTATTTCCGCAACTATGGCTTCATCTAAGAAGACGGTGAGTGTGGTTTCAATGTCACGAGATCATACTTTTCTCCATTTCCTCGTACGTAACGATATTGTTTTGGCGTCGTTAATTTATATAGGTTTTGATCCCTATTGCACACGGTACGGAGCCTCTAGAAGCGGTGGCGATGATCACCGTGTTGCGTCGAGGTGGTGCTGACGTGACGGTGGCTTCCGTCGAGACGCAGGTTGGCGTTGATGCTTGTCATGGCATCAAGATGGTCGCTGACACTCTTCTCTCTGATATTACCGACTCTGTTTTCGACCTCATTGTTCTCCCCGTAAGTCTCTATGTTATTTTAACACTTTCTTTGCGTGTAAATTTGAGAATTAAAGACATCAAATAAGTGGACTGATCAGTTATCAATGAGCTCAGTCTTAACTTAATTTTTACAGTGATGTTGATATATAATTCCTGCAAATAACGTTGGTTTTAAGATGTATCTATTGCAACTTTTGCTCTCTGAAACGACTTCATAGTTTCTTGATATTAATGGTTTCTGAAGGATTTGTGTTGCTGATAGCACTTTTTGGTTAAATATGAATGGTAAAAGGGAGGGCTTCCTGGCGGCGAGACTCTTAAAAACTGTAAACCTTTAGAGAACATGGTAAAGAAACAAGACTCCGATGGAAGACTTAACGCAGCTATCTGTTGTGCTCCTGCGTTGGCTCTTGGTACTTGGGGTCTACTTGAAGGCAAGAAAGTAAGTCCGAAGTGTGATCAGTATATAACCAAAAACGTTTATTTATCTTGTTTTCAGTTATTGTCTAATGTCTCGATATTACATGGGGTTTCTTGCAGGCAACAGGTTACCCTGTTTTTATGGAGAAACTTGCGGCTACTTGTGCCACTGCTGTTGAGTCAAGAGTGCAGATAGATGGAAGAATAGTGACTAGTAGAGGACCAGGAACCACCATTGAATTCTCTATCACGCTTATAGAGCAGTTATATGGGAAAGAGAAAGTTGATGAACTCTTAAGTATCTTGGTACGTTTTGTTTCTGCCACTTTGATTTTCCAACTTGGAAACAGACAGAGATTTTAGTGGAGCAGCTTAGTAATTATGCCATGGTACGTGTTCTAACTTTTTTTATCACCTCCTTTTAGACTTACCAGTTCTCCTTTTGAAATCAGCTGGTTCGTCCTAACCCTGGTGAAGAGTTTACTTTTACTGAGCTTAACCAAACAAACTGGTCATTCGAAGATACACCACAGGTAAATGTTCACTTGTTCCTTACCTATCCACTTGGTCCTTTAACACTTTGCCAAGAAAATCTCTGTTTGATCGTTATACAGATTCTTAGGACTACGCTGTGTTGTAATTTGTGAAGCTTTTGTATTTCTTGATCAACAGTCTTTTATGTGTCAGAAATATAATGTATTCCTTTTTTCAGATTCTCGTACCCATTACAGAGGAGTCAGAGGAAATTGAAGCTATTGCGCTTGTAGATATCCTGAGGCGGGCAAAAGCAAATGTTGTGATTGCTGCAATTGGTGATAGTTTGGAAGTTGTAGGATCTCGCCAAGCTAAGCTAGTAGCAGATGTGCTTCTTGATGAGGTTGCAGAGAAGTCGTTCGATCTGATTGTGTTGCCTGTGAGTAGTGCTACTTTCCAAAAGACAAGCACTTAAAAGTTTCAAAGAACGTTTTGAGATTCTTTGATGAGTAATAACCAACACATAATCGAACTTTTATGATGAACTACAGGGCGGTCTAAACGGCGCTCCAAGATTCGCGAGCTGCGAGAAACTGGTGAATATGTTAAAGAAACAGGCAGAAGCAAACAAACCATATGGAGGAATTTGTGCATCTCCTGCTTACGTCTTCGAGCCTAATGGTTTACTCAAGGTGCATAAATCAAAAACCAGAACTAGAATTGTAGTTTCAAGTCATTAAACTGAGATATAAGTATGACATGTTTTGTATAGGGTAAGAAGGCTACTACTCACCCAAGAGTGAGCGACAAACTTTCAGACCAGAGTCATATTGAGCACAGAGTCGTGGTTGATGGAAATGTTATAACGAGCAGAGCTCCAGGGACTGCGATGGAGTTTTCACTTGCGATTGTGGAGAAGTTTTACGGGAGAGAGAAAGCCCTTCAGCTCGCAAAGGCAACACTAGTGTGATTTTCAAACAATAACGTGCGAGAGTGACTTGAATAAAAAGAGAAGGCTTTGGCTTTAGCTTTAGTTATCTCTGCATCGGTGATGCGTTACTTTGTGAGATTTTAGCTAAGTGGTGGATGTATCATGTCCCATGTGTAACTTTATTACGTCTATAATAAATGAATAATCTCATTCTCCGATATTTTCTTTAAACCTCTGCAAGAGTAAGAGGTTTTGCTGGAGAGAAGATATTTAATATTTTAGGAAGAGATATTTTAGTCACACTTTTCACCAAATTCACCTTAACAATAACTATAAATTACGAATTTGCCACCATTTTTTTTGGCTTTGGTGTAATAGTTCTAATAATAACAGCAATATACTAAATTAGCGAAATACATAAAGATATTTCTATATCATTTTTAATTTTGTTTGAAATTCAAATAATGTCACTAACTTCTTAGCAAAAAAATGTGTTTATTAGCAAACTTAGGTTAACATTGAGGGGCAATTTTACAATTTTACTGCATCTGATAAGATCAAGGGGTATCACCGGAGATTTCGGTGTTGTTTGTTCGGTTATGAAATACCAAAAAGGCCCTCGAAACATATAATCTACTATTAAACCCTCACAAAACCCTTGATTTCATTTCTAACTTTATCTGCTTCCCTCACTCCTCCTCCCCCTCTAGGGTTTTATCTGCGAAACCCAATCGAGAGCTTTCCATGGCGACTCATACCATTTCTCGCTCTTTTCTTTGCCGACCTGTGAAATCTCTTTCGTTCCTGTTCACGAGATCCTTTGCTTCATCTGCTCCTCTAGCCAAATCTCCGGCTTCTTCTCTTTACACGTCGTCTCTGCTCAGCCGTTCCCGTCCTCTCGTCGCCGCCTTTTCCTCCGTTGTGCGTAATGGCCTCGTGTCCGTGAAAGGTTTGTCAACGCAGGCTACATCTTCTTCTCTCAACGATCCGAATCCCAACTGGTCGAATAGGCCACCCAAGGAGACGATCCTGCTCGATGGTTGCGATTTCGAGCACTGGCTTGTCGTCGTGGAGCCACCGGAGGGTGATCCTACTAGAGACGAAATCATTGACAGCTACATCAAAACCCTAGCTCAGATTGTTGGCAGGTAAATCCCGGATTCAATAGTCTCTTCATTTAGGGATAATTAAGTGAGAAATCCACTACCATATGATAGGATCTGTGTGTTTGCTTGGATTATTTTGGAGCTCTTATACGATATATCTCGTTTTTAACATTTCAGTGAAGAAGAAGCTAGGATGAAGATCTACTCGGTTTCAACTAGGTGCTACTATGCTTTTGGAGCCCTTGTATCTGAAGATCTTTCTCACAAGATTAAAGGTAAACCCTTGCCTTTTAATTTTCCCCATTGTATGTGTTAAAATCCCCCTTCTCATTTCTTTCTGTAACTCTCCAGAGTTGCCAAAGGTGCGCTGGGTTCTTCCTGATTCTTACTTGGATGTGAGGAACAAAGACTACGGAGGTAAGGCTTAGCGTGTTATAACTGTATCACAACATGAGGGGAGTTGCTTTGCTCGCCCATTATTTACGTTTGCTAGTCTGTTCCTAGTCTTTGCTCTGTGGACTCGTTACTTGCTCCATTTTATTGTGTTAGGTTGACACATAGGGCCGACTTCTATTCATAGTTAATTAACATTTCTGAAACTAAATTTGGGTGCATATGCTATAATTGATTAGTGATATCTATTATCAGACTGGTGTGGTAGAAGTGATGTTGCTTTGTGAGAGTTCTAATCTTTTGATGAGCCTATAAGAGTTAGTTTGATGGGGGTTATTTTTAAAAAATTGACTTTCAGGGGAACCATTCATTGATGGGAAGGCTGTTCCGTATGATCCTAAGTACCACGAGGAGTGGATAAGGAACAATGCTAGAGCAAATGAAAGAAACAGACGCAATGACCGTCCTCGCAACTTTGATAGAAGCAGAAACTTTGAGAGGAGAAGAGAGAACATGGCAGGAGGCCCTCCTCCTCAACGTCCCCCAATGGGAGGACCTCCTCCTCCTCCAATGGGAGGACCCCCACCTCCTCCACACATGGGTGGCTCTGCACCTCCTCCTCCACACATGGGGCAGAACTATGGACCTCCGAACAACATGGGAGGGCAAAGGCCTCCACCAAACTATGGAGGGGCACCACCACAAAACAACATGGGTGGACAGAGGCCACCACCAAACTATGGAGGAGCTCCACCAGCAAACAACATGGGACCTAACTATGGAGGAGGGCCACCACCAAACTACGGAGGAGCACCGCCACCAAACTACGGAGGAGCACCACCACCAAACTATGGAGGAGCACCGCCACCAAACTATGGAGGAGCACCACCACAGAACAACAACTACCAGCAGCAGAGTGGTGGAATGCAGCAGCCACAGTACCAGAACAACTATCCACCAAACAGGGATGGAAGCGGGAACCCCTACCAGGGTTGAAGTAGTTGAATCAGTCGTGGGATTCCTTTTTAATCAAGCATTCTGGGCTGTGTATAGATAATTTGAGGAAGAGAGAGAGAGAGAGAGAGAGAGAGAGAGAGAGAGAGAGTGCAATAGCAAGACTTAAAAACTCCTTTTATCTCGAGTGTTTATCAGTCCTGGTATTATGTGAGAGAAGAGCCAAAGTAACAGTGGCATGGTTGGTTAGAACTTTTTACCCTTGGTCCGTTTTGTTTTTCTTAGTTTATATTCTAAATCGGTGTTAGTGCTTCCTTTTGATATTTGTTCCTCCTAGGTCCTCTATTCTTCTTCTAAAACGCAGCACAGTTGATTATTTTTTGCGTCTTTGTTTTGGCTTCCCCAATCATGTTTATTGGCTGCTGATGAAGCTTGTGGATATCAAAAAACCAAAGAACGAAAAATGTCAGCATTTAGCTCACTACGAAGATCTATAGCGTCTCACTCTCATCTAATAATGATGCGTAACACGTCTTAGGGTACAGATCGGGACCGAGCCATATTCCCGAATACCCGAAAACATCAACACCCTAAGACATTTTGGATCGAGAGAGAGAAACCGGGTGCGAAGAATGCGAGAGTGAAAATATGAAATGAGCTTGCTACTGGGCTTTCTATTTGTTTCTTTTTTTATATTGCTCATCATTCTAAAATTCAGCCCAAACTGAATAAAAAATAAAAGCCTTGTGAGTTGCGTTATTTGGGGCAACTGACTGATTCATATTTCATACATAATTTGCTTTTATCTACCACATTTGTGCAGTAGGAGACGTATAAATTTAAATTTATTTACACATTACAGACAGATGAAAGTGTACTTGTACTGATATGATGGATGATGTTGGATCACGAGCCTTTCTGTCTTTATGACTTTTTATTTTTTACTTAACTCTGAATTGAATTGAATTGAATTGAATTGAGATGATGTCAACAGAAGTAAGAGAGTGAAAGCACGTCGTCATGTCCCTTCTCAATGTCTCACCTTTTTTATTTTTATTTTAATTTCATGTTCCTTCTCTTTTATTTTTTATTTTTTATTTTTTGTATACAGTAAAAAAAAAACTAAAGTGGCAATATAAATATATCAAATGTAGGATATTTCGATATTTTGTTTTAAATTTGACCATCGATTTTTTCGTATTAGCAATGTGTGTTTAGTGTATTGTGTGTTTTCTTCATCTCTATCTATTTTGTGATATTACACAACAACAACAAAAAATATTGAGTAGTAAATGAAATTAGAGACCCTAGGAAAGTGACAAATTAATATCGAAGAAAACAAAATAATTTTTGATAGTGAATGGACATAAGGATGTTTACTATTTTTATTCATGAGAAAAGAAAAAAAAATGTTTTCCTTTTTGTGAGAAATGAGAATAAAGGAAACATAGAGACAACTGATTTTATACAACAACTGATCCGATTTGTACTACTATCATAGATGTAATATATATAACATACGACACAAAAAAAAAAAAAAAAAACACGAATTTGCCAGTAAAAAGGGGTAAAACCGTGATTTTAACGATAACCAGAGGGTAAAGTAGTATAGGTCAATGTTCAAGTGTGGTGCCATTTGATGTATGTGTCGCCGCGTCATCGTCATGAGAACTCATGTCCTACGTGTCTCTTTTCTCTCTCTCTCTTTAACTTATCGATGAGTTTTTTTTTTTTTTTTTTTTTTCATGTTCACTTCTTTTAATAATTGTTTAAGACCTAATCAAATTAGTCTTAATTGGTACGACTTAAAAGTCTTAAAACCAATACATTCATCCATATTAACATAGTATAAAGCTGTCGAACAATGTGAAGAAGACCTAATCAAATTGGTATCATAATTTTTTTGCTAATTATGTTTGTCAGAGTTTTACACAATATAGGGGAGAAATAAGGATAGTATCATAGTAGTGGCATGGTCACTGATCAGCTTTATATAGCCAATATAGACTATATAGTGCCTATAATAATCTAACTTACACTATATATATATATATATATCCACTGTTGTGAGGTGTAAAGTATTGATCTTATACGTCGTTAGGAAAAATCCAATTAACACCTAAAGTAGTCCGAGCACAACAAAAATTAATACTGTATAGTTAAAAAAAATATATATATACATCAAGTGGTCGAATATTTACAAGTTCACATGAAAATGAAATCGTAAATCTTAGTTCTAACAAAAATAGTTCATACATACTAGTACTTGCCTAGCCTAGTTGGCCATATTGTCAACTATTTTGGTGATCAAAAAAATACTCAAAACCTGACGTTACTAATCAATGGTATTATTCAAATAAACCATTGGCGTTATTGAGCTTAATTATTGCTTGCATTTCGAACTAATTCCCATAATTAAAATTTTATTAAACCTATCGCAATCATTCTATTTTGTAGTGTTGCGAATCGTGACCGTGATTCCAAGTGGTAGCTACTTTGTGTGTGTTTACAGTTAATTTAATATGCAACCGTGGGGTGACATATATACTCTTTTTCTCTACTAAACAACATATTTTAATGTTTAAAATACTACTCATACATAATTTGTTTATGTTTGATCAATTATTTAATATGTTCGTATTAGGTTTGTCAATTGGCCCTTTTTATATAATGCTAAATATGTCGCTTTCTTATTTATTATTCCATTCAAAAAGTAGGTGGTTTGATTGTTTATAATATACAGACGAAATACAAGTTCAAAACTATCAAATAATGCCGCATAATTGAATTTTCAAGTAGAAAAAGAAAAACAGATTGAACTACTTGAAGTTTTGCGTTAGCTTACCGTACGTGTGTTCAAATTTAATATGCTACAAAATTGTGTGAACAACATAATATAGAGGTTTGTTGTATTTATTCGTTTTTTTTCACCAATATGGAGATATTTTTGTGTGTACATAACAAGAATATATTCCATACATGAAGAAGTTGTGCGAGAGTTATAGTCAATTGGTTGGGATTCAAGAAGCATTATAGAGTCCCACCAATTATTTTTTTGAGCTTGAGAAATTCTCAAAGATCTTAGAAAATATCTCTCCGTTGAAGCTTAGATTGTCTTTTACTCTCCCCCCTTTATTAGTTTTATATTTATACATCTTATATATATTCTTTGAGATTTATAAAGTACCTTTTCTATATGAATTTCGGGTGATATGCACGATATGGTGAAAAAGAATTACTTCGACAAGTCAAATGGAAAAGAATATTAGGAATTGGATTTTGGAACAATGAATATAAGACGTGATTTTGTAAAAAAGACATCAAGAAAGAAAAGCTCATAAGAAAAACAAAATCTTAGGCTAAATAGACTAATATAAAGACCCACCCCTAATTGTGTTGTTAACTTATATTATATTCTTCTTTGATCAAGTTCGATATTTTCCGAATAAAAATCTGCTTTAGTTAACTATTGAGATTCTTGCAACACAAAAAGGTGTAGGTAGAGAAGAGTGGAGCATCAATAAGCTTTATGTATAGCATTTTCCATACTAGTAGTATGGGTCAACCCTCAAAAAAGAAAAATAAAAACTGATGAGAAGCACAAAAGGTTGAATTGAACCCTTGACCCAGCTTACACCATAGGTTTTTTTTTTCAGGGTATTTATTTATTTATTGAATTTTGGAAACTCGAAAATGAAAGTAGATATCTAGTTCCATCCAGTAAGAAGTTTCAACTTTTATAATAAGTACGTGATTATGATGCGCTGCTGACATATAGTTTGATGGTTTTGTTCACTGTGTTACGAGATTTGAATTTATGTTCATAAACTTTCATATGTGATCGAATTGCAAATATGACAAAACTCGAGACACGACATATCTTATTTAGGTAGTATGTGTTTAAGACATGCATGTGTGATTATGTATGTGGACATGTCCACGAAAAGAATAATGTCCATTTGTCATATCAAATAGGTAACTACTGTGACCAAACATGATTTCTCATGAGAGTATATGTTTTAAGATTTTAACACATCTTATTATTTCCTAGTATATAGTATAATACAACACTAAATTGATCCGTTCAAATGTATTGTATCAGAAAAATAACATAATGGTAACATGCACTTTTTATACTTTGGGTAACAAAATTTGGTTTTGGAAACATCCAAGTCTAAGAGCTTCCTAAGGGAGCACTATTTTCTGAAAATTAGATTTTGTTTGCAGTCTGCAGTTCATTTTTATTTGTATGTTAATTATGTATATGGTTGTATTTTGGAGTGTTACATCTTCATATTAAATTAAACATGAGCAAAGTGAAACATGAACAGTTAACTGTTTTTTTTTTTTTTAACTGTGAAAACCTTATAAAATATATACATATAAGAATGGAAAAAATGAATTAATTTGGGAAATGACTAAGCTTTGATTTCCCAAAAAAGAAAGAAAGTAAATAAAATAAAACGACAAAAAAAAAATGAATGTGGGAACTACTTGGAAGTGAACGAGAGATTCTTTAACGAGAAGAAAAAAAAAAGAACTGTGTTAACTTACTAACTTACCCTACCCAGTTGCGTCATCATCATCAACTCCACACACTCTCCTCTTCACTTTTACTTTTTCCTTATTACCATTCTCTTCTTTTAAACATTTTCCCGAGAAAATAAAATAAGAAAAGAAAAAAGCTTTCTCTGGTTTTTTTTCTTTCTTGATTGGTCAATTTACACATCTCCCTTTCCTCCTCTTCTCTTCTCTCTCTCTCTCTCACATCGCTTGCCTTTGCTTCATTTCATCTCTTTGGTCTCCTTCTTGCGTTTTCTAATTCACTTACACAGACCAAACAAGAGAAAGTGTGACTTTAACCATTAGAATATATATTAAAAAAGAGATTTTTCAGATATGGGTTAGTCTCCACTATTCATAAAACCTCTGCTTCTTCTTCTTCTTCTTCTTTCTTAGGATTGTGTGTTAGCTATATCCTTCTCTGGTTCTTTAGGGTTAGGGTTTTTAGGTGAGGGTTTGAGCAAGTATGCGGGAGTTACATCCTCTTTGAGTTACTCTGGATTCCTCACCCTCTAACGACGACCACCGTAGCCGCCGCCGCCGCCTCGACGAATTACAACACTCTGAGCTTCCTCAATATGCTCAATCCATGGCTGGCGAATTCCTCCACCCGCCGCCTCCTTCTTCAATGAGGCACCGCTCTACGTCCGAGGCGGCTGACGGCGGATGCGGCGAGATTGTGGAGGTTCAAGGTGGTCACATTGTTCGGTCCACCGGGAGGAAAGATCGGCACAGCAAAGTCTGCACGGCCAAAGGACCACGTGACCGGCGCGTGAGGCTCTCTGCTCACACGGCGATTCAGTTCTACGATGTTCAAGACCGCCTTGGCTTCGACCGGCCTAGCAAAGCCGTTGATTGGCTTATCAAAAAGGCTAAGACTTCCATTGACGAGCTCGCTGAGCTTCCTCCCTGGAATCCCGCCGATGCTATTCGCCTAGCAGCTGCTAACGCTAAACCCAGAAGAACCTCCGCCAAAACCCAAATCTCCCCGCCTCAGCAGCAACAGCCACAGCTTCAGTTCGGTGTTGGCTTCGACGGAGGAGGAACAGAGCATCCCACTAACAACGACAACGACTCGAGTTTTCTTCCGCCGTCTATGGATTCAGATTCGATTGCTGACACTATAAAGTCGTTTTTTCCGGTGGTTGGTTCTTCGACGGAGGCTCCTCAGAATCATCAGCTTATTCACAACTACCATCATCCGCCGGATTTGCTTTCTCGAACTAATAGCCAAAACCAAGATCTCCGTCTCTCGCTGCACTCGTTCCCGGATGGTCCACCGTCGCTTCTCCACCACCACAACCACACCTCTGCTTCCGCCTCCGAACCTGCTCTGTTCTACGGACAGAGCAATCCGTTAGGGTTTGACACACCGAGTTCGGTGAGTTGGGAGCAGCAGTCATCGGAATTCGGAAGAATTCAGAGACTAGTGGCTTGGAACAGCGGAGCAACCGATACAGGAAACGGAGGAGGGTTTCTATTCGCTCCTCCTCCGTCGTTTCAGCCAGTCCTTGGCCAAAGCCAGCAGCTTTATTCTCAGAGGGGTCCCCTTCAGTCCAGTTACAGTCCCATGATCCGTGCTTGGTTTGATCCTCACCAACATCATCAGTCCATCTCCACCGACGATCTCAACCACCACCATCACCTTCCTCCGCCGGTTCACCAATCAGCAATCCCCGGAATCGGATTTGCCTCCGGTGAATTCTCTTCCGGTTTTCGCATACCAGCACGGTTTCAGGGACAAGAAGAGGAGCAGCACGACGGTCTCAACCACAAGCCGTCCTCCGCTTCCTCTATTTCTCGCCATTGACAATTGAAAACAAGTCCTCTCTCATTCCAGGTTATTCCAAAGCTCTGTCCTTTTTACATCACATTCAGTGTTTCTGTAGTTCTTTGGTCACTGAACTTAAAAACCATTTTGCAGGGCTCGTCAAGCTTCCATGCACCATTGAAGCTTGACTTAGATTGTTCGGAACAGGGAAGGCGTTCTCAGTCAATGGCCTGAAAACAAGAAACGCAAGGAAAGGATGAAAGAGAAGAAGAAGGAGGAGGACCAGTGTAACCCACAATTTCAGGTTCTTCGTTTTCTTCTTCTTCCAATATCCTGACCTTGCCATTTGTAATTTTTCATCTTTTTTCACCAGTTAGACCAACGTTCTGTAGCTTCAGTTGGTGTTAGATTCCAAAGTTTGCTTCTTGTTGTGTTATGTTTTTGTATCATCATCATCATCCTATTGTTACTGCAATAACTAGATACTTGAGAAATTGCAGTTCCCTGTTCTTGTTTGTATAACATGGATGTTTCTAATAAAGTCTTAAACTTCCTCTTTTACTGCTTTCCTCAGAATAGGTAAATTGCTCTGTTCAAGTTAGTATTAAACAAGATGAGCCTGGGTGGGTTGATTCCAATTTCTTTCTCTCAGAGACTCAAAACGTAATCCTTTTGGTCCCAATAGATATAAGTTGGTCATTTTCCATGAACAGTAAGTTTTGAATTGTTTCTTCTTCTGGAACATCAGGGGGGTTTAGCCAGTTCCCTTAAATTACAAGTGAAACTTTCCTCACAAGAGTAAAAAATATATGATATATGTTTTATATGTCTGATGTCAATAATTGTTCTCTCTCACCTACTTTAGTGGTAGGAGGAGATCCACCAAACTTGAATGTGATGTTGTCTTTGATGAGTAAAAGAATGGGGACATGAGATAGGTATAGAGAGCCACCCATGTTGGTCTAAATGAAGGAAGTTGATCAATACCAGTCTATCTTCTTTCTCTTTACACATTAATAATGAAATTTTTGCAAAGTTTAAGTAAAAAAAACCTGGGGTCTAAATGCATGTGTATTTAGTATTTACCTTAATACAACCTCCTTTAACTATTAGAATATATATAACTTTACCTTTTTGTTAATAGAAAAGTAACACCTTTTCATGTGATGTAATAAAAACACACCAGATGAATGTGTTGAGATATCATAAAAGTACGTTACACTTACACGCAAAAGATAGAAAGGGAATCTTCTTCTTCGATTTAAGGTCTATCATGAGTCATGATTCATGACACATCCAATGTACCGTTTTATTCTGTCTTTTATTTCGTTTGTCAACTGATAATAATGATCATCAAGCTCGTTCTATAAGACAGTTGTTGCAGTTTAAAACGTTTCTCATTTATCCTCAAAAATATCTAATGGGTTGGGATTGGATTATAAAGAAGATGAAACCAAAGTTGTAAAAGAGCTGTCGCTTTAACAATGGTCCCCTCTCTCACTCTTGTAAGATCTCCATGCTTTTTTCATAAGATCCAGTTAAAAATAAAAAAAAAGTCACAGCCTTTTAACACTCTTGACATGTCCATAAATAAATTGCATGTATACGATTTGAAAGGTGCAAATATTGCAAAAAGAGAAACACAATAAAAGCTCAAAAGGTGAGGCATTTTCTCTTTAGAGATTAACCAATTTTGGATAATAGGATCAGTGTCAACCTCAGCGATTCATATGTAATAACTTTCATGGCTCGAATAATGCAAAGACCTTTCTAAGACTTGTCATTAAGGGCTGCATAAATGTGAAACTTAAACCTCAAAACAAATCTAACGCTCTCTACCTCAAAAAACATCAACATGTGAAGCATGAAGCCAAACTATAAACATGTGGAATCACATCAGTCTCTTTGATATGAAGTAACAAATCGTCTAATGTAGACAACATATATGAACATACACATTGACAAGTTTGTGTGGACAAACAAGGGATAAAGAAGTTCATCGATTGGGATAACAAATTAAAGAATGGTCTTTCTGAATAGTAAAAGAGAAAAAAAAACTCAATCTATGAAACCGGTTCTTCTGAAAACAGCATTCCTTACCTGCCTGAGATCTCTCCCTTTAAGTGTCCTTCCTGCTCCTTCAAGCACAGAGCAAGATAACAACGAAGACTGAGCCAAAGACCGAGCTACAATCTCGTGAGGCGGAAGCATTTCGCCTTCCTCTTCTTCCTCCTCATCATCATCCACCACATCAGTCAGCTTGAATTCCTTCTTATGGCGATTCATCATCGCCGAAGACATTAAGGGCACTTGAACCGGAGCTGATTGAGGATACTTCCCACCACCTATACAAGAAGCTGCAAAGGGAAGCCTCTCTTGAGGCGGTTTAGGCGCTGCTGGGATAGCTCGAGAAGAAGACGAAGAAGCAGCTGATGCACCACCACCAGAAGAAGACGATGAAGAAGCTGTGGAGGAGACAGAAGTGGAGAGAACAGCCGCAGGCTTATGGTGAAAGACATGGCTCAAGTAACTGCTGTTTCCAGAGGATTCAGGAAGAGCCGCAAGGATACCAGAAGCTTCCACGTTTTTCAAACCGCTCTTGCTCCTCTGAAGCTGGCGAGCAGGATGATGATGTTGCCCCGGAGACGATACGGGAGAATGACGAGACGGCGCGTGAGATATGTCCATTGCAAAGATGTCGTCTTCATTCAGCTCACCGTCTGCAGAGGCCGAGACGGTGGCTAACGAAGGTGAGGGGATATCGATGATTCGTGTGCTTTTGTTCATTTTCTTAAAACTCTTGAGATCTGCGAATCAGAGCAAATCGGGTTGAATCGACAAACGAAGAAGAGTCTTCACCCACCCACCAAAGAAAGATTAGATTTTTTCAACGACCTGAAAATAAAAGTGTAGAGTTTGGAATTTAGATCCATCCATTTTAAGAAAAACGTTTCGAATTCGGATTTTTCAATTTCTGGGTAAAAAAGAAACAAAACAAGGGGTCGTTGTCAATCAAATCATTCAAGAGATGTACTCAAAGAGCTCAATCATAACCACAATAAATTCAGAACCTTTCACGTGAACAAGATAATTAGGTCGTTTTTCTTCTTTCCAGAATTTATGAAATTGCAGCAAATACGAAGGTCGATCCAATTTAAAGAAGTCGAAATTAAAGACAAGAATGAGTTTCAGAATCGAGAACAAGAAAGGAATCAAAATTACCTCAACTCTTGGAAGAAATATTAAGACAGCAGCTAATCAGATGCACGGAACCAGCTAAGCGATCTTAAAATCTGTAGCGACACAGAGAGAGAGAGAGAGAAAGAAAGAAAGAGACCAAAAACAAAGAAGACCTGAATGACATTTTTTTTAGAATTTGGCATCCGTTCAATACGTCACCGTTTTCGATAACTTAGAAGCCCACTAGAGTAGGCCCAAATTAGACTAATGTGTAAAGAACTTGGTAAGAAAAACTCAAAAGAGTTGTATACAAAAAATAAACCGCCAATTTAATAAACACAATCCATTAAGAAATCAAACGAGACAATTTTTATATGTAAAAATCGAACTCATCCGGAACCAGGCTTTTTGAATTTTTTTACTTCCTTGGTGGTTGGCAAACCAGGTTTGGTCTTTGTCACATTGGGTGGTAATTTCTCCGGTTTCTTAGCTGGTTTGATCGGTTTACTAACGTGGCATTGAGCCCTAATCTCCCAAGGTCGAGCCGCGATCCACCGTTCTTTCCAACTCCATCCCCAGCTTTCTGTACCTAGGTTAAAGGAAGCTTGACCTAGATACTGTGTAGCATTAGCCCTCCACTGCAAAATACAAAAAGACAGACATTTACTTGATCTACAAGTTATCTAAATTTACAAACCAAACAACCAATGTAAGTTGAAGTCTCAGTTTCATTGACCTGGTGAGAGAAAGCATAAGCCATTGCTCGTTCTCGCTTCACCGTCGCTTCTTCTTTCTGTTGGATCTTTGCTAGAATATCTTCCATTGTTTCAGAACCTCCACACCATTCAACTTCTAGCTCTTGAAGCTTGATCTCCAGCTTCAACCGGTTCTCCAATCTTTTGTGCTGGAGTCTACCTTGTGTCACCATATACAAACGTCTTTCTCTGATCTGACTCTGTATATCGCACCAAGAATGCATCACTTTGAGTGCAGTCGAAGTTTGGTTCCTCAGTGTATGGCCTTGGATCAGCGAGTTAAACCTCCTCGCGCTCATCAAGCTGCATAGTCTTTTCCTCGCCTGCAGATCAGATTCGCAACACCAATAAAAAAAAAAAAGTGAAGCGGTGAATCAGTTTTCAGATAGTGGAAAATGACAGACCTTGAATGCTCGAAAAGCCTTTTGAATGCGAATAACAGCGACCTCTGCGGTGAGGTTCGTGGAAGCAGAGGTTGATCCAACCGGTTTGACACGGTTTGATGTTTCAGAAAGTACCTAGAAAGAACATCTTTGAAGTCATTTAGGACAAGAAAAGAAAGAGAATGAAACAGAGTTTTTTTTATTTCTTTCTACTAACGTTGCCTCGTTTTGATTTGTTTATCTTCGGTCTGCTTAGACAGATGACAAAGCGGAGCAACCATCCAGATCCCATGAGTAATGTTAAAAGAAGATTATTATCACATAATCTGGCGGAATATTTAATAAGATTATGATGTGTTCTTTGTTTGAAGGCACAAGAAGGTTTAATGTGGAGTGGTTTTGAAGTAAATGAGAGAGAGAAGGAGAGTTGAAGCTTCGCTCTCTCTGTGGTGATTGACATTTCAACCAATGGAGAAGTTGTTGTTTGATGTTTTCTTCAAATTCAAAGTGGAAGGTGGGATGAGTTTTGCAAAAAATATTAAGGGATGCGAATGGTCCCGGCGGGGCTCGAACCCGCGACCTTCGGCTCATAAGACCAACGCTCTAACCAACTGAGCTACGGGACCTACTTGAAATTTTTTGTTCCATAATTGAATTTGGCTTTTCTTAGAATATCCATTCATGTATCCAAAAAACTCGAATAGTTTGATCTACCTGAATTGTGGACAACTGGCTTTTCTCACAATATCTCAATCCGGTCCACACTACTTGACTGGTATCTTAAGTTGCTTGAGGTAATGAGGTTATCCAGAATCGGGGATCTTTACATTCTTACTTCTTCGGCTTTTCTCAGCCTTTTCACTCGTAGGTAATGAGGCCACTTTCACAATCCACAAACCAACCGCAAGGTCTGATGTATGTCTTGGACTATTAAGTATGATAAAGATATTATTAATCAGATGTAAATACTGTTATCTTTGCGCCAAATATTAACGAACGAATATACCATTGTAAAAACTCCGACCCGAATAATTGGATTCGGATCCAACCCGACCCGTATGAAGATCTGCGCAAATGTTTTTCATCCATTTAAATCTCTCTTCTTCTTCCTGTGCGTTTCTTCTTCCTCCGTTCGCCAGACGCCAGTACACGTATCCATACCGATACCGGTTTACCTGTAAATCTCCTCCGATCGGAGAAAGCCTTTCACAATGGCGGCGTATAGAGCTGACGATGATTACGATTTCCTCTACAAGGTGGTACTGATTGGTGATTCCGGCGTCGGCAAATCCAACCTGCTCTCCCGATTCACGCGCAACGAGTTCAGCCTCGAGTCTAAATCCACCATCGGTGTCGAATTCGCCACCCGAAGCATTCATGTCGATGAAAAAATCGTCAAGGCTCAGATTTGGGACACCGCCGGTCAGGAGAGGTATTTTGTTTTCCACATTTTACATACAAATTCCCCAGAAATGAATGATTCTGTGACTCTCCTCTTCGTCCAATTTTATCGATGGTGTTAAGTTAACCTAATCGAAACATTTGTGGGATACAACACTTGAGCTTTTTTGAACGTTCATGAGAATCTAAGGAAAGAAGAACTGATAGGGAAAAGTTTCATGATGATCCGTGTGTAAAATCTGTATAGTTGGGTGCAGATTCCGAAGAAGCAACAATGTTAAATTTTTGTGTTGTTGTTTTGCTTAGATACCGAGCAATCACAAGCGCTTACTACCGAGGAGCTGTTGGGGCTTTGCTTGTCTATGATGTTACGAGGCATGTGACATTTGAGAACGTTGAGAGATGGTTGAAGGAGCTTAGAGACCACACAGACGCTAACATTGTGATCATGCTTGTTGGGAACAAGGCGGATCTACGTCACCTAAGAGCTGTTTCAACCGAAGATGCCAAAGCCTTTGCAGAGCGAGAGAACACTTTCTTTATGGAGACGTCTGCACTCGAAGCACTCAACGTCGAGAATGCTTTCACTGAGGTACTCTCTCAAATATACCGTGTGGCAAGCAAGAAAGCACTCGATATTGGAGATGATCCGGCTACTCTTCCTAAAGGACAGAGTATTAATGTCGGGTCTAAGGACGATGTTTCTGAAGTCAAGAAGGTCGGATGCTGCTCCAGTTGATCTCTCTCTCTATCCAGCCATTTTGTCCGGTACCATTTGTTTCTTAGGAAACTTATACAGTTTCATTATCTATTGAAGTAACATTTGTTTCTTTTCCTTCTTTTGGTGTAAGTTTTTCAGATCCTCTTTATGTTTCCACTATTTTTTCAAAATCATATTCGAGAATCTATAAACAAAACAGAAAGATGTTTTAGATGAAAAATGTAAAAGAAGTTTCAGAGCATTAACCAAAATGTATATAATAAACCAAAGAAGCCTGTACAGTTTTTATAGTCACTAAGCCAATCTCAGCTCTAGACTGTCACAAATTATGTGCACAAAAGTACAAATTTACAGAATCTGGGGCTGAAACTTACCCTAACTCTGTTGATCTCTCTTATAAAACCAATAGATAAAAGCGAGTCTAAATAACCATCTCGGTAACCTCTCTTAGTTTGAATCCGCAGTAACCTCTTCTCCTATACTACTTAACCGTAGCTTCTTCTTCTCCGTGACCAGAGCCTCTGCTTTGCAGATTGGGCACACGTTCTTGATAACCAACCACTTCTGCAAGCATTCTGTGTGGTACAAGTGCATGCAATCTAGCGTTGCGATCTTATCCTGGTTCTTGTAGTTTTCCTGTCAATTTCCCATTTTAAAAACAGATATTTTTATTACTAAGATAGTGAGTGTGAATCTTGAATGTTTGCATGAGCTTGAAGGATGCAGACTCAAGATTTTCAAGTCCTTACCTGGCATATTGTGCAAGAATCTTCTTCTAGATCGGTAGATGGAGCTTCTTCCAGGTTGATTCTGGTCGCTAATGAGGTTCTTCTTTTCAGAAGATTTTTAACATCTTCTTCCGACAAGCCAGTCTTCACAGTTCCAATCTGGTCGCTCAAAGCAAGAAGCTCCTGCGCCATCCAGGTTTTAATTGTCATCAGTAAGACAAACCAATGTGAATTCAATAAACACCTATATGATGAAGAGTAAAGTGGACCATTTGAATTATGTGGCTTAAGGACTAACCTCATATGACATGTCCTCTATATCTAAGCGCATAGCTTGATGATGATCGACATAGTTAACATCATCGTAGAAGTCTCCTACCTCCCAAAGTGCAACTTCCTACACATGAAAAGAGAAAAAAGAAAGCCATAATTGGAAAGTGAACCCTATTTTGAACAAACTGATTCTAGAAGATGAAAAATGTGCTCAAGAGGATAATACATCTGTGGGAATTCCTCTTAGGTGAGGCATTTCACGGTGTCTTAGTATTGCTGCAGCTACAAAATCTTCTCGGGGATGTTCTTGGTTTATTCTGGATCCAATTGATTGAAGGGGTCCCATATGACTGTATGAAGTAGCATGCATAGCCTCAGTGTATGGGGCTGAAGGCATGTGAGGGTACACAATGGCAGGAGGAGGTAGCGGGTGATGGCTAATATAGTGGCTCCTCGGGTATACAGATGGTGTGGGGTTTCTGCTACTAGATGTTTCAGGGTATCTTGGGAAGTAGACATTACCAGAGTCTATGGACCCAGTGCCTAAGAGATCATTCAAAAAGAAGAATAAAATTTTCAAGAACTTGCATAATGACAAATCTCAATGCTGAGAATAAGGATAGTACCAGGCATGTGAGGTGCAGAGGGTGCTTGGGACCAATGCGAAGACGATCCATCAGATCTGATGCCATTACAGTACTGGTCATACCAGATTGAGCCAGGAGGTGGAAAAGGATGAGCTGCATAATTTCCTTGAATGAAATTGTTATGACCATGAGAGAGAAGTGGATCCATTGTAGCTGCTCCTGCTCTGTTCCTCACACTTCTCTGATCTAGTACTTGTGGATAACTACCAAACTGTGGGAATGAGATAGGTGCTGTCTCCGGTGTATTCAACTGAAGGAAAGAACAAGGAGGTGCTGCTGCTGGATACTGAGAAGTTCCAGGTGGTATTACTTCAGAACTTTTTCTTTTGTATCCGTGATCCATAAAGTGGGCATTTCTCTCATGTTCGGCGGAAGTAAATCCATCAACTGCACCATAACTTCCATGAGACATCATATAACTCGGTGGAGCTTCAAAATTCACGTAAGGGGGATAAAAATTTGGTGCGGTTGGCATGCCAGAACTAAGATTTGAAGCATGTTGATGATGGTACTGTGGAGGCCCGTAGAGCATTGAGTTGTTGTCAAAAGGTTCTTGCAGAGAATGCGCTTCTAAATGAGGAGCTGTGTTCACGGGTGGGATATCAGGATACAGAAAGTTAGTTCCAATGCAAGGTTCAGGATGACCGACAAAGCTTTGAGAATTCGGCTCCATGTCTAAACCAGTCATCATATTTCTGCGTCTCATATTGCTTGTCGCAGAAACCCCCTGGTAGTTGAATTAACACAAAGATCAGCAACAGTACAGAGAAAGATCAAGTAAAGTTCACCCACAAAGACAGCAAAGACTCGATGTTATCAAACCGTAAGCTGATTCTAGCTAGTGATTTTTGTCAACAAGCACACCTATAATCTCAAATTTTTAATATCTAGTAAGGAAATCAAAACATACGACGAGTAAAAAACTCTCCACCAGTTTTGTTCCGGTGAATGCAACACACTAAGTCTCAAAAACATTCCAAATTTTTTTGCGTCAAGTAATGGAACCACAAAAGAAACAGTATCCTTAGAAAGCATATTAAACATTCAAGCTTCACCGATACAATGCAGAGTATGAAACATTAAGCTGCAGAGATCAAACCCAATTCAGAAAGCAAGAAGACCTGCCTACTTCAAATCCCAAACACAAAAAAAAGTATATCCTGCAAACACTGGTTTCGTAAAAAAATCAACATTCCTATGACCAAAAAAAAAAGCTATGATTTATAGGAGGAAACAAGCCACCTTGCCAGACATGACTAACCAAAACTAGATCAAACCCAATTCACAAAACATAAGAACAAGTGAATTATAGGAGCTCCTGACCTTGCTAGGATCAAATTCTGTAGCTCCGAAGATTTTCAGGAAAAAAAATAAAAACACTTAAATTTCGTATAATCGGAAGCTCCCCTGTAACCCAAAAACAGAGGTTACGATAATAACAACAAACCTAGATGATCAAAATACATAAAACCCAAATTAAAAGTAACCAATATACAATGCAAATCTTCAGGAAAGCTCGTATACGAAACAATTCCCAAAAGATAATCAGCGAAACAAAAACCAATGAGCCAAAACGACCAAAGAATTCAGAATCAAAAACTCGAGGAGAATCGTGATGAAGATCATAAGAGATAAGTACCTGAATAATCGAGAATTAATCAGGGGGAGAGAGAGAGATCCAACAACAAGAGAAGATGATGAAAGATGAAAGATGAAGGAGACGTCGGTTTTCTTAGTTTCTAATTTATTTTCCTCACGCTGACGGAAGGTTATATTTATTTTCCTCTTCCTCCCAATTTTATTTATTTATTCTCTTCTGCTTATCTTTCCTTTTTTTTTCTTTTTAATTAATTTACTATTTTGCTATATAAAAAAAAAAATTCATCGGTTTCTGACAGCAAATACTTTTTTTCTTTTTAGTTAGTTCTAAAGTAAAAAAATAATAATCAATATGCCTAAAAATTAGAACGACGTCGTAAAAGAATGCAAAAATGATTTGCTTTAATTAATTAACATATAATCCTTTTAATTTCCCATCTACTGTAATTAACTACCACATTCAAATAACAGGATCGCTTTTGTCTGGTATCAAAGCATTCCATTGAAATTTAACAAGAATAACAAGCATGCCCCATTAGCATATCCTTTGATTTAATGAATATATGCTTCTACTATTACCAACAACTTAGTCAACAAAAATCTACCGCGTTTAATCTTCTTTAATGTAGGGTGGTATTAAAAAAAAAAAAAAAAAAAGGAAAACGTTGACAAACAGAAAAATTAGACAAAACTAGAACTAGATGCAATAAATCAGTGATCTGATTAATGCAGAACAACATAACAAAACAATTGAGTTACTGTATGTAAGAACAATGTAATTAGTAAACAATTTAACAATTTAAAGAGTTACAAATATCGGTTTCCAGTTTCGAGATGTAGTGTTGTGTTGGAGAATAGATGTAGATCGATCATCAACGTTGAAATGTAGTGTTGATGTTTCGCATCAATCCATCAGAAATATAATACGTTTTCTTACAAGTTTATAGTATCATCTTCCATTCATTCCATGTGTCATGAATCCTTTTTGCAGACGGAACACAACAATTGAATCCGAGGAGGCAAGTAACATATGATGCGAATAATAGAATATTTATATAGGGGAGGTGCTTCCCATGTGCTTTTCTTTCTTTTTTTTTTGTTTGTTTTGGTTGAACCACCATGTCACCTAATTACGCCCAATTTTATCATTTCATTTCAGTCTCTGTTTATGCTATGAAAGGACATTACTATATAAAAAAAATACAACCATATCTTCTTAACTTAGCTTTAAAAATATAAAATTAATACCAAAATCTAATCAAAGCAAAAATTAATATTAGGAGAAAACGCACCGTTTTGTATTGTCTTAAACCTTGCTTTCTCGACTTTTGAGCAGCTGAGCCGCTTCTTCGTGTTTCTCAGCAATTTTTCCAAACGACCGGTGAACTCAAAAGATGGGTTCTGAGCTGAAGAGAAAGCAGAAGACGAAGATAAATAATAAACCTGTTCAGTTGAACCCTAATTGGTCACTCCTCCAACAAGTTAGTCATTATTTATTTCTCTTACCTTTCTCCTAATCTTATTCCAGATTTCTCTGTTCAGCCATTGAATTTTTTTGTTTCTCTGGGTTTTGTAATCGTCCTTGCAGAAGCTGAAATCTGATTCTCACGGAAACACTCGAAAATCGTTTAGTAATGGCAACCCAGATAATCCCAGCTCCATATTAGGTTAGCATTCAACCTAAAAAAATTCGAACTTGAGGTTTTGGGTTTAGGGGTTTATAGATCATGTTTTGGTTTCTCAGTTGTTCTAACTTACACAGCAAACTTGCAGGGAAGCGGAAAGATAGACCCGATTCGGAGGTTGAAGTTCCTAAGATCGATCCCTTAACTCCCGTTAACGACGATTCCAGGTGGGTCATGATGGCTTACTAGCTGAGCTGAGATATAGAAATATGAGCTTTACATTGTATGTGTCTTCCTGCTCTGAGAAATTAGGGGTTTTGTTGAATTGTAGGTTCTCTCAGATTATCTTGTACAGAACACTTAGCAATAATCTTGCTCTTCTTTTCATTTTTGTGAATGTTGGTCGTTGTGGAATTGACTTGAGTTGCTTATGGTAAAAAGAGTGATAAGTTGCTCTAAGCAATATCTGGCTATTAGATGTATCCTTCTTTGAGCAATCTGTATATCAAATCTCACCAACCTGTGGATAGTTTGACAGATGAAGTGGCTATGGACTGTGAAATGGTTGGTGTCAGTCAAGGAACCAAAAGTGCCCTTGGACGAGTTACCTTGGTACACATTGCTCTTCTAAGTTTTTTGTTTTGTTTTGAAGTATCATAATTCAAAACTTTTAGTTCGTTTCAGTACCTAGCCCTTGTATATATAGTTTATGTCATTTCATAATGGCTTTCTCATAAACCTATATTCATGAGGTGTATATCTGTCTCTTCTTTTGCGTAAAGGTTGCTGATTAGTTTCACCATATTATTGATAGATTAATAAATGGGGTAATGTTCTATACGATGAGTTTGTCCGTCCAGTAGAACGTGTTGTTGACTTTCGTACACATATTAGCGGGATTCGACCTCGTGATTTGAGAAAAGGTTGGTTTTCCTTTCAACATTTCATACCTTTTTCTTGAATCTTTCAACATTCTTGACCTCTCTTCCGCTGGAACTAAGACTTTTAGGGTGCAAATGAATTGGATCATCTACTAAACAGTTTGAGACTTTGATCTTAATATAGCATTTTTTGTTTTTCTTTCACCTCAGCCAAAGATTTCCGCGTTGCTCAGACCAAAGTAGCGGAGTTAATAAAGGGAAAGATTCTCGTGGGACATGCCTTACACAATGATCTCAAGGTCTATAGACTGTAGGTTTTACAAATCTAGAATCTTTTAACAATACCAATACTAAGTTCTTACAGAAATATTGTAACAGGCTTTGCTGCTAACTCACCCGAAAAAGGACATAAGGGATACAGCAGAGTATCAGCCCTTTCTCAAGTACTCATCCTTCAAACCCTATCTTTTTTCTGAACTGATACTTGTCAGTTGTCACAGCTTTCGCTTTCCTATAGTTTAAACCTTTAGATTGAATCTTAACGAACCTGTAATCTTCCATAAACAGGGGCAAAACCCGAAAATCTCTGAAACATCTCGCAGCTGAGTTTTTAGGGGCTGACATTCAAAACGGAGAGCACTGCCCTGTAAGTGTGTACACTGAATACAAACAAACATCTTCACGTTTCGGGTTGCAAATCTTAACTCTTCTTTAACGCAGATTGATGATGCACGAGCAGCTATGATGCTTTACCAGAAGAACAGAAGAGAGTGGGAGAAAAACGTGAAAGACCAGACGCGGATGTGGCTGAAACAAAAGAAGCGTAAGCCTAAGAAGAAAGCAAAAGAAGGGAACACTTCCACAGATCAAAATCCAATTGTTTGAATCAATCAGCGAGAGCAAACCGGACTAAACAGAAACCAAGAATCGCTGAAAAGTTTTGGCCATTTTTCGTTCTTTATTGCTCTCAGCATCATGCGCCCCAAATGTACTAGTATCTTGTTGTGTACAAGTTCATCACAATATTATACCACATTAATATTAGGTCATGTATTATTGTTAAACGAAACAACACATTTTTGGAGGTTCTGAATTTAAGCAAGTTCATCTCGAAAGATTTGTAGACCTGTTTACGTTCTTCGGTTTGGTTGTCCGATTTCGGTTGGGTGTGTGAAACTTTTGAAGTTTGAACAGTGTAGAAACCAAAATATCTCTAGTCTCACATCACACATTATCAGTATTCAGTAGTATCACAGGTACCACTTGAGATTAACTTTGGTCATTTGAAGAATAATAGTCTTGGTTGGTTCGGTGTAAGCAATTGAAGAAGTACGGCTTGTTTCACTAAATTTTCTAGTAAATTCGATTCGGTTTGCAATAAACCGGTTAATTAATTAAGATCTACAGGTTGCATGTGTACAGTCAAGTAAACAAACCCGCTCTGCGGACGCAAAGGCTGCCACGTCTTACATTTCCGTTTCTGCGTAAACAAGAAAACCTAAAAAAAAGACGAAGCAAGCAGATTCTCGCAACAACGAACAAGACGAGTAAATTGGGTTCATAGACGACGGGGGAAATGCGAGTGATGAGATCATTGCGTGGTAAATCCGGTTCAGGATTTGTATTCCGGCCGGCGAGGTTAAGTTCTCTCCGGAGCGTCTTTACCGGCTGCCGTGCTGTGATGTTGCCTCGCTTTGGCGGTCCGGAGGTTTTGGAGCTCCGGGAGAATGTTCCGGTGCCGAATCTTAATCCGAATGAGGTTCTTGTCCGGGCGAAAGCTGTCTCCGTCAATCCTCTTGATTCCAGAGTAAGTGTTATCTGCTTGATCCATTTTGATTTCATTTGATTAGTGACATTAAGATATAATCGAAGATTGCTGTGATTAGGATATAGGATTGGTGTGATCGGTTAGCTTGGATCTCTTGCATATGTTCTAGGTTTTTATAATCGTACCTGAAAAATTAATAGGAGAAGCTTGAACTGGTATAGATGTCTCCTATTGATAACATTAAGAAGTTTTCTGAAGCAAACTCTTCTTTTCAATTCTGAAAATGGGAGTAGTGAGATTGATTTTTATGACCATTCAGCTGATATAAGTTTTATGATGAGAAATGTTACTGATTTCAGATACGAGCTGGATATGGACGTTCTGTATTCGAACCACATCTACCTATAATAGTTGGACGCGATATCAGTGGTGAAGTTGCAGCAATTGGGAATTCTGTAAAGTCATTTAAAGTAGGACAAGAAGTTTTTGGTGCATTGCATCCTACAGCGTTGAGAGGTACTTATACTGATTATGGAATTCTTTCGGAGGAAGAACTCACGGAAAAGCCATCATCAGTTTCTCATGTGGTAAGTAGGAAGATTTAGATATCCTTGAAATCTCTCTATCTTTGGTTTTTGATTTTCGATTGATTGAATGTCTTTATTAGCTATTTGTTTTATTCCCAGCTAAGTGTTTTCCAACTCTTTTGTTTGTCTCTTGTAGGAGGCAAGTGCCATTCCTTTTGCAGCGTTGACTGCTTGGCGTGGTTTGAAGAGTAATGCTCGGATAACTGAAGGGTATGTTATTGTCTGTATGGTGACAATAAGCTGATACTAATTCAGTTTTTAACATTCACACGTATTATTTCATGTTATTTTTGTACTATTATTTTGGACTCAGTATCGTTTCTTACAATGTGTCTATTTGCAGACAAAGATTATTAGTTTTTGGAGGAGGAGGAGCAGTAGGTTTTTCTGCAATCCAGCTTGCGGTAGCCTCTGGCTGTCATGTTACAGCCTCATGTGTCGGTCAGACTAAAGACAGAATACTTGCAGCTGGTGCCGAGCAAGCTGTTGACTACACAACCGAGGTACTTACATGAGTTTTTAGTTATCTGCTCGTATAAAGTAGAGCAATGATGATCTTATTCTGACTCATGAATTATGTACAGGACATTGAGTTGGTGGTAAAAGGAAAATTTGATGCTGTGTTGGATACTATTGGTGGGCCTGAAACAGAGAGAATAGGCATTAACTTCTTGAGGAAGGGTGGTAACTATATGACTCTCCAGGTATATATTATTCTTCTGTTTTTGCTTTACAAGCTGCAGTTACCTTGGTTGCTTAGGTTTTGGATCTTCCTTAACAGAAGTGGTTTTTAAATCTTTTGCATCTATATTTAAAGGGTGACGCTGCATCATTGACTGATAGATACGGTTTTGTGGTTGGGCTTCCGCTTGCAACTTCACTCTTGATGAAGAAGAAGATACAATATCAGTATTCTCATGGAATAGGTACATGATAGATCCTGCATTACTCTCTCGGATTCTGAAGTAAATATTCTGATGACAAGGTTAATGTGATAAAATCTATGATGAACTTTGTAAAAAAAAAAAACAGACTATTGGTGGACGTATATGAGGGCTGATCCTGAAGGTCTAGCCGAGATTCAGAGGTTAGTTGGAGCCGGAAAGCTAAAGATACCTGTGGAAAAAACATATCCAATAACCGATGTTGTAGCAGCTCATGAAGCCAAGGAAAAGAAGCAGATTCCGGGTAAGGTGGTTCTAGAGTTCTGAACTACATATATACATAGTAGCAATAATAACACCTGCATAGTTCTCTAGCAGTTGTTCTTTCTAGAATTTACACGCAGAGAGAAACAAATGTTTTTGCGTCTGGAGTTTTCTGTAAATGAGATCTATCAGGCTTAGATTCAGATAAAGAACTTGGTTTCTGTATAGACTACTTTCCAAAGGGTTCGTTTTTATTTGGACTTCGTCTGTGTCTCAACTTGCAGCAAAACTGAGTAATGAGAATTGTTTAGAATGAGTTTTTGTTGTTGTTGTTGTCATCTATTGTTTGGAATCATACAACTTAAAGTAGTCACAATAAACAAAACATTCACATCTTGATGTTCTTACTAGATTATTCAAGGGTGGTTTTGAAAAGAAACTGGAACTGTTACTTGACACAATATAACAGATCTAAGTTGAGAAAAACTATACATCATGAGATAACGTATATGTGAGTCTCGATTAAGTAAGACATATACATAATTGCCAAATTGGTGACGCCAAGCCAAAGGTGATGACAGGATCGAACAAATCCCACAAAATCAAAATCCAACATCATATATTCTCTGATAATTAATTACTTGATTAAAGTATGTCTTAAAAGATACGTAGCAAGTAATACAATAATTTATTAGTTAAAAAAAAGGTATTGGAAGTGTCATTAAAAGCATAACATGCAGTTAAATTAACATATTAAATATATGTTCTGTCTGATTCTCGTCCTTTAATGGTCTAGTCAAACACATCTCTCATCTGCCAGATCAACAAACAACAACCAAAGCCTTTTTACGCGTCACTATGCGCGTGTTGGTCACAGCCTTACCACCTGACTAGCTGACCTAGTAAACAAACTCTAGCGACATCGGTGGGACAAGAATTAAGAACCTTCTCTTTCCTGCCAAGTCTTTCTTATGTGGTAAATGGTATTGCCAAGTCTTTTGAAAGACGATACTATCTTATCTTCAGGTTCTTTAATTTCTTCTATACACATGTAGCAACTAGCAAGCAAGATCATACACTCATACTACTATGTACATGCTTATTATTATTTATGGGGGACCAATGAGCACATGTGTTTTATATATCATCATATTAATTGTCAGTAAAATCACGTATACAACTTCCCCATCTATGTAATCAATTTGGGCATTTATTATGTATAATTATTTTCGTATCCAACAATGTTGTTGCTTATGGAAAATCTTACAACCCCGTCAAGAGTTACAAATACTTGAATTCTGTAGTTTTACAGGATGTGTTATGCATAAGAGCAAGTTGTATATTGTATATTGTAACAAAACAAAAATTAAAATAGTCGGAGAAAGTATGGATTTAGTATTTGCTATATATGGGGGGTTATGTAGCCACCGAAGGTCTTAGTAGAGTGTAGTTGAGGAATTAAATGAAAAGCAGGAAGTGTTGGATTAAAAAACATGTTAATGCAAATATGTAAGTGGTCCTTATAGGTGTTAAGTCCTTAAATATGGGTCTGGTCTGGTCTAGACTGGACTGGTCAAACTCCTTTCTTCTTCACTCTCTGTGTAGGATTACGACTGCCACCACATCACAGAAACCATCTTCTTCCTTATTATTATTGTGACCGTTACTTCGCGGTTCAATGTATTATTGCCTCACGCGTGCGTTTTTTCTTACCCGCGTTATTTGTTTTCACGCCATTGTACATCCTCCTCCTCCTCCTTAATTTCATCTTAATGTTGGATTACAAATTAACAACAAAAAAATAAAATCCTACTGATAAAATGCATATCACTACAAGATTTTCGACTAATCTGACAAACATGTGTTGTGAATTGTGATGAGTTGATCTATAATTATGAATCTATCTGATAATTTAATTTCATGGCTGCTTAATTGTATTATTAGTTAAAGAGTATAATATATAAATATCGTCTCTCTAATAAGTTTGGTGAACATTACTCACAATCGGAACAACATAAATGACAAAGTAGTAGGGTCCTTTGAACTTTGAAGTGCTGCAAAAAGCGACACGACGTCCCCTTGGTTTCATGCACAAACCAAATGAACTACAACAACAAAATAATAATAATAATAATAAATATAAAAGTGATAGAATTTTCACGAGAATAAAAAATCTCTAAAACTTTAAAACTAAAATAAGCTTCTCAATTGTGTGTTCTTTAAAGTGTTATATGATTTATTAAGTAACAAATAAAATAAGAGAGGAACAACGGCCATGTCGAATCATTACCCTATCTATCGGTACTCCGATCACGTGCAAGCTTTGGCTTCTATGATGCTTTTTTATTTTTTATATATATACTTACTTTATACTACTATTATAGTAATAGGTTATTTACTGTACTTTCTTAAAATTTTATCATCATATATTATTTTGTCTTCGACCGTATTTAGCCCAAAACCATGTGACCATCTCCTCCGGTCTACTGTTTTTATCATTATGAAAAGAAAAGAAATTGGAAAAAGCTAATGGCCCCTTCATTGGATATGTTGTTTTTCTATTGAAAATAAGGAAAAGTTAATTTAGTTCAATCTATCTCCAGCTTGTTCTTTGTGGTTTGGCTTTATTCTGATAAAATTGAAATGATCAGTATAAGAAAAAAATCCCATCCATTAATCCGATAATAAATTCAAGACCCTAAACACAACGAGTAAATTCTAAATGATCTAACAGTAGAGAGCAGATTTGAAACACTTGAGATTTTACACTTCATTTTTTTTTTGTCACGGCATATTTATATATATTGATTGATAACAAAAAGGATGTGTCCACAAGTTACAATTTGCAACCAAAAAAATTGTGGCTGTGTTTTTATATTGTTTGAATTTTATGTGATACAAACAATTTAGTGGAAAAAGCATCCACTTGTCATCCAAGATCCCTCCAATCTCTACATGCATATATGTCCAATAAAAATCTAGCTACGAGAGAATATAAAAAAACTCCAAAGAAACTTTTGAATTTAGTTGACAAAAAAAAAAAAAAAACTTTTGAATTTCACAAAAAGTCAGTATCTTTCCAAAGGAAATAAAAGTGAAGTTTTTATTTATATTTCCATCAAAACAGTCCAAAAGCTATATAAAAAAAAAAAAAAAAGAAAGAGAGTAGGAAAACAAAAGAAAGCAAAAAAAAAAAAAGAGAAAAAAATACACAAGAGACATGCGTGTCTGAGTGTTTGTATTTTTGGGAAAGCCAATAGCTTTAGGCTTTAGTTAGTGTGTGTGTGTGCACACACATGTGTCTTTCCACAGAGAGAGAACGTACGATCTCTTTTTTTTGCCTCATGGGCCACTCTAAACTCACTCTCTTTCACCATCCTACACCAATTTTTACCAATTCAACCCTCCCCATTCTTATCAACCACACCACACAACCAAAGCATTTTTAGATTATCTTTTTATTGGGTCAAACGAACACACAATATATTTAGGAACAAGGAATCTCTTACTCTCATCAGATCGAAGGGAGGGGTATTTTTTGGTAAATTACTCCTAAGCTATAGTAAGTCTCTCGATTCCGTTACACTCGTCTCACAACAGATAATTTATCTCTCTATCTAATCTCTCTCCAATGGAGAGGAGATAGCTCTACTCCTACTACGACTACACACTTCTTCTCCTTCTTCTCTCTGTAAAAAACAAAAAAAACAATGGCGGAAACTGAGAGACCCCACCGTTCTTCTAGTATTAACAGTAGTAGCAACAACAATGCTTCTTCTACCGATCTTTTCATTTGTTTCACTTCTCGTTTCTCTTCTTCTTCTTCCATGCGTCTCTCTTCTAAATCCATCCATAGTCCTGCTCGTTCCGCTTGTCTCACCACTTCCCTCAGCCGTCGTCTCCGTACCAGCGGTAGCTTCAAGAACGCTTCCGCTGGGGTTTTGAACTCTCCCATGTTTGGTGCTAATGGCGGACGCAAGAGATCTGGATCTGCCTACGAGAATACTACCACCAACAACAACAACATAGAGCCCTCGTCTCCCAAGGTCACCTGTATTGGTCAGGTTAGGGTCAAGACTAGGAAGCATGTCAAGAAGAAGATGAGAGCTAGATCTAGGAGGAAAAGTGGCGGTGACACTAGTTTCAGGAGATCGGCTGATCTAAACGACGGCGGTAGCGGCAGCGGATGTCGTTTTGATGCGAGTGAGAATCGCTGGGTTCATCTTCCGGTGACTATCTGCGAGTCGTTGAGGTCGTTTGGTTCCGAGCTCAACTGTTTCTTCCCGTGTAGATCTTCGTGTACGGAGAACAGTCATGGAGATGGGAGACGAGTTGAGAGTAACAACGAGGGTTGCGGCGGAGGAGGAAACTCGTGTGGTGCGGTGTTTACGAGGTGGTTTGTGGCGGTGGAGGAGACGTCGGGAGGGAAGAGAAGAGAGATTGAGCTTGTTGTTGGTGGAGAAGACGATGTTGAGGAGGATAGACGGAGGAGTCGTCGGAGGCATGTTTTCGAGGGGCTTGATTTGAGTGAGATTGAGATGAAGACGGAGAAGAAAGAGAGAGGAGAAGAAGTTGGGCGGATGAGTATCTGTTCTCCGCCGAAGAATGCTTTGCTGCTGATGCGGTGTAGATCTGATCCGGTTAAGGTTGCGGCGTTAGCTAACCGGGTTCGGGAAAGACAGTTGTCGTTAAACGACGGCGTATACCGAGGAGGAGAAGAGGACGAACACGATGAGAGAAGAAGAAGGTTTGAGCTGGAGATTGAAGATAAGAAACGGATCGACTTGTGTGAGAAATGGATTTCTGGGGAGAGAGAAGAAGTTGCAGTTGTTGAACCAGAAGCAGAGGTTGTTCCTCCTCTTCCTCTGGCTTCAAATCCTGTTACAGAGGAAGAAGATAGAGTCCAAGTTTTGGAAGATTCGATTGTGGAAGCAGATGAAGAAGCAGAAGCTTCGAAAATCTTGGAGGTTGATTCGTTTCAAGAAGAAATTGAAGCTACGATTTTGAAAAACATTGAAGATCATATCAGAAACGCCATAGAAGAAGAGGAGCACATGGCTGAGGCGGACGTGGAAGACTTAGCTGCAGTGGCTGAGGCGGAGGACCAAGAAGAAGAAGAGAAGAAAGAGGTTGGTGTTGCTGTCTCTGTAACTCAAAACGAGGAAAGATCCGAACAAGGAAACAGAGAACCCGACCCGAGTCCAGAAGTGGTGCTGAGAGGAGGAAGTCAACTTAAGAAGACGACGGCGACGCCCTATAAGGTGTTACCGGATTGTTTGCTGCTAATGATGTGTGAACCAAAGCTATCAATGGAAGTTTCCAAGGAGACTTGGGTTTGCAGTACAGATTTCGTTAGATGTGTACCAGGAAGACCTCCGGCGAAGAAGATACCACCAGAACCTACCGGAGATAATCATCATCATCATCAACCCAAGAAGCGAATCGTCGCAGCCGTTGATTCCAACGCATCTTCTCGCCGGCGTTCAATCGATAAACCACCCTTACACCTTCAGCCGCCACGGTCATCGTGTTCATATCCAGCAGCTCCACCCATAATAATGACGGCTGCGGCGGTTGGGGAGCAGAAGGTAGCCGGAGCTAATAAGGCGTACGAGCCACCAGTACTGCCACGTTGCAAATCTGAACCTAGGAAGTCAGCTTCAAAGCTAGCGCCGGAAGCTTGTTTCTGGAAAAATAGGAAGCTCGAGCCACACACTCCGGCAACCGTCGGAGTCGGCGCCGCCGGAGTAGGGTTCTAGAAGAAAGGGGGGGGGGACGTGAGTGGGAATAAAGAAAACTATTTGGGTGTAATAGTAATTTTAAAATACTACAAGTCCTTGTTTGTAAATTTGTTTTGCTAGTCATAATTCATTTCTTTCACTGTGTCAATGTTTTTTCATGAAAATCTGTATCCGTGTTTTGTCCGTTAGTCTAATGTCTCACTCTCTGGTCGATAAAGTCCCATCGAAACTAACAACACCTAACGCTTCCCAACAAACAGGTAGACAGTTTACAATCAATTGAAAAAAAGAAAACAATTTATACATACATTGATTGAATATGATATTTTTATTATTACATGTTTCATAGTACAACTAACAAATACAAAGACCGGATCAATCACCTGAAGTTTGATCCTCATTGCTTTTATTTACCTCACTGTTGTCACCTGATGAGTCTCCAGGCTGTGTTGTGGCTTTCATGTTTTCATCGGAATCTTCGTTGAAGGCTAATTGACCAGAGTAAAGGAGTAGCCCTATAGCGTTGAAACCGAAAATAAATGTTGCTAGGTAGCATATACCGTTGATGATAGTCCTGCAAGAAAATGAAGAGTTTCGTCTAAGAAATTGCAAGAATAGCTTGATATTAGGAATACAGAGAAAGTGATAGAGCTTATATGTACCTTACGGTTACCGTGATTTGCCTAACCTGCAAAAAATAGAAGACATAGACGAAGCTTTTAGTGACGACAAGTTGAATGCATAGCTAGTTAGTTGCACATAATAGAATTCAAAAACCATGGAATGGGCAGACTCATCTACTTTTTTTAACACAGGCAATGATCAAAAGGGTAACTGAATGAAGAAACGAACTGAGTAAAGAGATTCATGTATGGACAAAAATGGGTCCTTTGCATAAATATATAACACTAATTGCGCATTGAATTCAAAAGTCATGGATTGGGGTTGATCTTATCCATCACTTTTATCTCTCAACTTATGGGTATTGCTTGGAACACAAGGTATTCTTACTTACTAAAACCCAACCCAAAGCAAAGTTAGGAAGAAACAGCAACTTTGACGCAATCAGTGAATGAGATAAAAAAAAAAAGGTACAAAGAATGGTGAAGAAACGAACCGAGAAGTTATCAGAGATAGTCTGGCGGTTGAGACCTGATTCAATGGTAACAGTGAACTTGTAAAGAATGAGAGCAATGACTCCTGCTGCTACCGCACCAAGGAAAGCCTGAGCTGCCGATGGAGTTGACTTAACACCTTCTAATGGAGTTGAGCCCAATGCTTTCAGAGTATCCATTGCCTCATCTTTCAAAGATTTCTTTGCTCCAGTTGATCTATACGTCTACAATTCCACACCAAAACACTCATTCTCCTTCCCAAATTATCAAACACAATTTCCCAAAAATTCAAGTCGAAACTTTATCAAATCGATTGATTTTAATGAGAGGAGGATGAGAATGAATTTACCAGCTCTTTGGCGCGTCTAGCGCGCCGTCGAACCGAGCGGATGAGGAAGACAGTGATGGCACCGGTTAGAAGCACACTGGTGGCTAACTGGAGAGGACTAGGGTCATCGGAAGTGGCGAAAATGGAGTTAGTGGTAGAAAACGGAGACGATGAAGACGACGGAGGAAGCTCAATTGGGCCATCTTCCTCAACCTCCGCCACATCGGCGATTTTTCTTACAGCGGATACCCGGTTTCTATCGGGTCGGATCCTGGTGAAAGCGGATACTGGAGAAATAGATTCCGGTAAGCGGTAGAGAGAGACAAGACGAGTCGGACGGAGACGGTGAGGGAAAGTGAAGAGACACTGGTGGCTCTGCAACACTAACATTTTTCTTAGCCGTCGAAAGATTTTTATCTCACCATTAACGTCTTCTTCAAATATCCTCACTTGAAAGCCTCTCCACCGTTTAGAGGGTTTCGCTCGGGAGACACTTTACGTGATTCAGAAGGTTCAACATCACCATTGTACAGACAAAAACTATATACCAAACTGTATGTAGTTTCACTTTAGTTTTTATGTGCATTCTTCTTCATGTAAAATACTACTTCAGTTGGCTTTTCGCCCACAAGTCACAAAACCCATTATTAAGTTTTTATTTCCCTTCTTGTAGGTGAAATGATAGACGAATGTTTTTGAACAAAAAAGGGAACGAAAGAATATGAAATGAGCTGTTGTGTGTGTATATATATATTGGAAGCAATTTGTTGTGAATGAAAGCAAATGTTATCAGCATTCTTGTCGAACATTACTTGCAACGGTTCGAGCCCAAAACTTGATTTGAGCTTTCATGTCTCTACTTGAATCCTTTGGAACCCAAACAGGAATCGGCTGTCCCACCACCGCTGCAGACCGGTTTTTCGAGGAGGCTCGTGGGATCCTCCTATGTTTTTCTTCTTCGTCTTGCTTCTTCTCTGAATCAATGTCTAAATCCTTCAACATCAGAATCTCTTTCGTATCGATGCTGCTTAATGTTTTACGAAGCGTTTTGGGACTTGGGGTTTTTTGTGATTTGACGACCAGTTCTTGAATAGCGTCTTCTGATCTCGAGTTTCTCGGTGGTCTATGCCTTGGAATGCTTGAAACCTGCACAAATTTTTAAAACATTCTGATCAAAATTCAAAGTCTTCATAACAGCAATGATTGAATCCAATCATACAAGTATTAGAGAAGTATAATGTGAAAAAATAGATCACCTTTGGAGTGTTCTGTTTTGTTGGAGTGAATCCAGAAGAAGAAGAGCTAGCGATGGCTTCACGGATCAAGAATCCCATTCTTGAATCATCAATCTCTTGATCTTGAAACTCATTTCCATCGTCTTCTCTTCCTATGTAACTCGGCAATGTCTGAGTTCTCTGCAAACTCCCTCCCATCGAACAACACTGGACACTGTTATTACAGCTATTAACTGTTCTGTTTCTTCTTGAACTGTCTTTAATTCCCTTTTCTCGAACCACAGGTTCCTTTTTCTGCAAGTAAGTTCTTCGTTCCTGAACCCTAATCTTCTCCGAGAACTGCCTCCTCATCGTCTTTATCTTCTCAGGCTCGCCTGCACCTTTGTTTTTCTCAATACACGGCGGTAGAACAGATTCTTCCCCAGTGGAAGCTTTTAGAAGCATATTCTCCGAACCGGAATCTCCATTTTCCGGAAATTCGGGTTTGGGACAAGTGGAGGAAGAAGAAGAAGAAGGTGAAGGAGAAAACGGGTAAGGATCTGAATGACAGTACCTCAAGATCCTTGATCTTCTGTCAAGTAAGTTATCAAAGAACCAGAAATCTTCGAGAAGATCATCAATGGCTTCGACTTCTTCCAATTCTACATGATCATTCGAACCAGAATCCATTTTTCTTTTTGTTATAAGTTCAGACAAGAGATAACAAAAAGAGATAAGTATGAGTTCTTGTTTCTTCTTCTTCTTCTTTTGTTGGGTTTGTATTTGAAGCACATAGATTCTGGAGACTTATTAAGAGGTGACCATGTGGGCAACCATTCAGCACTTATTTTTTTAACATTATTTTTAATGTTTTTATGTGGAGTCAATGTTTTTGTTTTGGTACATGATAAATAAAAGAAGAAAATTTTGAGTGAAACAAAAACGGAAAGAAATTTCGACTTTTCCATAATAATTTTTAAGATTCTTTCATTTTCAACTATTCTCTGAATTTTTGGAGTCAATCTATTACTAACTTCTAGGGAACTCATAAATATTTTGACTCCACTTACTTTTAAATTTCAGTGGTAAAAACTATAAATTTTTGTATATTCAAGACTTCTAAAACTATTAGTTTTTAAGAAAATTAGTAAAACCAAAGGAAAATAAATAATTAAGTAATTAAAGTGGATAACGAAAATAAATTGATACTAGATTTTAACCCGCGGTACAGCGCGGGACGATATTGTAAAATATATTTTTTATTAATTTTGTTTGGTATATAAAAGTGTACTACTATATTTTAATTGTTAATTTTATGATTTAACCGTAAAATATTGTATGATAATTTATCATTTCTATAATCGTAATTAGATCAACTTAATTAAATAAGTATAATATTTAAAATAATAAAATGATGTTGACATAACATTTTCGTTGAAGAAGTATAATCTCATATTAAAAGATTTTGTGAGTTATACTATAGTATACAATCCGTAAAAACATCTATAATCATAATTATGTAATTTATAATTTGTTCCATCACATGACCCGTGCTACACAATTACCAATAATATTTTAATACATACATTTTATGTACCGATTAATATACGTCCGTTTTCAAAAATTCATATGGCAACATATGCGGAAAAAAATTTGTATTTTTATTATACATATGTTATATGTAAAAATATAAATTTGAAAACTAATAAGATCATTTAAAGATATTTAAGAAATTTTCAGTTTCTTAGGGAGATATTTTAGAAAATTTTGTTAAATGTAAAAAATACTGATTTCCAATTTTATAATTTTATTATGAGTTAATTACAAAATTTATTCTAAACTTTTGTTATTTAATCAAATGACAAAGGTTGAATTATGCAAATATTACAAAATAAAAGGGTAAAACACGAAAAGTATTTCAAAAATGTTAATATAGATAAACAAATCAAAAGGATTTCTGGCAACAACTAAGAAAAATAAGGTTTTTCAACAAAAGGTATGATTGCTAAGAAACGGCATAATAAGCCCTGTCATGCCAGTCAACATGCCATGTGATTCTTAAACTAATACTAGTAATGTAACAATTTGGGTTTTTCTATATTATTATTAAAATATATACAGTTTTCATATATATTTTTAAAAATATTATTTTGTTATCCATCGCCTCCTACGCGACAGCTAAGAATTTTAGTAACCTATAATAAATACAAAGATATTGTATTGGTAATATTAAAATTTATGTTAATGTAAAAGCAATAACTCTCGAGCTCTGAACCTACATTATTCTTCTCCAATTATAGTATGACATCGCATATGCTAGTATGCTAGTATGATTTCACATTATATTATGTTAATCAGCCGTAATCTTCATTAGGTTTGTGTGACATGTGGCCAAAGCTAATCAGTCAGTTTAGCTGCGTACCTGAAGATTTTGTTGACGATGCTGAGGATAAGAATGCTAATCCCATCACAGTTATCTCAGGTACGCAGCTAAATTGACTGATTAGCTTTGGCCACATTTCATAAGAAAGCTAATCCCATCAAAGATATTAATTACCAACCAAACAGAAAAATGTAAAGCTCAGTAAAATATATAGAGGCAGCTTGAAAAACCATAAACTTGAGCCAGAAAGCTGCTGATTTTTTTTTCTTCATACCTGAGCTAAATTTGTTTTACCAGTACACAGCAAATCAATGGCAAGAGACACCAGTTGATTTGGGTAACATAAGATAACAGATGAATCCATCAAAAAGGCTTCATCTCAGTTGCAATTAACTCTACCAGAGAACCAAGGCAGAATCTATCATATTTACAATGCAAAGAGCTGTCATCTTCAGTACTTACCGGAACCAATATTCCATCTTTGAAAATGAATAATGGTTCTAGCCAAGTCTTAGGGCTTGGATTTGTGTTTGCTTCATCTAAGCTCCCTCGCTCTTCAGCAAAATGACTGCAACATTCAACTGAGGCAAGAAAATTACCGGATAAGTGCTTGCAAGAACACGCTTCCTTTTCTGGACACCCATCTTGATCATCAATCTTTCCTTCCTGTGTAGTACCACTGTTTTTTGCAGAGATGAACTTTCTAACAGCAGCAATAAGCTCAACTGATAATGAAGAAACTGCATCATGTATACTCTCTGTTGTGATGTAACTCTTACCAAGTCTCAATTCGCGAGTAACTAATTTATGCATAGAATCGTGGAGGATGGAGACACACTGGGAGCAGCACCGGTACAAACACACCAAACTAGGGTCATCCAGAGGATTAGTACTTGCAGTTGTTTCATCTTTTTTAACTTGTTCCGACATGTTGCTTGCAGATTCTAAGCATTGAACTCCGTCCCAGGCTTTACTATGATCTAAGTCCGCTAATTTGTGGGGATCTTTCAGGGAGAGAGGATTGGACTCCCCAGATCCATGAGGATTTTCTTTGGAATTAGCTTTTCCTTGCAAAGCAATGGCTGTTGTGGTAGTTTCTACCTCGCATGATCCCTGGTGAGTTTCACTCTGTTCATGGTCAGCTGCAGGAGAGTTAAGATCAAGAACAGCCTGTCGTAAGGAACCCACTCCTGAATCTTCGATCATTATTTCATCCGTACTGTGGGTAATAAGATGCCCAGTATCAAGTAAAGGTTCATGATTTGTTCCACTATGACCATTTGCAATCTCCAGAAGTGGCTGATGACTATCGATAAGATTACTAGATGCTATAGAGTCTGGACAATTCAGGTTTTCGGTATCTTCTTTCGGGTCTTTTTCTAACCCTTTTGACCGATCAGATGATCCTTGCTCAGTTGGCTCATTCCTCACTGATGGATTGAGTACGGAACAAGACAATGGATCCGTCATCTCTGTTGGAGTGGTCGACTCAAAACTGTAAACAGTGAAGATGTGTTAGATATGTCTGTGTGTGCACAAACATACATAAAACAATGAAGTTATGTATGTCTTAAAACAAACATACATAAGACAAAAAGCTTTAAGGCGTACCTTCGCATTGCATATACCCAACTATTAACCAGATCTTCCAGGTAAGCAACTTGAGACAAAATTCGAATATATCGACATCTGTCCTTTCCAGCATTGATTTTTACATTGATCCATCCAACTAAGAGCTCAAGAACCTTCCGTACCTCAATAGAGACTTCCCTCAGGGATAAATAGGTTCCTCTATACGCTGATAATCCAATAGCAATAAGGCCTCTGACAATCCCAGATGAATCTTTGCCTTTAACATTGTTGGAATCGGAAGCAGTAATAGCCTGCTCTGAGGAATTACAAGGACGAGTGATACATGAATTGAACGGCCATCCTCTCCAAGGACCAGAAACATCTGCACTTGGCCCTTCCTTAAGCTTTGATGTTATCCAACAAAGTTCAGCAAACTGAGGATACCGTAGAATTTGATAACCAAATGTGGAGACAGCTAACTGCAGGCTTGATTTCGCTTTCACATTAATGTTGATAGGTAATGGTGGAACTTTTACAGAACCGTCATCAAGGGGTTTTGATTTAGCAACTGCTTCTTCTCCTGCACCAAGATCATTATTATTCTGATAGGCTGCATCTCTGCGGTCAGGATCCTCTCTTTGGTATTTCTTCCGTAAGTCACAGTGAGTATGGGTTCCCTGATGAACCAAATGAAGAAACACTTGGATTGCTCGCCTTGATAACTCAGTAGCAGACAGGTCAATGACTATGTCCTGGTTAGAATTTTCAACAACTTGTACAGTGAACTGTGGAACAGCCTCAGACATAGTTGGCTGATACTCCTTTGATAGGTCAGTCTTAAAGAACTGTTGTATTTTAGGAGGTAGGAGTTTGTAGGGAATGCCAGAAGTAGCCTGTCACCAAAAGAAACAATTTTAGTCTCAAGTGTTGGCAGTCTTCTCAGAGACTGCTAATCAACAAAGAAAAGGGTATACAAAGACTTGAAAATGCATAGTATAGAGCGTACATTACCCTCACAAAATAAAATAAAATAAACAAAGGACTAACCAAAAATAACTAAAAAACAATAAGTCTAGACAGCCTATTATCAAGTGCCGTTACAAGGACAATATATTGAAGAAAAAAAATATTATGTAAGAAGTTAAGCATACCAGAATCATCATCTTTGTGGAAACTCGCAATGATTCTACTTGCTCAAAAAATGTGTTCCAAGCATGTGAAACTCGAGCAGCATTCTGCAATGCCTTTTCCTCTCCAATCTCTGGAACAATGGGAGAACAATTTTCCTTTACAAAATCATCATCACACTCAACTTCCTCATTCAGTGTAGTTTCTGTCTTCACAGCCCACAAGTCAATCCTTGGCATGAATACCACACATGATTTCCTGCTAGCACATTTCACTACAAGCAGACCAGATATTCCAGTTAGGTAAGTTAACTGGAAATGGGCTAGAAACCAAGCAATAAAAGAGTTACATATAATGAAAGACTAGACAAAGAAAAAGAAAAAATACATACTTAATAGGTGAGTTATGCCTAACACCAGATCCCCATTTCCTTCTTGTGAAATTGTTGCTGTGTCTATCTTCTGCATCTCTGTATTACCAATAAAACAATGCAAGATACACGAAGCAAGATGACGTTGACCAGATTTAGATGCTCCAGCAATAAGCAATTGGAACCCTGACTTGTTCGTTGATTCTACAGAAGCATTTCCCAAAAGCCCAGGATGTTGGCGAGCTCTCTGTACCATGAATTGTGCAGAACCCAAACTACAGTCATTAGCACCAGGAATGCTTGCAATCGATCTAACCACGTCACAACCTCCATCTAGTATCCCAGTATAAGAAAGTCTTTGTACTATATCCTTTACAACATCTACATCTTGGAGAAGAGTATCAACATGGGACCACCAAAAGCCCTCAGTTATCCTCTTGTCGCTCAAAGCAGAGCGGATCACATTTTGGACATCAACCACTGCTTTAGAAAGAAGAGGTGGTAGCAAGATACGTTCTTCAAGATGAAAAGCAACAAGTAAGGAACACAATGGTGGTAATAAAGAAGGCACCAAGTAAGTGGGCAGCGGGGACGAAAATATATCACTAGCTGCTATTCCTGCTCCTCTACGTGAACATGGGGGTGGGGAGCGGGATAAAGCTTCCAACCAATCTCTTTCTTCAACTGAGAAGGATGGAAGAGCAGCACGATTACTACTAGACACTCCCAACTCTGCAGCAGCCAAAGATTCTTGCAAAGGGAAACTCCTATTTAAAGCAATCATGGCAGCTTGTGTGCAGAGAGCTTGTATATCCGCACCAGCAAAACCGGCAGTTTCTTTAGCAATCCACTTGAGCAAGTATCCAGACACTGGCTTAGGCCACTTCCTAGTATGGAGTGAGATGATTGCAGCCCTATTGTCAACGGATGGTAGTGGAAAATAGATCTCCCTATCAAATCTCCCAGGCCTCCTTAATGCTGGGTCAATAGCATCAGGGTAATTTGTTGCACCTATGACCACCACTGAGCCACGCGACTTTAGGCCATCTAGTAAAGTAAGCAATGTGGATACAACAGAGCTATGTGTCTGATCTTGTTGCCTTGACCGCTTGGGAGCGAGACCATCTATTTCATCAAAAAATATGATGGATGGTTGGCATTTTTCAGCGACCTGAAACAGAAGTCTTAACTGACGCTCAGCATCACCAACGTATTTTCCCAGACAGTCAGCCCCTTTACGGGCAAAGTAGGCTATCCGTCTATTACCACGAGCAAGGGAACCGATCAGCGCTCGAACCACAAGAGTTTTTCCAGTTCCAGGATGTCCGTGCAAGAGGATACCTCTTGGAGGTGTAAGTCCAAGGTTATCAAAGAATTCTGGATATAGTAAGGGTATAAGAACAACCTCTTTCATACATTGAGTTACACCCTCAAGCCCAGCAACAGATTCCCATCCCTCAAATGCCTTTCCACTCTCAGAATCAGAACCCCCAATATACTCAGGAGCAACTCTTAACAAATCTCGATGCAGTCTCTTGCTTTCACGTTTTAAAAATTCTTCATCTTCACCACATTTCTCAAACCACTTTTCTTCTGCTTCCACATCCTTACGCCAGGCATCATTTGAGTGCTTCTTCATCTCCAATCGCATCCTCTTGGCTTTCATCTTCTTCATTCTGACTTCACACTGACGACCATGGGGTTGGAAATGATGTCTATGGTCTGTGCAAGCAATGAGAAACTTACGGTGATCAAAGATGCAACTATTAGCTCGTGCACAAGGCTGCAAAATACGGAACACCACGAAGACGTTATTAGAGCAAGATACAGTACCAGTTACAGCTGCAAGTTAATTAGCCTATATCTAAAAGGTGAGGAAGGGAAACCATAAAGAGAGTAGTAATAGACCAAATGATAGGTTCTTGGACATCGATCAACCCGACAACCAATGGTTGCCCCAGGTCTTGCACAACGAGTGCATTTTAATGACCTCCCTCTGAAAAGTGCCGCCCTTATATTCTTTAAGCATCCTACACCAGCAAAGTAAACCTGCAGTACAAGAGTATAAACATTTAGGTTTACAGAAAACAGAGTTAAGTAAAAGGGAAATTACTGAGACAGTAAGAGCATAACTATAACAGATAAATATATGTAGAGAACTTTTATACTGCTTAGATCAAGGAATAGAGAAAATCAGAGAAATTGAACAAGCGTTTTTGTATATTCTTCTCTTTAATTGTGGAATTAAATTTTCATCAAGAACAGCAATGGCGAATACAACCATGTCAGAGATTAATCAAGTGTTACGAAACAAAATCACAGAACAACGAAAGATAAAGCGAGAGAAAAACAGAGAAGTGAAAAGAGAAATAAACACTGTGACAGAATTGAACACACATTGTTGTAATTGAATCCAAGAAATATATAACATTGAAGTGATAAAAACATGTAAATGCACTAAAGCAATCAGAAGGCGTTTTTTGTCATATTATCAGAACCACACATTACCTCAGGACTCCATACGGCACAATTCTGATGAACCCAAGTTCCAGAAATTCCATAACGATCGTTTATAGGACCCAATAGACGGCCAAGCCATCCAGGATCATCGCCAAAACCATCCAATATGTCATAGACTGGCTCCTCTGAAGATGAAGACCCGCTATGTTCCTCTAAATCACTGTCACCATTATCTTGCAACAACTTCTTTGGGTGTTTGCCATCAGTACCAACTCCACATAACCCACATCGTCTGGTTTGCTTGAAGATTGGCTTACCGAGTCTATCTGATGAAGTACAAATTGAGTCAACTGCCTTCTTGCAAGTTTCATTCTGAATAGGAAACTCGTCAAGCATTTCCACACTTTCACCCCCTCTAATAAGAAACTCACTTTGTTCTTTGGTCTTATCATGAGATGGTGTACTAGAAACACCTTGCTCTCCGATGTCATCATTCTGCTTCAAACTCTCATTAACCTTGATGCTAGCTTCGCGAAGTTGTTCAGAATTTAAGGTATCTCCTTTTCTGTTCTTAATTTTATCAGCAAGATCACTATCATCCTCCCCTATACCAGTGCCATTTTCACTTCCAGAAATCATTACACCCGTCTCTGTAGTCACATCTTGAACTCCCATCTCAATCTCATTTTCCAATCCTTCCATTGGACCCCGACTTTCATTTTGCACTGCTTCCATTCTAACATTAGTATCATCTCTCATTTCATCCACAGTAGCTTCAGTCTCACTTCCTGTCTTCTCTGCACTACTTTGTGTCTCACTTTCTCCCTCTTCATCACTATCATCAATCTCATTGTCAGAACTATCTGTTCCATCCTCGCTCTCAGTCTCCGTTCCATCAATTTCAGCTTCATTCTCACTCTCTAAAACAACAGATCTTTTGGTAGCCTTCTTCTTCTTATCTTCCTCTCTGGCTTCACTGTCAGCTTGTGTTGATTCCTCTGACTCGCTAGCACTCTCATCTTCAGAATTACTGGTATCCGACTCTTTTTCCCCATCCTCCGAACTTTCGGATTCCTTAACTTCCACTGATCTTTTTGTTTTAATCAGCTTCCCACCTTTAGGGGATCCTCCTTCCTCTTCCATTTCTCTTGCCACTGCTTTTTGACTCAACTCATCGGAACCATTTCTGAAAACGAGCTTTCTTTTCCCCTTAACCGCACCTCTTTGTCTCCTCTTCCCTTGAAAACCAGCGTTCCTCTTCTTTGACCTCAACCTGGATTTCCAACCATCTGGGGTATCCAAATCCCCCTTCTCGTGCTTACTCACTCTCTCTATACTAGTGGAACTCCTATCCCCGCGATTATTAAAACGCTGCCTTTTCTTTGGAGGAGGAGGAGAAGCGTCCAGGATGTTAGGTATCTTCCTGACCCTAGAGCTCCGCCGAAGTTCAGAGTCAGCACAACCATCCCTATCCATCGACTCCCCATGGTTTTTTTTGTATTCCTCCTCACATATTGCAGCAAGCTTCTTACTCTTCTTCCCAGAAGGAGAACCCGAACGATTCTTTCTTATCTCATTCGATGATTTCATGGCGAATCAAACGGCATTCAAGTACGCATACAACTGTTCTCCTCGGGGCTGATACAAATGAGCATAAGAAAAACTAAAGCGTTCACCGAACCATACGCCTACACAACTTAAGCTCGTGAGACAGTATCACGACGGAGGTGCTTAAAGAAAACGCATCACAGCAACTCCATGATCAACCCACTTATTGGCAGAATCCAATCCGAATTACCCTAAAATAATCCAAAACCTAGAATCTAATTTCGACTAATTTTACTTGAAAATCTATAAACTAAGGATCGTAGTGGATGATACAATCGAAATTTCCTTTCCCCGAGAACTTCGTCTCTCCGGTGATTACTCCTCCGCAATTTACCTCGGGGCTCGACGGTTGCGGAAACATACGCACCTCTTAAGGCCGAAATTGGGCCTAGTCCTGGGCCTCTCTTTTTTTAAGGGGGTGCTATTTCTAATATAAATATTTTCGTACCAAAAGTTGCCGCCAAGTCGCCAACCAATTTCGTATTTAATAGAAAATCTGGTAAGATACATACAGAAGAAAATGGGAGAGGCGGAGAACAATATCTACAGGTGATGATCTCAAAGCGAAGTAACACCAGAAAACAGTTACATCGCAAAACGAAATATAATACAATCAAAAATTGGAAAACAATCTATAGACAATTGTATTACAAAACTCCAAATCGTCAGTTACATTATTTCTAAAATTGGAGAAATTATATTAACCACGTACAGTATCAGTTTTACTATGAAATCCAATCGTATGCTTAGGCACTTAGCAGAAGTAATCAAGCTTGAGGGTCACCAGTAATCTCCACAGGAACAACACCCATCTTCAAAACTGTGAAACCGAACAGCATCTCTCACAATGAAAGCTATTTTCGTGATTTTAGACACCGCCTTGATGAACTCATGACAATCCACGCATACCCTCAAGTTCTTGAACACTCTTATTGTGTTTCCTTTCTGGTTTAACCCGCCTGATGCCAATGCCAGACCAATAGCTAGCTTTTCGCTGTGAGCTCTAAGGTTATCCTCCTTCGACTCATCATCTATATCATGCAGCTCATGTTTCAGGCCGTAAACATATCCCAGTTCTTCTCTTAGTCTTCTTTCAACTTCTTTCAAAGTTTCTCGGATCAGAAGTGTCAGAGGATGTGAATCCTCTCCACTACGGAAAAAATGTACCTCTCTCTCAATCTCGACCCAGCTCATACCAGCTTCTTTCTTCAACCATTTTACATTCCCAAGCTCTCGTGTGTTCCCTTGTTCGTTCCAATAACCAGCTTGGCCATAAAGGTTGGACATCATCACGTAATTTGCAGGATTCTTTCCATCGATCCACAAAAGAATCTTTCCCACTTCTTTCCCTAGTTCCATGTCCCCATGTACTTGACAGCGGCTAAGAAGTGTTTGCCATATCCCGACATTTGGTTTAATAGGCATTGTGTCAATCAGATGTTTAGCTTCCTTCAAACGACCAGCTCGTCCTAATAGATCAACAACACATGCATAGTGTTCTACCCTAGGTTTAATTCCCTGTGTCTCAAGTAACTTCGAAAAAAGTTCTTCACCTTCATTGATCATACCAGAATGGCTACAAGCTGAGAGTACAGCTAAATAGCATACCTCATCAGGATCAATGTTATGTCTCAACATTTTGTTAAAAATACTAATAGCTTTTTTGCCAAGCCCGTGCTTCCCATAGCCAGTGATCATTACAGTCCAGGAGATCACATCTTTCGACTGCATTTCGGCAAAGCATTTCTCAGCCTCATCAACTAATCCACACTTGAAATACATGTCCACCACTGAATTCGAAACAGATGTTTCTAGCCCAGATGGAAGTTTAACAGCAAGTGCATGCATTTGCTTCCCTTGCTGCGAGAGGGCAAAATCAGCAAAGACTCCAATGATGCTAGAAAGAACAAAACTGTCGATCTGAGAGTTTAGCTCCTGTAGTCGCTTAAACATACCCATCGCCTCCACGAATTCACCCTCTTGAGCATATCCAAGAATCAATGAACTCCATGAGATCATTTTCTTTTCCTTGATTTGATCAAAAGCTTGCTGAGCACTAAAGAGATTTCCACACTTGACATACAAATCAACAAGAGAACCAGAGATGGTTGCGGAACTTGGACAATGGAACCCACTCCTAACTAGAAAACCATGTAACTGTTTTCCTGCATGAATCATACCAGTGCTACTGCAAGCCTTCAACAAGCTAGTCAAAGTGAACTCGTCAGGTCTTTCCTTCATATTTTCCTCTTGCATCATCCCAAACGTTGCCAAAGCTTTACTACCATACCCCGCATGTACATATCCAGCTATCATCGCGTTCCAGCTTATAAGACTCCTATCCACCATCCAACGAAACACTCTCTCAGCTTCGTTGATTTTTCCACATTTGGAATACATGTCAAGTAAAGAATTTCCCACCTCAACCATCATTTCAGAGCCAATCTTCAAACAAAGCCCATGGATCTGCAATCCCTTTTCAAGTGCGTTAAGCAAACCACAAACTTTTAGATTCGTGGAGAAAGTGAACTCGTTTGGGTGAATACCGTGACGCCCCATTTCTGTGAAAAGAGATAAGGTTCCCGTAAGGTCACCATTAAGTAGACGTCCGCTCATTAGAGCCGTCCATGAAACAACATTTCTCTCAGGCATACTGTCGAACACCTTATAAGCCATCAACGGTTCTCTGCATTTACAGTACATATCAATAAGATAATTGCTCGAAGTCACATTCAACCCCGATCCAGATTTCAGAAGAAAGCAATGAACTTGACCCCCCTGACCAGAAAGCCCATTCCTTGTGCAAACCCGCAAGATTTTAACAAGGTTTTGTCGCTGATTCAAAATCATCGGTGTAATCTTGGTCCAAATGAGATATGAATCTCAATTTCGAGTTTGTAAACAAACTCAAGCACATGAGCAATTTCTGTGGTGAGATGATAAATCGAGTTTGTAATAAGCACATGAGAGTCTTCCTCAATCAGCGAGTGAAGAGCTACACAGTGAAGAGCATTTGACTTTCCGATGAACCAGCAACACAAGGAATGGGCCGATTAATGGGCCTATCTTATTTATTTTCGAATTTCTCAGATTTTCCTACCAAAATTTGCCGCCAAGCATTTATGAGTTTTCTTCTTACCCTAATTAGATAATAGATTTATAGATCTTATTAGATAGTATTAGATAACACTCATCTATCAGATAATCCTACAGAAATAAAATGTTGTCTTTGCAAACCATAGCTCTTAAAAATGGAAATCTACAGAACCTCTCACCACATTACATTTAGGGTTAACCATGTTGTCTTCTTAGAGCCATCATCTTAAAACTCGAAAGACTTAACTAAGTAACTAATTTATAAATCATGAAGCTTGTTGGGTTCTTCATTTTTGCTTGAGATGTTACTTGATCCTGTTCTTGAACAGAAACTCGACGTTTCTCGTATTGGATTTGCTCCTTCGAGCTGTGATCTTGAGAACTGCACCTTCTGAGAGCATCCGTTGCACCACCCTCGTGATGTTCTTTGTGTCATCAATGCCCAGATGGTGACTTCCCATGAGCTTTATACCACACTGCTTCATCATTGAAACCATTCCTCTGGCCTGTCATGGCATATATTATTGCTGATATTGTAATAACATGTCATAGGATGATGATGCATAGTGATATATCCAAGTTACCTCACGGCCGTAGAAATTCAAGTAGACGTCTTTGAGATTGATCCACTCCATAAAATATGGCGGAAGATTGATATTTGAAACTACGCATTGCTCAGGAATCTTTGTCTTTATATCCCAGTTTCCACTGATAAGTAAGAGCAACTTAATCAATATCGCAAAGATAGCAAACTCCGTAAAGAACTATTTTTAAATTTATGAGAGAACTTTCAGGTAATTGTTTCTGTGCCTAAGGGAACAAACAGAGTTAACTCAAAGATTCACATCAGAATTCTCACCAGGTTACAAAAGCTGCATTGTTCAGATCCCCATCTGTACCTTTATCCCACAAGCCATGCCCAGCTAACCAAGCTTCAAATTCCTCAACAACTTGCTTAAATGGGATAGCTGTCTCATGCCACACACTGCGATTCGAATTTGAAAAGGTAGCGAGACGGTCTCAGAATCCAAAGAGAACAAAAAAAGGTGTTTGGAGAAGTTTGAGGACTCTAAACCAATTCATAGCATTATCATCATTTATGGCAGCAAAATATAATCAACTATTGCATTTCGTAACACACACATTAATGATCAGGTTAAAGTAAGAAAGAAAACATAACAAGCATTGTAGCCATATCTATATCTACATTCGGAAACAAGATAGAAGTGGCATACCGATCAACACCGAGTTCCCCATACTTGCCTTCGATGTATTTGTTAATTGCTTGCTCTCTCATTTTTGTGGGTCTTACAAACCTTATGAAGTAAAAAGAACAAATAATCAACTGCATTGTAACATTGACTGATAAAATTCATATAGGACATGTAATAAACCAAATTATGAAATCTAGCTATGAGCAATAAAATTCTTAAAGAACATCAATTTAACAGCTGTTAACTATGAACTTGCAGTTCTTACTCCAATGAAAACCAATGAAAAAAAAAAAAAAACTAAACCAATCAAACACACCGAGACCCTTTGACCATTAATAAAAGTTATGTCATTAAAGATAGGAAAGCTGTAATAACCTGTGGAACAAGTCTACGACTTCCATGGTTTTGGCATCTACGATTAGAACAGGAAACTCAAGAATCTCAACTTTTCCTTCCAAGTCGATAACCAAGAAAAAGTTGAAACCTTGTGACTTCTTTCTCTCAAGATCGGCTGCAGTCACTGGAAGTTCCTTGGAACAATCATGGTTGAAAATTTCCAAATGGGTAGGATCATCCATCTGATGACACCAATGTAAACTTTACTACTCATGATTCACGATTATTTAGGTGTAAACAAAGGAGTGAAGAAATAACTATAACGATCGAGACACAAACAAGAAACAAGTTCCAATCTCGTTCAGACATTCCATCGAACAAGTCGCAGACATAATACAGTCGATACAAAATTCGCATAAAAGCGTTTGTTTAGACACAGCCACTCAAAGCAGGAACCAACCAGAAATTAAGAAGGACATGGAATCTAATCCGCTGTAGCAAAAAACAAAATTTCACAAGGAAGACGAGTAGCAAAGCGTTTTACCTTTGTGCACTTCCCGTGAGTGTAATACAAACACATGGGTCTCCACCTTGCAATTTTACTTGTTTCCATTAACGAAAAAGTAGAAGATGAAGAAGAAGAAGAAGAAGAAGAAGAAATGTCAGAGGGAGAAGGAGATGACGATACAGAGTGCGAAGAGTTGCACATAATTCGTTTGGTATGAGCTAAAGCGAACGTGGCGGGATAAGAGAACCGGCTATCACGGAAAGGACTAATTCTTGATATCGAAACCCGAAATGCAGAGAGAGCCAACGCCATAATCGTCGAAAAGCTTGACGATTAAAGATAAAAGATGCTCAGCAGCTCAGGGTCTAGGAAACTTAACTGTCCTGGAACATAAGCTACTGAACTATTACAAATTTACTCAAATCTATATCGAACCAAAACTGAATTTAAAACCAAACTGATTTATATCCACACAAAATTATAACCAAAACCAAACCATACCATGAAATTTGATAAACCGATTAGACCAAATAAAAAAATAATGGTCATAAATTGAAAATTACGAACTACAGGAAATGTAATAACTTAGACTCAAAAGATGAACATAAACTTGGCCAAAACTTAGCAGTTGTATTCAGAATCGAAATAGATATATTTACATCCAAAAGTGGAACAATTGGTAGCTGAATTCAGATTTGTTTCAATATACCGAATGGACTTAGAAGAGCAAAGGCTGTGTTGTTTCATTGCGGCAGATAAACCCCCGGCTAAGAGATGCTTAATCTAATCTTCATTAACATCTTCTGTGAAGTCTTCAATAACCTCAGCTCTATTAGATTGTTTGTTCAACGAGCGCATCTCCTCGATTTCAACCGTTAACATTGCATCACAAATCACTTTGTTATTCTGCAGTTTACCTCGGCATCCTGGGATTTTAAGTAGTCATAGGGGAAAAAATCAGTATGAAAGGAAATGGGAACGGTGTCTCTATAAGACGCTATGGGCAAGAACTATCTTACCTGCTACAGGACAATTTGCATTTGGATTGTTGACTATGTAATGCAGGATTACAGCTTTCTCATAGACGTGCCTGCAATCCATACTGCAGCCAGAGAAGGATTAGAAAGACTCAGTATCAGTTCACCGCATAATCATCTATCATTCATGTAAATTATCCACCATAAAATGTGATTAACTCTACGCTACATGGAAGATAAAGTAATATTTCACATTCTATGATACATATGGAACTCATGATCGAGTAAATATGGATTTAAGGATCATCCTACATACACATGAAGCATGGGAGAGATCAAGCAAATCATCCATAAAAACAAGACATCCAAGCATTCATAGTACCTGCGAACTGGCTCTGTTAGTTCAGTGACAGGCTTTCCGCTCAAGGGGCATGTCATGTTTAGGAGAGGGCACTGAGTACTGGTCATGACAATGTCCTCTTCATCGTCACCAGGCATTGGTTCACCAGCATGATGAACGTTCTGCAGCAAAACATTGACACTAAATGAAAATCGGACTACAGACATATTAGATTCAAGCTAAGAATAGAAGTAAAAGACAATACTATTCTGAAAAAAAGGAAAATAAACTGAGGAACTAATGATGTAGATGCATACCCAAACAGCTTCCCTGAACTGACGCATCAAATGGTCATTTTGTGGCATTGAAGAAGGTGCAGCCTTGAGCTTTGTGAATTCATCATCAAGCAACTTCTGAAAGTCCGTTAACTGCAGTCATTAGAGTGAATTAGTCTGTGAAACCTAAAAGTAAGCAACTGACTAACTAATTATGTAACACCAGAAAGAGGAATGGGAGTACCTGTTCCCTAGGTTGGTACCCATTGGCAACAGACTGAATTGCTGAAGAACGGTGATTACAATCACTATATAAATTCAGTAGCTCAGCCACAGAATTTTCAAGATCTTTAACCTGTGGAACCCAAAAATATCAAAATGAACACCAAGTATAAAGAGCATTTAAGAAAAAACAAAGCCAGACATCAAGGAAAGAGTTAGGCGGGAGAGGACAATACAATGTCAGAAAGAAAGAGATATGTGATAACAAGTTGTACAGCGATACAATTAGCCAAGAATCAATCATAGAAGAAGAAAGTCGAAGCACCCTCAAGTTAATGTGAGGATCACTTATGATTAGCCAATACAAAAAAAAAAAACTCATGGAGATGAAACGGCTTTAGACTAAACTATTGAAGCAAAGAAGAAAAGCGAGTACAACTGCGCTATCGCTGAAAACACTTCGTCTCAAATCAATATATTATAGGGTTAATCAGACAAACGAAAAAATTGAATCCAAAATAATAACCCACCTTGTCAGTTTGATTTTCTTTCTCCAATTGAACAGCAATGTTCTTCATCATTGTCACAGCTTTGCGGATATCCTGCACATATAAATAAACAAAACCAGGCTACTATGAATAGCTTGAAGGCAAAGCCAATCCAGAGGAAAGCAAAAGATAAAGCAAATTCCTAGGCTATATTTTCCCCCAAATATGAAACCCCCTTGTTTACTTCTAACTAGTCAAAACCCATCATCAGCCAAAGCTCCTATTTCTCAAAGCTCTTGGAGGAAATTCTCAGAAACCGATATTCACATCAAAAAGGGGAGAAGGCAAAAAAAGTGAATGTGGTTTCGACGAAAATACTCACAGCAAGCGTGGAATTGTTATCAGATACAAGAACCAACGAAGCGTTTCGAATCCTTCCGGCAACTCCGTCGGAAGAGGTCGCCGTCTCCATAATTATCGCTCCTTCGCTCCAATTTTCTTCTTCCAAGGTTTGTTTTTGGAGGGAGAATTGGGAGTCGGAGTCTCGGAGATAGTGTGAGAGCCTGAGTTATACGGTGGAGGTTTGCGAAATAGAATGCGTGCCGTCTTGTGCTTCTATAACCGACACGTAGTTAATTTTGGTAAAGCCATAAAAAGGCCGCAGCCCAATTAAATCCACAACATAGCCCGTCTAGGGTTTGCTTAATAGACTGTGTGCCGTCTTATGCTACGATAAACGACACGTAACTAAATCGATTCAAACGTGTTAGACATGAGGACAACCAAAGATGGCATGCAGTTTAAGGATATAGATCTCTTAAAACGTCGTCGTGTTAGCTCCAATCCTCCTGCTCCGGGACTCGGAGTCGACGAAGCCGAAGGAAGGCCATAGCATCCGACTTCATCATCATCATCATTTGTATTTTCTACTGACCATTCTTCTAGTTTGAGAACATGAGCGATCAAGAAGGAGACTGGAATTTTTATCTCAGAATCCTAAGCAATAGCGCGCGGGATTCTACGGATCCTGCTTCTGATCCATCTATACTACAATCAGTACGCATCTTGTTTATATGAAGATATAGGTTCAGCTCGAAAATGGTACTGTTAGATGAAAAAGGGATTCATTGCTTGGGTTTTGTTTGAATGTGTGTGGTGGATTAGGTGAAGAAGCTACATGGGTTCTGTAAATTGGAAAACTCAGATGATCTTGTGGCTAGAGTTTATCCGCAAATCAATAAGGTCTTCCAGCGTTCGGTTGCTTCACTGTCTCAGTCCGATTCAGGGACGTCCAAAGGCCTTCTCTTGCTAGTATGTTACTCTCCCTTCGAATTCTTATAAACAATTTGTTTGAGCTTGTTTCAGATTATTCGTTTGGTTGTTTTACTGTTTTGGGTCCTAACGTATGGTGCATTCAAAGACTATGTGTTTGTGTTTCAGGCCATTCTTCAGTTTTTTCTTGATTTTGGGGATATGGTTCTGCACGATGCTGACCCAAGTTTGAGGACTTTCTTCCGCTCGTGTCTTAGCCGGTATGGACTTGCTTTTGTGTTTGATATATAGGTCGTATTGCTTGATTGTTCTTTCAGTCTGCTCATATATCTTTGCTACTATCAGTTTATGTAGATAATTCTTTGGTATTTTATTTGGGACATTTATGCTGATCTTTTCATGAATCTTCCTTTTAGTGAGTTTTCAGATAGTGCTGTTGCAGAGGCAACTTGTGAATTCCTTATTGCGAACAAGAGCAAGCTCTTAGCGTCTTTCCCAAACTTACTCCCTCAGGTATAAACTAGGAAAACTAGCCATATAATCCTCAGAAGTTTATTTTAGCTTTCAGCCTCAAGAAAATTACTCTCTTAATTAGCAAACACATTTCTTTCGTTATTCTGGTGTGCATCAACATCTGTAAGAGAACTGTATCTTGCTGTCCCCACAGATTTATGCAATCTAGCTGTTCCACTTTATCTTTCTTAACTTGTGTCCATGTACTTACTCACCACTTCAAAAATGAAGCCAGAACAGAAATACCATCTAATACAAGAAATTGTATCTGCAGTTTTTCCCGTTGTTGCTTAAGCTCATTGCCTGGAATTGGGAGAAGTAAGCTGGAAAATTCTTGCTATATTTTTTATTCCATTTTCTAAGTGATTATGTATCAAGGAAATAATATTTCATGCTTCTTATTTCAGGTTGGAAAAGTCCTTCCTGAAGATATTTCCCGGACTAATATCACCTGGGTCATTTCTTCCTCTGTTTCCATCTATTGTAGACTTGCCAAGTGAGTCTGCTTGTCTGAAAATTGCTACTTGATTTCGTATATTTCTTTCTACTCTAATTTGGAGCCCACTTGGGTGACTCCAACTGGTAACTTCCATGGATTTGAGCTTGTCTAGTAACTTTCCATAGATTGTTGGACTGTATTCTCTCAGCCTGATTGAGTGTGCGAGTGTACTGTGTACTAACTATATATCTTCTTCTAATTGTTTTTGCTAGTGTTGGTCGTGGCATTAGAGAAAGTGGAAAGAAGCTCGGGGTCAGGGTCAAGGGTTGGAGGTAGCATTGCTTCAATTCAGAAGAGTGCAGCTCCAGAGGTCTTATATTTCATAAATACATACACCGGGTTGACATTTCAGATACTCAATGAATGACAAGGATCCCTTGAATGCAGATGCTTCTTGCCCTTATGGATGAAGCCTATACTGGTTCAACCATCGGGGATGGAGGGGATGACTCTGAATCTGAAGATAACAATACAATAGATGTAGCTGACCCTCTGTTTCTGGAGCTTCTGAAGGACGAAAATGATGGTCTAGCTGTATGCCTCCTTCCTCGGGCTTTGCTTTATTTCAAATTCCCAACAGCAACAGTTCCATTTAAATATTTTCTATTAGTAAAAATTTAGGGGACTGTGTGAAAGTTGGGAGGTTTTTTAATTATCTAATATTTTAGAAAAACTGGAAGTGTTTAGTCAAATTTGTGCTGCAGGAAAGACACCGCGCTTCTCCTGCATTGAATGCAGCGCTGCAGGCTGCTGCAAGTGGTCCTCGGTCAGAGAGGATGAAGCAGACTCTTAAGATTGCTCCCCGACTTCTTGATGTCTACTTTAGTGTTACATTGCGAGATGCAAATGACTGTAAGATAATTAACATTCTTCCTAGGTTTATTTAGTTGCTAAAGAAGAATAAGTCAGTTACCAACTTAGTTAGGCCTTTGACCAATATTCCATTTCATGCTTGTTTTTCTTTCTTTCTATTACTTTATATTTTGCAGCTCTGATCTGTGCGTTAATCCCTCTACTCATGACAAGAAACTCTACAATGTTTCCAGATAAGAATTTTTCTCATGAGGTATCACGCATCTTCAGTATTGTTTATGATACTTCCTTTTCTGAATACTATCCTTAGAAAAGCATTCGAACATGCAAATTGACAATGTTTGTTGATTTCTCTCCTCCATATTTGAGTGGAGCGTCCATTTTGACATCCTACTGTTCTTCAGAAATCCAATGCTATTTTGACCTTTCATTGTATAAACCTGTATTGCTGCCATAGTAGACCTTATCTTACATAGATATTGTTTGCATATACAGATCCGTAGGAGGCTGCTGGAATTTGTACTAGCTGCGTTTCAGAGGTCTCCAAATTTCATTGCCCTGTTGAAAGTAATGTCTTCCTATTTTTCTAGATTTTTGGTTTCTGCTGTTAATAGCTTTTAGACTTTGGATTAGAAGTTTTCACAGTGCATTGCTAGATATACTAGTCAAAATCACCCTTCGCTCATGGTTTACTTAGTCTTATGATTGCCTCGTATATTCTCAAGGAGTAATTTGCCAAAATGCATTCTCCACTTCTTACATAATGCAGAAGCCTATAATTGACCGGCTTGGAGAAGCTTACGATGATGTTGCAAAGGTCAGTTTCTAATATTTCGATGGATTGGATGCTTTTTAAGATAAATCTCCTCTAAGCATTTTCTTCTGTAGAGAGAGTTAGCTTTACAGCTATGTTGGGCAATTGGAGAGTATGGTGGCGGGGGAGAATCACACAAGGAAGCTGCTCGCGAGCTTTTTGAAAGTTTAGAATTGCTTCTATATGAGAATCTCTCATCAAGGTATTTTAACTTTTGTTATATATCAGCATTCTGATTTGTCAGCCAGAAAACAGAAATGGTATTTACACTGTTTTTCGCAATTTGCTTCCCCAACAACCAAAAAAAGCCGCCTAGGTCTGAGACAAGAGTCTGGGAATGGTTCCAGAAGAACAACACAGTCAAGACTTTTGTGTTTTGTAGTGACAGCTATTGCAAAGCTTGCAACATATCACCGGGAATTGTTACCAAGAGCCCGTGTCGCCTTGGGAAAGGTACATGGAGACATATCAAATCCAGTAACGCACTTTTATTAGTGATCGGTTTAACTTATAAAATCAGGGTTCCACAATTATGTACATCATGTGTAGGTAGTAAGGTCTCGGATATCTGATGCAAGGGTTTGGAGACGAGCACATGATTACTTGGGACTAATGAACGAACCAGGAATCTGTTGGTCTGTGTTAGGACCTTCACGGGTTTCAGAAAAACGGTTTCCAGGCACGATAAACTGGAGCGAGGGGGGGCAAAAAATGGTCGCAAACATTCCATTTCACATTCTTAGTGAACAAGGAGGTAAAGAGACTCTTCTCATATCTCTATCAAAACTTGATTCAACAAATGTTACTGGAATTAGAATAGATCTAAAGTTTTGTGTCATTTTTTTGCAGGTCCTCCGTTCCATGACTTTGCTTTCTCCGATGTCATCCCCAAAAACTGATGAAACAAAGAAGTTTCAAGAAATTGTGTTTTGTTGTGTATAGTGAGAAAAACCCCATAGGTGTTTTTTCTGTGTGTACCAACCATCATCTGCAATATTTTTTTCTATCCAGCAGATGTCGTTTTGTAACCTTTAATTACTACTATTGTATGTTGTTGGCAAAATTCTCAACCTGACCCGGGTTGTTCCGGTTTAAATTTGGTCTCACGCCCGGTTAAATTACAAAAAAAAAAAAAACGAAAAGTTTAATCCGACACAATAATGACGAAATTGCTCATCGCCGTATTTGATCCTCTTTTCTAACAAATTCCGAAGGAGAAAATGCCAAAAAACAATACAGAGGTGTGGGTCCGGAGCTTAGCCGTAGACTCGAAAAACGACACCGTAGGGTTCAGGGCGGAGGTCGGCGGAGATGATTCTCTCCTCCACCACTGCACACTCATACATACGTCACTCGACTTGTGTCTCTACCTGTGTGTTAAAATAATAAGTAATCTCTTGGTACTCGAGTCTTTCCTTCTCCTTTTTCTCTATCTCTCTCTCTCTCTCCTTCTCTGTATTCTCATGCTTTTAAACAAAACAATCCACAATTATTGATCCTCAGCATCATTATGACTTTCTTATTTCTCCCAACAAAATCAGCAGCTGACATTGATCTATCTTATTGTTTTTACGAGTTTTCTTCTCAACTAAACGTAATACTTCTCTATAAAAAAAATATATATATAATGAAATTCATGAGATAACGTGTCGAGTTTAACAAAAAAAAATACCAAAAAAAAACTCGTCATGATAAAATTGTAAAAAAGTTTCAGATCAAAAGTTTTTGTAGTTAAATACAGAAAAAAAAATTGAGTTGAAATTTTGTGAGAAGCATAGGGGGTGAAAAAAATAGCAGGAGAAAGGGCAAAAAAAAAAGATGAAAGATGCATGCAAAAGATAAAGAGATGGGAATATATTTTTCAACGCGACGTTACCTTACTACAGATATGACGCGTCTATATCCTGACCGTCCGATTTTTTTTTCTTCAGACGCTGATGGATGGATGTGATTGCTTCTTTTGATTTGATGCATCCATGCACCTCTGTTTTCCCCTTTTTCATTTTTTCTTCCAATAGGTTTTGTCTTTAATGTAATAATAATGCTTTAATGCGTTATATAATTTTTTTTCGTAAAGAAGAAGTATCTTATTGCTCGCACTTCTAAACAGACAAAGATCCAAGGAGTATCCAATTGATTAACTTTATAACAGTTTAAAATAAACTTGATTTCTTTTTAAACTTTAGGGTGACGTAGAATCCCCTGAATTTTTCCAGTCACGCACGCTTTGCATGCTCAAAAGACAAATGTCCAATAATATCGTATAGTACTAGATCCTAACACATTTTAGCAAAAATAATTATATCCTATACACACACATATATATTCGTTTTGTGTGGTGTATTGTACACATCAACATCAACTCTGTCTGTCACTAGCTACTGTCAAATATCACATCAGTTGCTTGTAGAACAGGAGAAACACAGATCATTAAAAAAGGACCCTTTTTTTTTATACATTTCCACTTCCTTTATCTTTCAGCGTTTGGATACCTGGAGTTTTGTTATTTTTAGAGCTTTCTTTTTCTCTTCTGTGTGTTTGTGGATACCGACAATGGATATTGATGTGTTTAATGGTTGGGAGAGATCAAAATTCGAAGATGAAACCCTAATGCCACCTGGTTTTAGATTTCATCCGACTGATGAAGAGCTGATTACTTACTACCTCCTCAAGAAGGTTCTTGATTCCAATTTCTCTTGTGCGGCCATTTCTCAAGTCGATCTCAACAAGTCTGAGCCTTGGGAGCTTCCTGGTAAACCTACCTAATTCACCTTCTGTTTCACCTATTGCACCAAAAACTTTACCAAACTTGATAATGAATCCCATCTCTAGACTTTTGCTTTAATCGTCATAAACCCTAGTTTCAATCCCAAAGTTTTAGACTTTCCTCTGTTCTTTGCTGCCATTTCCAAATTGTAGGACTTTGCGATCAAATGTGTTAGTTTAGTTGTAGGACGTTGTAGGCGTAACAAAGATATTGTTGCAACTCTTTCAACTTTTATCAGTTTTAAAGATCTCACACTCTTGTTTTCAACACTGAACGTTAGTGACCAGTCCTTGTGTTCGGTTCTGAAACAGAGACATTGTCATAACTCGATGCAAAGTTTATAACTTTTCACTCTATACCTTTTTGGGCAGAGAAAGCGAAAATGGGGGAGAAAGAGTGGTACTTCTTCACACTAAGAGATCGAAAATACCCAACTGGACTGAGAACGAACAGAGCAACAGAAGCTGGCTACTGGAAAGCCACTGGTAAAGACAGAGAGATCAAAAGCTCCAAGACAAAATCACTTCTCGGGATGAAGAAAACTCTTGTCTTTTACAAAGGCAGAGCTCCTAAAGGAGAGAAGAGCTGTTGGGTCATGCATGAGTATCGCCTTGACGGCAAATTCTCGTACCATTACATTTCTTCTTCCGCTAAGGTAAACTTTTAAATCTCTCCATATAAATTTCACTTTTTCTTAAAACATATTATAATCAAAATGTTTACTTTGGTGTTTCGTTGTACACAGGATGAATGGGTTCTCTGTAAAGTATGTCTCAAAAGCAGCGTAGTTGGTAGAGAGACGAACTTGATCTCTTCTTCTTCTCCTGCCGGATCTGTGATTGCTCCGATCATCAATAACTTTGCCACGGAGCACGTGTCCTGTTTCTCCAATAACTCTGCTTCTCATGCCGAAGCAAGCTTTCCTACTACATACCTTCCCGCGCCACCACCGTCACTCTCGCCACGTCAGTCACGTGTCGGTGATGACGTGGCTTTTGGTCAGTTCATGGATTTGGGATCATCGGGGCAGATTAATTTCGATGCAGCAGCAGCAGCAGCGTTCTTCCCTAATCTACCTTCTCTGCCACCAACGCTGCTTCCTTCTCCTCCGTCGTTTGCAATGTACGGCGGAGGCTCCCCGAGTGTCTGGCCGTTTGCTCTCTGATGATCGTCATGCGGCTATAATCCATCTCTACTATCTTTTAATATTTTTATCTATCAAAAAGACCTTGTATTTTCTTAAATTAGTGCCTTTGTATTAGTCTCCAATCGTATCCTCTTGACTTGTCTTTGTTTTCATGTTTCTAAACATGACATCTCTTCGGATTTTCATATGCAACATATTTTCTAGTTTGAAAGCGTCCTAAAATGGTTAAATTAATATCTTCATCTTATTAAGAAAAGCTTTGAATATAGATTTTTTAGGAGACTAAATATAAAAAATGTACCAAATCTTAATTAATGACAGAAGGAAAATTACAAATAATGTATTCCTTTTTGTTTTTCTTTTTTTTTTGGTTCAACACAAATAATATATTCCTAAAAGCTATTTACTACATTTTGATCACAACCATGGGCCTTATGACCTAAATGGGCTAGGCCTTATATAAAGAGTAGCGTTTCCCAGTTGCCACGCGTTTGATGAAGCATCGGACTTAAGTCGTCATCAAAGAGGTACTTTTCGTCTCTACTCATTCTTGTTCGCAACGAAACAAATTTTGCTGAAAAGAAAGAATAATTAAAAAAAAAAAATCGCCATGGAAGACGTTAACCAGCTGTTCGATGCTGCTTTCGAGTTCGCACACTATCCTGGTAACTAAGCTCCCTCCTCGTACCACTTCCTTAATACCTATTTGTGCGATTGTTCTAATTCCGTCGTGATTGTACCATTTTTATCTCAGGCGTTCAAAATGAAGCGTCGGTTAAGGAGTTCCTCGATCGCTTCCCTCTTCCCGTCATTTTCAAGTGATTTTCGTCTTCCAACTCCGCTTAACTTTACGATTTCTGTTTGAATCTTAGTTTGTTCAGGGTTTAAGTAATTTCTTGGCTTCATTGGGTTTCTTTTTTGAGTTCTGGGTGCGTTTTAGTTGTTAACTGAGAATTCGTAATACTCGCGTGCAGGGCATTACAAACTGATCCGGACATCCCAGGTTTTGAAAACACGCTAGTGACTTGCTTGGAGAGGCTGTTTAAGACTAAGTATGGCGCCTCACTCATTCCTCAGTATATGGTAATACAATACTCACTGATTTCGATTTATAGATTTGTCTTTGAGCCAATTTCTCTATTTGTAGTCTGGTTTTTCAACTGTTTGGTGTTTGTTTTAAGCCTGTTCTGCAAGTTGGTCTCAAGGCGGATTCTGCAGTTGTGAAATCTCTGGCTTGCAAAACAGTAAGTGTCTATATAAGTCTTGGTTTATGCTTTTTCAAATGTTTGTCTAGTTTGTAGTGTTTGCTAATGTTGAAGTCTTGTTTCGGTTTCTCTTAAGGTCCTTTGTCTCTTGGAGAATTGCGATACAAACGATGTTTCCCCTGTTCAGCTAGTTGTTAGCAATGGCATATACCCCCTTCTGCTTGATTATATCATTAACAGGTGAGACGCCATGTTTTATTGTTCTAGATTATATTCTTACAGTTTTCTTCATTCGTATGGGATTTACTAAAGACCAACCAGAAATACTGATTGAAGCATAACGGTTACCAACGAGAAAGCCTTTGGATTTGTCTTGCGGGATTCAAATATGGCTTTAGTAACTCTAAATAGCTGCTTGCCTCAAAGTTCGCTATTGACATTTTTTTGTTTATTTCTGATTTTCTGTAGCGATGATGAAGTGGCACATGCTGCAAGCGAGACAATTAAGAGCCTAGCACGTTTTCCCGATGCAATGGTCTGTGTTTAATGTTTAACCAGTTATTCTGGCTCAGTGGCTAGTTCTTTTACACCATCCATTCCTGATTCATAAAATTCAATCCTCTTTTTCTACAGTCCATAATCTTCCCTTCTGAAACCAACGATGCTACACATCTTCGTAACCTTGCCGCAAGGTGTTCGTCACTGGTAATTCAACGCTTTATATAAATCCTTTTTACCATGATGTTCCATTCTTGTTTTCACATTACTATTATCCAACTGTTTTTCAGGCACGAGTCCGGGTTTTATCTTTGGTAGTGAAGCTTTTTTCGATATCTCGAAATGTAGCTTCAGAAGTTAAGAACTCGGGGCTTCTTGATTTACTGGAGGCAGAAATGAAGGGTACAAAAGACACTCTTGTGATCTTAAACGTTCTGGAACTCTACTATGAGGTTGGCCTCTGCCGTCTGAGATTAATATTCTATTTCCTTCCTTTGTTGCCCATGTTTGAAAGGAAAAGATAGAATTACGTTGAATATTTGTGCATGAACGCTGAAGTTAATGGAAGTGGAGCACAGTTCAGAGTTCGTGCCACAAACTTCGCTTATTCAGCTGTTTTGTTCTATCATCAGGTACAAACACTGTCAAACCTTTACCCATGTATGCAACTAAAAGAGTATGGATATATATATATATATATTAAGCTTCCATCAGCTCACCCTTCAATTTTTCTCTGGGTCTTATATTTTGTATAGTGGTTCATCGACGGGACCCTATGAAAAGTTAAGAGCAATGATGATAAGTGGCAGGCTCCTCTCGAAGGAAAATATCTACAACGTCGTGGAAGAAGCTAGTAAGTTTTCATCGTTTTTTTCCTTTATTAGTTAGAAAAATGTGATTGGTTTGTGTTTCCTTCTATATGCTTTCACCACAAGGAGTTTTTAGGGATTATGTTATGTTAAGACCGGAAGAGTTATACGGTTGTTCCCTGTCTCAAATTATCTGGGTCATTTTTGCTCCTATCATCAGATAATAAAAGCCTCTGTTTGCGATGCCTATGGTAAAGTGAAGAAGTTGACAAGTTAACAACAAATTGCTTTGTTTCTGAATGTAATCTATGAAAGATTATATAGCTTTTAGGGATAGACTCATCTTTTATTAGGCTTTACTGTAACTGGCAAAAATCCACTTTCACCTTTTTCCTGAATGCAGGTGTGAAGGCGTTAATTTCAGCCATTGATGGGAGTCTGGAGGCAGTGGAGATGAATGATAATGATGCACAGGAAGCAGCGATTGATGCACTTGGTCAGATTGGATCAAGTAAGTGGCTCACTTTCTTTGAAACTCCGTTTGTTGCAGTGGTGACAAGCATGGATTATAAGAGTGACTGACTAGATATTTGTTTTCCATGATTGTGTGACTTATATGTATATTTCGACAATAATATTTAGCAACGAAGGGTGCACATCTTGTCCTTTCAACTTCACCTCCAGCTGCAAGACACGTTGTAGCTTCTGCGTTTGATCGTAATGCACACGGAAAACAGTTGGTTAGTGTGTTATTGCTTCTCATCAGTTGAAATTGTACCCAGTATATGCTTTTTGGAAGCACTTTTAATATCCAATTTTCCCGTTTTATGGATTTCTAATTCTAGATAGTGATGGTTGATATATTGGTTCATTAGAAGAGACATTCATGATATTATTTGTCTCTGTTTGTAAATGGCATGTGCAGGCTGCACTGCATGCACTGGCAAACATCGCAGGTGAAACACGACCTAAGAGCAACAGAATAGTTGATGGAAAAGCTGAGGAAAGCCTTAGATGTTTGATATATGATGTTGCAGCACAGAGCACAAAACTAACCCCATCCGTTAGTTCATTTCCTCTTTTGCTTATTCTTTCTCATTAGGCGCAGGCTACATATGTTTATGTTCAATCCGTAGCCTTAGCTAATTGAAGCATGCCACACAAATCGCAGGGTTTATTTCTCGTAGTTCTTCAACAAAGCTCAGAGATTCGTCTTGCGGTAAAGCTTTAACCTCGGCATTTTGATATTTCAAAACTTCTCCACCTTTATTTTTCTGGTTGGAAAATTCAAAATGCTACACTACATTTCATTTCAAACAAAAGTTAAACCTTTCTTTTGTCCTTCTACACAAAACTCGGATACATGTTGATCAGTTTATCTCACATTTTAAGACCTTTACCCATTTCCTAGAGGGAACTATGTGTTTTAACATGTAGTTTACAATGTCGTTTGCAGGGCTATAGAACGTTAACAGCATTGGTGGCTCGACCATGGTGCCTAGTGGAAATCTTGTCTAAAGCAGAGATTATAAACATAGTTACAGATGCAACTACTGAAACTGAGAAAATAGGTAAACCAAGTAGCACTCCTCACATCACACACACTAGCCATTGTATTGGCTTCTTTCTCCCTTAGCTCCTTTGATCTATGAGTCTAAATCTCACATTTAATTTACTCAGCAATGGAAGCAAGGTATAACTGCTGCAAATCAATTCACGAAGCCTTCTTGTGTAGTAATTTTGCTGATGACTCTCGTCATCTAAAAACCGGTGAAAAGGTTCCATCGTTTTTCCTCTACTCACTTTACTTGAACAAACATATATCTTCTTTTGCTTGTTGTTGACATGTTTGAAATTTGTTGCAGCTGCAAGAAGCTGTTCAAAATGGTCCGTATATGTCGAAGAAGTACAGAGACGCACGACCAGAAGTAATGACAGGCGAAGGATTTTGAAGACATGACAAAAGAAAACTTACTTTTTCGTTGACGAAAGTTTTTTTTTTTTGTTTTGTTTTTAAATCTTCTTTGTTGTTCAACAAGTATACTTTAGTTCCTATAGAAACAGTAAAAAGTTTCAAAACGAGATCTAGGACTATGGCGTTTGAAATTTGTGTGTTTTTATTTTTATTTGGTGTTGAACATTGAGTTAATCAAAGAGAAATGGAAATTATGAGTTGGTCCGTTTCTGGTTTGCCATATCCCATATGAGATAATAAAACACAGTGATTGAAACGTTGTTAAGCAATCAACTAAGGGTAGTATAGTAATTACGTTACGTTTCCAGACATCATCTCTTCCTTTATGGATAACACTGGTTCGAAATGGAGCCATTATACTCTTTACTAACAGAGCAGAGAAGAGAAGAGGAAGCCTTGTAGAAATCGATGGCGACGATAGTGCAGTGTCTTTCTTCCTGTGCGACCCTCGAATCTCAATTCAAAGTCCTTTCGATTAAGGGAATCTCTTGTTCGTCATCATCTTCTTCCTTCTCCACTCGTCGTGCTTCGTCGGCTGCTGTGTGCTCTTCCCTTAGCTTCTCTCAGAGCGTTTCTCAATGTGTCGCCTTCTCCTCCGGTAAAAAAATCCCTACTTCAGAATCGTGAATTTTATCCTGTTCGTGGAGTATCGTTGAAATGTTTATGCTACATTTTAAATTTCATTCGTGCTCTTTTGTTTTCGATAGTGGCAAAATTTTAGGCCTTTGGGATTGAAATTGTACATGTTTCGATAGGGAATATGTGGGAACAGAAGCCAATGAGGCAATTGATTGTGTGTGAGGCTACTGCTCCGACGAAGAAAGCTGATTCAGCTGCTAAGAGAGCTCGCCAAGCCGAGAAGAGGCGCATTTACAACAAATCTAAGAAATCTGAGGCGCGTACACGGATGAAGAAGGTAATCTTGTAAACTTCATGATGTTTCTCTCAACATTATGTTGGAGTGCTCTTTGAAGATAGGATACAAGATTGTTGATAAGCTTGTAGGTGTTGTTCCTCTCAAGTTTTACTGATAAGTTAGGTGGATTCAATATTAGGGAATGTAGGAAACCAGTAAACAACACTCAACATTGGAATCCAAGTAGGTGGATTAGTTATCAATGGATTTATCCAAAATTGAACTCAACTGGAGGCTGTTGAGACTGTTTCATGTTGTAATTGGAACTTATGAGAGTCTAAAAAAGTCTTGATAGTTTATAATAACTTATTATCCTCGCAACTATAAGAATTGTAATTGTTTGTAATGAACTTTCTTACATACATGCAAGGTGAGAGTAAAATCCATTTGAGTTATATATATTCTTAACAGGTCTTGGAAGCACTTGAGGGACTCAAGAAGAAAGCTGATGCGCAACCTGATGAGATAGTATCCGTGGAAAAACTTATAGGAGAGGCTTACTCTGCAATTGACAAAGCAGTGAAGGTTAAGGCGCTACATAAGAACACCGGTGCCCGTAGGAAGTCTAGGCTGGCAAGGAGGAAAAAAGCCGTTGAGATTCACCACGGTTGGTATGTCCCAGACGCAGCAGCAGCATCAGAAGCTGTGACAATGGCTGCATAAGAACATGGAGCAGGATAATGGAAATTTGTTTTTGTTACTAGATCTTTCAAAATCAAAATCTGTTTTCTTTATAATGTACATTTAGTCGCTTTCAGACTCTTCTTTTGTTAAGTTCGAGCTAAACATTTTGTCTTCTACTCTTGGCTTGGTCTTGTTCTGGTTAAGTAACATCTCAGTTCTTGGCTCTGGCACCATTCCTCTTGACAACATCTCTTGAAAGTGACTTAATGCTTCTTTAATTTTTCCCTTTGTATGCAGACCATGGATTCTAATCGTATATGTTCTCTGATCTGGTCCTAATCCACTTCTCTCCATCTTCCCCCATATCTCTCTCACTTTATCTTCATTTTCCCATTGAACATATAGCCTAAACATCAAGTTGTACAAGTCGCTTGTCATTTCACACCTGTTCTTTCTCATCCTCTCCAAAACGGCCTCAACATCCTTAGGCTTCTGCGAATACTTAAGCAAGTAACCGAATGTCACATCGTTGGGAGAACAACAACTACCTTTATGTTCCATCTCTTCCACAAGCTCCCAAACCTTCTCTGTTCTCCTAATCTTGCATAGATGCTTCAAAAGCGAGTTATAGGTCACAACATTAGGCAAGCAACCCTTCTCACCCATCTCTCTGAATACTTCAAGAGCCTCTGGGATTCTCTTCTTGAAACACAAAGCATCAATGATGTTATTGCAGATCTTAACATCGGGGTTTCGTCCGGTTTCCCACATTGCTCTGTATAGCTCCATGGCCTTTCCCACTTTCCCCTTCTTCGTCAACGCATTTATCATTGTTCCATAGCTGACAACATCTGGCCTACATTTAGAAGCAATGATATCTTTCCAAATCCTCTTAGCTTCATGAACATTTCCCAAAACACACCAACCATTGAGAATAATATTCATGGCTTTTATATCGCAACCAAACTCTCTTCTACGAGAGGACAACAAGGTTTCTGCAAATTCGACATGCTTATACCTACACAACCACATCAAAAGCCCATGAAATGCAACCAGATCATCCTCTATCCCAAACTCTCTCCTCCTCTCAAAGACTCCTACGGCTTCATCTACTTTGTGCGCAGCAGCGTATCGGTTGAGCAAAACGTCATATGTCTTCTCGTCAACAAACCCATCTCTACTAGACATTTCGTCGAACAGTTGGTGGAACTCTTCAAAGCGCCGCATTTTACCAAGAACATCGAGAATCTCGTTAAACACCAAGGAGCTAGATAGGTAAACAGATTGTTGAATGATCAATTGGTAAAGTAAGTAAGCCGGTCTCCAATCAGATCGATTCCAATTAAGCACTCCTAGAACCAGCTCCTCCGTTAACCCAATCCCGCACTTACCGAGAATCCGCTCAATCTCTTCAGATGAACTTCCGCGGTGATTCTTAATGATGTTATGAACATCATCAACAGCAGTAGTAGATTGCTTGACATTGTCGTTGGAACTTGCGCCGGGAGCAGCAAGAGAATGAAGAAAGTGCGTGGCTTGATTAACACCTAGAAAGCGAAACCCAGGGAGTGTGATGTTGTTCTTATGATCCGGCTTCTCTGGAGGTAAAACACGGCGAAGAAAGAACAGAGATGAGGAAGAAGAGATATGGCGTCGCCATAGAGCATTTTGTAGCTGAAGTAAGATTTCAATTTTGCTTTTCCCACCCATTTTCATAAACTCTCCAAAGTACGATCTTTAGAAGCAAAACATATAACAAATACAAAATAACTGCATTAAAAAAAACTTTTTGATAATCAAATAGTTCTACCAAAAAAAATAAGGATAATAAAATAGTAACTTGTTTACATTATTAGTGAAACGTAAAAGATAATATATTCAAACAAATTGGTATAAAATATTTAAATTCCGAGATCGGGCAGATTCTGTGGCCCGAGGGTGGAAAACAAAAACCCAATCCATTATCCATGGCGTGAAGACAGATGTAGCTGTCGTAAAAGAATGCAATTAATTTAAAAGTAACAAGAATTAATTAGTGTAAACATAATATTAAAACAAGGTTTATATGAATAAATAAATCCATCTTAATTTGGTGCCGTCAATGTTAAATATTTACCGTCCGTCTTTTAGGAAACAAAACAAACGGCGGGCCCACCGCCGTTAGAATCTCTCTCTGTTAGCCGACGCGGCCACCATTCTCTCTCCTCTTGTCTCCCCATCTCTCTCCGTAATCATTCTCCACGCGTCGCGTTGACCACGTGGCACTATACATCTTTTAAACAAACAAAAAGATAAATGAAAACTTCTTTAGAAATTTTATAATTTAATTAAATAACGAGTGCGTTGTGGGCTCATGTTTGTTTTTTGGGCGGAGGGGCGGCTATGTAGGCTTTTATATTTTTTTATTTTCAAGAGAAAATAAAAAAAAAGCAGTCAAACTCAGAGTTGAATTGGAGCTGAGAGTCGAATAAGTCACGCACAACGCTCTTCTTCTTCTTATTTCACGCGATCGCCGTCGGCACGTGTTTAACGGTGAGATTCACGCTCCTTCTTGGTTACGCGTTTCCCTCAGCCGCGCGTCCTCTAGGTGCTGCCACGTATTTTCATCTTTTTTCATTCTTTGGTTTCTTCTACTCTCTCTCTCTGCTTTTCAGGCGCCGCTGCTAAATTTATTTCCTAGTTTTTGAATTTACTCTTGTCTTTATTAATATCACCTCCCTACTTATTATAATGCCCATTTCCGAATGTGTGTATATTTAGTTTTATAAGCACTCGTACATATACAATTATACATGGTAAATTTATTTCTAAACTAAAATTTGAGGTAACAAGTGTATTTGAATAAATTTATTCAGTGCTTCTTTCTCTTATAAGAATTAAAGTTGGAGTCGACTATGATAAGGGAAAAACAGAGTGAGTCTAAATAATCATAAGTTTAATATAGTAGTATAATACATATATGGAAACAATGCTGCATATGTGGCTGATAATAAGCACTCTCATTTGAAACAAATTTCATAACTAAGCGTGTGCAAATTCAACTAATTTATTATACTCTCACTGCCTATCTTTTTTAGAGGAAAGCAAAGCTTTTAAATCCTAAATCACGTGAGCATAAGGAACAAAACACTTCTTAATTCATAATCATGATATGGGATTACATTTCTTAATTGGGGATCCCTGGTTAACTAAAAAAAAAAATCTTATCAGCATTTATGGGAATACATTGTGTTGTGTGGGCAAAACAGCATACTCCACGCATCTCCATTAAATGCGTTAAAAATTGTCCGTGTTTTTGCAATTTTTTTTCTATATTGAACAACCCTTGTATCTAATTTTTGTTACAAAATGTATCAAAAGAAATAAATCTAGCTCATCAATAAAATAATATTGTTAAAAAAAGAAGTTTAATGCATAGATTTTATATTTTAATTCCCTTATTCATTAGAAATCTTTAATGCAAAGATTATATAGTTTAACTCCCTTATTCCTAATTATTCATCAATAAAAAAAAAATACAAAGATAAAGTGTTATTCAAAAAGAAAATTAAAGTAATTAATTCTGTATCTACATCCATCTCTATGTTTTTTGACAATGCATCTATAACAGTTTTTTAAAAAATACATCAATAAATCATTAATATTGATCAAGAAAAAAATTGAAAAACGCTTTGGTGTGGTAAAAAAGATAAAAAGAAACGAAGGGCTGATAGAAAAAGCAAAATTCTATGTAAAAAGGAAACAAAAACACGTGGCAAAGGATAAGTGGTGGTAAAAAGAAAAGAAGAGAGAAAAAAAACCATGAAAACCGCTGGTGTTTTTTAAGAGAAGCCGCTAAAACCATTTACAGGCTTTGACTGTTCACAACAAAGCGCCCCAAAAGGAGCGTCGCTTTTACTCTCTCCCATCCCATCTTATATATAAACAACTCTCTCGTCTTCCTCTTATTCCTTCAATTATCTCATCATCCTCTATCTCCTTCACACCCACTCTCTCTCTCTCTCTCTCTCTCCCCACGATATGGCCAAGATAGGCTTGAAACCCGACCCGGTGACTACTAACCCGACCCATAACAATAATCATAATAATAATGCCAAGGAGATTCGTTACAGAGGCGTTAGGAAGCGTCCTTGGGGCCGTTACGCCGCCGAGATCCGAGATCCGGGCAAGAAAACTCGAGTCTGGCTCGGTACTTTCGATACTGCCGAGGAGGCGGCGCGTGCTTACGATTCCGCGGCGCGTGATTTTCGTGGAGCTAAGGCTAAGACCAATTTCCCCACTTTCCTCGAGCTCAGTGATCAGAAGGTCCCTGCCGGTTTCGCGCGTAGTCCTAGCCAGAGCAGCACCCTCGACTGCGCTTCTCCTCCCACGGCGGTCGTTCCGTCTGCAACTTCTGGGATTGTTCCCCCGCAGCTCGAACTTAGCCTCGGCGGCGGAGGAAGCGGCGCGTGTTATCAGATCCCGATGGCTCGGCCTGTTTACTTTTTGGACCTGATGGGAACCGGCAACGAAGGACGTGGACAGCAGGCTCCTCCTGTGACGTTTAGGTCGTCGTCGGTGGTGCATGGTGCGACGAAGATGGTGGCCTGTGGGGCACAGAGCGACTCAGACTCGTCATCGGTGGTTGATTTCGAAGGAGGTATGGAGAAGAGATCTCAGCCGTTAGATCTAGATCTAAACCTGCCTCCGTCAGAACAACAAGCCTGAGCTTTGAGCGGTGTCGTTTCTTTTCGAAGCGCCATCCGTTTTCTTTTTTGAGCTGAGAGAATCTGTTTTCTCCTTAGTTTTCTTTCTTTCTACCTCTCTCTGTCTCTCTCTCTCATCTCTCAGACGAAATTATTAATCAGTTTTTTTAGAAAGAAGAAGAAAAAAAATCAAATCTGAGAGAGAGATGAGAAAAATATAATTTTAGCTGACATGGATCGTTATGTACATATTATTACATAACCGGAGATCTGAACTTTTGTTGTGTGTTTTCTAAATCTTTTTTTTGCGACTTGGCTTCACAATCCAATGTTGTTTCTATGTTTTTTTTTTTTTTTTTTTGTTGCTGTTGTTCCAAATTTTAAATCAAAATAATTTGGTTATCCTCAGAATGATTGCTGTCTAATATTCTAATTTCCTAAGTATCTTTAGAATGATTATTACTGCATACAGTATGTAGTTTGATATTCCGGCGGCTTCTTCTATATTGGTCTTCGTCCATCCTATCTTATATTAAACCATCCTTTCCAAAATAAAATAAAATAAAAAATCGAAGGCCTAAAATTACATATAAGCAATCGTGTAAGTTGAGTATTAGAAAATCCAAAAAAATAAAAGTGAGACTGATTAAAGAAAAATGAAAAAGGTTAGTTAGTTGAGTAATATCGTCGGCGTCGTCGGGCAAATAAAAACAAAGGTCCAAATTTTGAGCAGACACGCAGCCGGCGTGGGTGGACCCCAATCGTTTGTTCAAACTGCGGCGTATGTTAGAAACTCAAAATTCTTCTTCTTCGTGCTTGCGTCATTATACTTTTTTTTGGGTCCACTTTACATAGTACGGACATACTCGCTAACCTTTTTTTTTCTTCTACTTCTTCTTGTGGATTAGTTTTGTTTTGCAGATGAAAACATTATTAACACTCTTATTAGGTTCTGACAGAGAAGAACCTAGACTTTTAATTTGATTAGATTCTTAAGTTCTGAAAAGAAAAAATAATAATAAGAAATGCCGTAATAAAACAAAAATGATTTTGCTAAAAAGAAAAAACGAACAAAGATAAAGAGACAATAATATGTATTTTTTATTTTTTTTGCATAAAGATTTCTAATCGAGTATTTGTTGTCGGCAAAGATTAAAACAAAAAAAGGAGTCAATAGACTAGACTAGATATTGGTTTTAAAAAAATATTACTAGTATTCTTTTAAAAATAATTATGACAATGAATTGATTCAGAGTTGAATTGGCCTAAAAAAAACAATAGTATCATTTGACCTTTAAATTTAATATATATATATATATATATAGCGTTATTTTTTTAATTTATCCGTTTTGGCCAATTAATTCTAGATGGCTTGGATTTACTATTGGGGCGAAATGATTTATTTGGGGAATGCAAAAATTTTACATGTGAAAATATAATGATGGTGAAATGTAATGTATGAATAGAAGGAGTAAGATTCAAATGATGCAAGAGGAAAAGAGCAATAATTTAACGTTTGAAAGAAGGGAAAATAAAAGGTAAACGACGACGTATAGAAAAGAGAAGAGAGAGAGAGAGAGATGATTAAAAAGCGGCTTTGGCTTCATAATGAGAGGCAGAGAAGAGAGAGAGAGAGGGGTTTGATTGGGATTCTTGTCTCCAACTCTGCCATCAGAAAGAAGAGTCAAAATATTAGTATAGCTATCCCTTCGTGATTCGCGTGTACTTCATCCGACGGCCAGATTCTATCCTTTATCCACGTGTTCCAATCTATGAATTTTTTCATATATATAATAATTTACGAGAAAATTAAAAGAGAGAGAGGCGGCACCGACGGCCAAGCGAAAAAGGCAGCGCGAGTGACCCTTTTCATAAGGAGAGACCGAATCAGAGACGATGGCGCCCACCCCTTTTTTTTTTTTTCTTTTCTTTTTCTTAGTAATATTTATGAGAATATAGTACTTTGTAGTATTATTATTATTATTTCAAAGTCATTCTCTTAAATCTAATGTTTTTACAAACAAACTTATTTCCAGAAATAACCAAATGTTTTACTCATGTTTTTACCATATTCAACACACGGTTAATTTCACACAAGTAGAAAAACTAAGAATGTAAAACAAAGTAAGAGAAACATTTTTGTTATTTTTTGGACACGTTTATGATTTACTTATTTTTTTCTAGTACAAGTTTGGACATTCTGGCATATCATAATTAACTTTTGCGTGTTTTTTTTGTGTGTTATTTATCTAATTAACTTTTAAATATTTGTTTCATTTCTGTTTTACAATGAAAATTTTTTCCCTAACGGAATTTAAGAAGCATGACTCGAAGACGGTTTGAGCTGCTCTTTATTTGTAACTGGGGTTAATAAAAAACCGGAAATGGAGAAGTACCAAGAAAGAAGTAGCGTTGCGTGTGTTTGGAAATGAGCATGTGGCGCGCGTGTGAAAGTGGCATGGGATTGTAAATTCCGTGTTGACGAGGTTTATGTCGGGATTCTGGGTTGTCTTCACGTGCATCTCCACCGTCCGATAAAGTTTGATTCTCACTGTCTTTTTCTTTTTTTTCCATTATTGTTTTTTAATTACTACTATGCATTTTTGTTTACGTGAAGGACTCCGTAAATTGAGGTATTTTCATTTTTGGCCCCTCATCTCATCTTGCTCCCAAAACAGAACCCCACCTCCCACCATTTCTTTTTTTAATTCCATCATAAACTTTACAATTAGATTAATTTTCAGATTAAAAGCTACAGTATAAAGTTGAAATTAAAATAGAATAAAATGCCGAGAAATAGGCACACCAATTAGAAATGCACATGGACGATGATGGGAGTAATGTTGTATATAAAATTAATAAGATACAGGTTAGTTGCAGATACGGATATCAGGATCACATATATCTTAATTAAAACTATATGAGAGTGGATAAATTAATAATACATAATTGGTTTATATCCGTTTTAGCCGGAAAAAAAGAAAAAATAAAGTATATTTTATAAAGAAATAGTGATGGGGAGACACGTGTGAAACAAGATTAGCTGCGGCGGCCGCTTTTTATTGGGTGGAACCCCACACGGTTGATAATAAGTGTCATCCAGAATCTCAAACCCAACCAACCAGATTTTTTCCCTCCCTTTTTCTTCTTCTTCTTCTTCTATCTCTCTCACCTTAATTATTCCAAGTCGGCCACATAATTTTATTATTTTGCTTATTGGTCCTATTACTTTTTGATCTTTTACATTTACAACCCCAACAAAAACTCTACTATCTCAATCATCTTCTTTTTATTAATGGCGCGCACACACTCTGCATTCAAAACTCTCAGGACTAAATTTATTCCGGTTCCTACACGCACCGCTTCCCAATTACTAGTTTCTAAAGTTAACATCATCATTATTCACCAGCATTTCATTTATTCTGGACATGATTTTTTCACTATTTGTTTAGTTTTAGATGGCCTTTTTTACCAGATCAAGTTAGTAACATAACACTATATGTCAATCCTAAGTTCCTAACCATGAGAGGGCTTCAAAGAGTTGTGTGTTTCGAAAAAGGTAATAGAGGGTTCTCTTCTCGGTTCTCGAAGAAGAAGAAGTGAGGAGAATAATAGTGGTGGAAAAAAAAGAATAATAGTGGTGGGGGAGAGTATGTATATACTTAATTTTGAAAAGAAAAAAAGTATATATATATAAATGGAACCAATGGGAAGGAGGCACGCAAGGGTGGCTTCACCTGGACACATGTTACCAAATATGGGGACAGGTGGCGCTGTTAAATGTCGTAACGTGACAGACAGTCACTATATATGGTTGCGTCGTCGTCGGCTGTGCGTGTGACGCTGATGACATTGTACTACTCTCTCACGTGTGTGGCCGCGCGTGAAATAGGTCCCAGCTTTTGTGGCGCGGCGCGTGAGCCACGTGTACGACTTTTGCTTCCTTTATTTCCATTGGAACTCTCTGCAGCGAACCGAACAAGAACAATAAGCTTATTCCCATTTTACGTATTTATTATACTTATAACACATCCCTGTACTGAATAATTTCAAAAGTCACTATCTAAATTCTTTCTTTTTTTTTTGTCGTCTATCTCTATTCTTTTTATTAGTCTCTTTAAAATAAAAAAATATAGTACGCATTTTTCACCCTGATTTTGTGTGTTTTAAAAAAGAAAACAAAAAGGGAAAGGGGAGCAATACATTATGGGCGGTTGCCGTGAGCGTTAAAGAGGCGTTAGGTGCGGCATATGAGATGAGATGAGAGTGTTGGGTGGTGGTGGTGGTGGATGTGTCAGGTCAGTTGAAGTGTCGTCTTTTTCCATGAAACTTCTCGAGGAGGAGACTAGAGACCTCCTCATTGGCTTTCACGTGTCTTTGTTTTTGACATTTTACGGTGACGCCGTCAACTCCTTTTTTTTATAACTCTTTCTCTTCCTCTTTTTTAACTAAAAAAAATGATGTAATTAAATTTAGCCTTTTTCGTACTTGTTATCGCCGCCCTTCACGTTCCTTCCTATCGTTTCACATTCGCTTTTTTTGTTACTTTAGACATACAACAACAACAACAAAAAAAAGTAACAGTTTGATTTACAATTTGATTGCCGACATAAGAAAATCACTATTCACTGAAAATTGAACGATAGAACAACAAAAATGGTTTTTAGATTTTATGAAGTAATTGATAAAATTTCGTAGAATCTGATTTTCCAGAAAATATATTTTTGGCAAAATCATGACTGGCAAACTTTTAAAATTTTTAGAACAAAAAGCCAAAATCTATAATTTTGGTACAGTTTTTTTTTCTATAATTGTTTTTCATCGTTTATAATTATTGCTTATCTTTTAGCGTTAATAACTTTTTCCTCCCTAAAAGTTATTCTGGAACTGAAATTTTATATCAGCTATCTTTGGTAACCTTGTCTTAGTTAGTTACCGGGCTCAAATGAGAGGCCTGACCAAAATGATTCGAAAGAAACCCACACTCCCACAGTATATATATCTGGGAAATTATTTTAGATATTATCTTTCTAATTAATTTGAAACGGATTCGTAATTATTATTATCAAGAGCACGGATTCGTAGTTATTATCCATTAGTGGTATACCATGCATTCCTTTAATGCGTAAATCACTACAAAAAAAAAGTATATATTATAAGACAATAATTGAAAAAGCTATAGACATTACAATATACAATACTTTGACCTATTTTACAAAACAAGGATACATAAGCAGTAAGGAAAATTATCCTACGAGAGAGAATATATTATAATTACATAATGCAACAAAGCAAGGAGAATCGACAAGCCTCTTCCAGTGCCACCGTCACCACGTCAGCATACTCCACCGTGGTTACACGAGCGAGGATCCTTTTGTCCCTCTTGAGAACCAATCCTTTTGGCAAGCTAACAACGAACGACCTTAACAAAGACAAAACGCCGCTGCTTAGCGTTTTCTGCGGCAGAACTGAACTCTACTCGTTCCCTGTGTCACAATCTGAGGCAGCAGCAAGAGTTCAAGAAAACGTTAGCCACTTCATCGGAAACTACATCTCTGTCTTTGTCATCTTCTTCTTACTCTCTTTGTATAAGCAGACGACACCATTTTTGGTGCTGTTAGCGAGTTTTCCCGTTACGGATTATCTCGACAGCTTGATTATTAAAAAAGGACTTGATCAAGCTTACCCCTTCGCTCGTCGTTTGCTCTTCTTCATCTCCAAATTAGGTTATTGAACATGTATATCATACTAGTTGTGGACACACACATGCAAGAGAAAACAAGTCTTGACGATCGTTGTTGTAACTTGTAAGTGTTGTTTTGCAGGAATAGCGGCTCTTCTTTTGCGTAAGCAAGTTGTTATTGCTTTTTTCTTGTCTCTTTCTGCTGCCTACGTAGGTAAAACCTTTGTAACCTATTTCGATGTCTCTCTTATGTACATTTGTATGCTTGGCAACTGAAATGTTTGTTTGGTGTATATGTCTGTAGCAATGTTGTTGCACGGGGCGTTAAGGAAGTTGCGTGAGTGAGACTTGGAATTCTCTAAACTACTTTTGGGTTTTCTCGATTCGGACGAACTTTAGTAATATTAACATTGTATAGTATGCTAGCTAAAGATATTTAGTAGTTTTTCTAATAAACTTATCCATTTAAGTTTTTTTAAAAGGATAAGCAAACCACTAAACAAGAAAGGTTTCAAATAAAAATAAATATTCCAATACTGTAAAGAGTCTTGGAGATAATACATTTAGTAACAATACAAACAGAAAATATGCCTAACCTTTTGACAGATAATACACAACTATGAATAAAATTCCTCTTGAAAACTCGGGAAAAGGAAAATTACAAAAGAAAATATGTAAATAGAAAACGAAGGAAAGAAACAAAAAATAAATTAAAATGAAAACTATAAAAATACATTTTTTAAACAAATTATGCACAGAAATACCAAAATCAATGCATCAAAGATTTTTTTTTTAAAAAAAGCACAAGCCAATGTAACTATATATGTAGGTTGTCTCAAGGTGGGAGATTAAAGATCATGAGATGATTGGCCTAGCCATCTGCAGAGAGAAAAACAAACGAACTCTTTTTGAAGCTTTAAAAATTCAAGAATTGTTCCATGTATCAACATTTTCATCAATCGAACAAACCTTGAGAGTAAGAATCTGCCGAGTGGGCTAACATTTGTGTTGGAACTGAACTCCTTGTTAGTTTGTTTCCTTTTGATCACTGCATCGTCCGGTGTGGTCTTGGCAAAAACACGGACCGCCATGTCGTGCAAATCTTTCATCGAAGCTTCTTTTGAACTGTAACGGATTTATGATTTTTCTCAGATTAAGTATGTTCACAATCAGATGACCAAACCATGTGTTTTTTCAATGTGTTGTTTAAAGTTCATGTACCTTCCCAAAAGTTCAATCAGCTTGGCAACAAAAGCTTCACAAGAACCAGGTTTTTCACGTTCCATTCTCTCAAAGGATCTCAACACTGTACGTCCAATAGATTCTTCTGGATCGTCACCAAGAGCCTACACCATGCACCAGAAGACATGATCATTTCACTACTCGCAACTCAATTTTATTTGCAAGTGAAAAATATTAGATTGTTATTTTACAGTAGCATTACCTCTTGTAGGGATGGTACGAGCAATACTGACAATGATGCAGGCAATGATTCCCATTTGGAGTCATCTTCTTCATCACTCACTTGTTCTGACCTAGGACGTGCTTTTTGTTTACTTGACTTGTCGCCAGATTGTCTGCATAAATTGTAGCTTCTTGTTAGAAATAAGCATGCTACAGTTTCTGACCATGAAATGCTAAGATCTAGATTCACCTTGAATAATCGGAATCATCTGCAATTTTTTCCCTTCTTCGGTTAACCTTCTCATCATTATTGTTCATCCCCATTCCAAGTCTTTCTCTAGCATTTGCCCTTCTAAAGCCTGCATCAAGTGCTGCCTTTGCCTGAACACAGAATTGAATTCAAGTGTAAGATTCAGATGATAACTCGAAATGAGCAGAAGATATCTAAAGCAATGTAAATATATATGCAAGAAAAAAGGTGATGGATAGTACAATTTAGGGAGGCAACCCTTCAAGATAATACAAAGATTGAAAAGGATAAACAAACCTCTGCGAGATTTGCGATGCTATCTTCTGAGGCACTGGAAGTTCTCTCTTGAATCCCTAGTCTAGATTTTGGGGTTCGGGGTGATCCAGAGTCATCGTACGGTCCACGAACAACAACAGTTCCACTTGCTGAAGCATCATCAAAAGGTGTATACCTGGCGCTAGACTACAAAGTAGAAATGGAAACATTCATAAGACTCAAAGGCCAAAGCTTATTCAATTTCTGTAGATGATGTTAGAAGGAGCCGGGAATTTCATACCATAGAGCTTTGTTCACGGAATATTGAAGATGATTGAGAACTTCTTGGGGTCCTTATGACAACAGTTCCCGAACCACTGAGCGATGAATCGTCCTGAATTTACAAGGACAAGGTACAAACATATTTTACCATATCCTCATTCTTAAGAATAAATACATATACAAAAATAGTAATCCGGCCGTCAAAATGATTACCCAAGTAACATGAAACATACATAGCATGACATACTTTTTAGAATATAATTTTAGTGCAACAGTAACATCAAGAAATCGTGTCAAATGAGACAGGCTGCATTTGGCACACAGCAAAGGATCTTACTTCTTCGTGGACGCCATCTTCATGGTCATTCCGAGAAGGATGTCTTTTGACAAAACCTCCTTCAGAGGCTTCAGAAGTTGTACTACCAGTCGCAGATGGCCACTGATGACCACTAGCTCTCGTTGTTCTTTGAGACATATGATTAGAAGAACCTTCATGGCGCCTCTCTCTCGCTTGAGGAGGTTTTAAAGCACGAACTGTTCCAACACTCTGTGACCCCCCAACGCTAAAGTCCCATCCAGCATTTTTAACAGTATGCCCCTGAAAACTGTAGCTACGAGTTAAATAGAAATTTTAATCAAGCAATAGAAGAAACCCCAAGCCCAGATATTCATCCAACCTAGATCCAGGAGTGCCTTGGTTTCTTTCGTCTCTAGCCAGCCTAACAGTACCAGATGATTCAGCTGGCGTTTTGGGACCATTCCTTGGTGTCTCTTCATCCTCTTTTACTTGGTACTTTTGCCGCTCTCTTTAAAGAGGAAAAAAGGACAGAATAACAATCGTGCTTATTCTGGATTTTCTTTTCGCATATAAAAGATCAAAACAAACATACGGGAAAACCATCTAAATGTTACTATTTACATACAATCAAATAAGGAAAGTCAAACAATAACAGAAATCCCATGCCAAATCTGTTGAAGAGAAAAAGCATCAAACCTTATCCTCTCAAGAAGTTTCGGACTTTTCCTAGCATTCTTAATAAATCTGTGTTTAATAAGCTCTTTAGCACTTGGTCTCTGAAAGTATAAGACTTGAATAAGAGATCTTAAAATCCCATGCTGCGGGTAAATAAAGCAAAGATTCCAAGGATTGCATTATAAGTACCTCAGCAGGGACCTTCTTCAAGCATAATGAAACAAACTCTTTGACTGTACGGGAAAAATGCTCATCTAACTGCACAGAAAAGAAAGAACGTTAAACAGTAAAGGCAGCTTCACAATTAAGAAATGGCAGTGATAGAATTCTGCTGAGACAAAGCACACAAATCAGCTGCATAACTTTATCATGCTTAAAATGAAAAAATGTGAAACCTGAGGCGGATTTTCCCGAGGAATGATAAAAAGCACTCTCATAGGATGAAGGTCAGCTAAGGGAGGTTCTCCCTTTGCCATCTCAATAACAGTTATTCCAAGCGACCAAATATCTGCCTAAAAAGACAACAATCCCAGCAACAGAAACAGAATTGCAAAAAAAAAATATTAGATTTGCTGAAACATAAGACATGGCAAGCTAGAAGAGGTGAAGATCAGCATAGAGACGAGATACCTTCTCATTATACCCTTCTGAGTTTTGAATCACTTCTGGTGCCATCCAAAATGGGGTTCCTACAAAAGTCTGTTATTCTTTAACAAATCAGCTAACACAACCCAAGTGAACCCAGATGAATGAGAGAAAATTGTAAACCATCAGCAGATAATTATAGTGTTATCCAAATTGATAAGAGAAGCTTTTTTATGGCCATCTTTCAGAAGATCGCATCTAACATATAAACTACCCCATAACTGAAAAATGCACAGGATTCTACTAAGCAGCCTGCTACTAAGTAAGGTTGTAGATGGGAAATTGGAACTGAGGCTGCAGATAGGCTGTATAATAATAATGCACTAGTGCATTAGACTATTCAAGTGTATCCTAATCTGTGCGCACAATGCAAGCAGCAAAATCTAAACAAGGAGACCAGAAACTTCATTACTAACCATCCTCATGTATTATGAGATAAAAGATACTTTGCACAGCAGAAAGTGAAATAATAACAAGAATCAAAATCGACAGTGATCACTGGCATAGTAGAGTAAGCACCTTCCTTCTTGATATTGTCCGCGTTAGCTGAGCAGACACACCAAAGTCCGCCACCTTGTAAAGCGAAAAGGTTGTTGAGGATGAAGCTCATGCAACTAATACTCAAAATAGAAGATATTGGAGATTTTACTGTTACAGTAAAAGAAACGAAAAAAACCTTAACATCGCCATTCTCGGTCAACAAAATATTAGCAGCTGCGAAGAAATGAAGAAAGAGATTTCATGAACCAAGCAGTCAAAACACATTTCATCACATAAAGCACAGTAATTATATTAACACACACAAAACCTTTAATGTCTCTGTGGATCTTTCCCTCATTATGCAGATATTCAACAGCATGAAGCAGATCACGTGTGATACAAGCGATAGATGTTTCATCCAATGGATTACCAGATTGAAGCTGCACAAGATATATCACTTTTGGGAATTATAAGTTGCATCAGAGAGTATATAAGTACATGACACGATCTCCACTGTGCATCACCACACAGATAGTTATACTTCCAAATTCTTTAAGTTATGACTACAAAAGTAGTGAGTTGACATACAAGATCAGCAACTGAGCCACCAGCCATATATTCCATGATGATCCACAACTTGGTCTGATGAAGATAAGAACCATAGTATTCAGTAATATACGGGCAACGACATTGTGATAAGACTGAAATTTCCTGGGGTCAACAAAAAAAGAATGAGCGCGACAACCACTACACACAAATATCAAGCACAGAGGTTGACGTCAATTTAGAGATACCTTCTGAATATCTTCGATTTCATCTTCTCTGACAGATTTCAAGTAAAAAAGTTAGTAAGAAAATTACTGAGCATGATGGTATTCTCAACCAAGCTCACTATAACTAACAGATGAAATTATTCGTCTAGTGAAAGCTAAGGAAAGATTATTGTCCTTAGTCTCTGAGAATTATGAACAAAACATTCATGGAATTAAAAAAAAAGTATTCTACCCAAAATCTTAAGAAGAGAAGTGCATATATGACGAGAAAGAACTAAAATGGAAATGTACTCACGATTCTTCCAGGTCGATTACTTTAATGGCAACTTCTTTATTGAGGTCCTTATCAAACCTGATAAGCAACAGCACCAGCTCAGCATAAAAATAAGATAGACCTCTTATATCAGTAATGACAGATACTTACGCTTTATAGACATCACCAAAAGATCCTCTTCCAATCAACTCAATCTGACTAAATCTGGCTCCAGCTGCCTCTTGTAAACCCGCAACATCTTCCATCTCCACATACAAGAAAAAACACTCTCCCTCCCACTGCAGACACTATTTTGATAAAATAAAATAAATATCCAATTTCAGAGCAGATTATAACACTTTTCACCGTTCCCTCACTCCATTTCTCTCTACAACTAAACTCCCTCCAAAGAAGAGTCAGCCCTGCAACCCTTACTCAATAATAACACGAACTTCTCAAAGTACAAGCAAAACTCAAACTTGAATTAAACCCGATTATAATTGCAACGCGACAAGTCCCTTTTACTCAAAGCAAAAGAAAAGAAAAAGAGAATGCAAAATTGTTATATATCGATGGCCTACAAAAACAGCAAAAAATCTGGCTGTTTGGTGGATTCGAGTAAGTGACAGCTGACCAATAAAAATTTGCAAGTAGACGAAAATATTCGTCACTCTAAGATAGTGAATAGCAATCAACAAACACGCAAATTGAAAGAAACGTCACTGGTCTCTAGTTTGTCCTCGTTCGATCAATCAGACTAACGAAAATACAAATTTCTCTAAAAAGTTGAGGATCGATCCAAGTTACCTGGTAATTCCACAAAATAAGACGAATGGGTTACTACAGATCTCTTTGTTGCTCTTTACTTTCGATTGCTATAAGCATTTTCCGAGAAATCAAACACACTCTCTCTCTCGAGCACCAAGAGATCGAGAGGAACTGTTGGGCAGATGAAGTTTCCTTCCTCGATTTTATGATGATTGATTGATTGTTCAATTCTTTTCATTTTGGTTTTTCCTTCCAACTTTCAAATTATGGAACCCGTTCCTCAAGGTCCAGCTAAAAGAACTATCTAACCCAAGTTAAAAGCCCAATTATTCTAAAGCTGATTTAACGGCCCACGTATAATTGAGAGTCCTTTTATCGAAGTCGGAACAAGCTAACTAACACATGGGATGGGACGTAGACAGATCAACATGGTTTTGGCCGATCACATTCCTTTCCATCGATCTACTTGCATTACACTAACATTTTAGGAAAAATATATCAAACATTTTTTTAAACGTTCGAGTTTCTCTTTTTAAAAAAACCATTGCTCCTTGAACCTTTTTTTACTGCCAACTCGAATGATATTAAACTTATCGAACGGTACGAAAATCCTACTTAAAGGACATATTAAAAAAAAAAACTCATGAAATGGTAGTAAAGGGATAATAAGAAACCTTCTCATATAGAAAAAAATATCGTGTATCATAAATCATAATGTGGCAAAGCTTGCACCAACTTATAAAAAATGTTGTACAGAATCTCACTATACCGGTGTAGGATTGTTTCCTATCGGACACTATTAATATATGGTAACTTGTCACAAGATGCTACTAATTTGAATTAGTGGGATGCTCAGTGGTAACAAAATAACCTTTGGTCCATGTCCTCTTCTATTGTTCGACAAATTCAAGAATCAATATACGTATATGAAAAGGGTGGATCCCACAAAAGAGAAATTGTAGGAAAAGAACAGAGCCGGTCAATGCGGGGGGAGCTAAATAAGACTCTCCGTCAGGGTTTCAGACTGATGCAACCAGACCATCTCTCTCTCTCTCTCTCTCTCTCTCTCTCTCTCTCTCTCTCTCTCTCTCTCTCTCTCTCTCTCTCTCTCTGCTACTACTGCTTTATTCGCATAGTAAGTTTCAATCACCAACACTTCTCTCTCACGCGCCATCCTTTTGGTGGTATTCTTCATGCGCTTTGGTTTCTTCTTCCTTTGTGTTTCTTAGTTAGTATGCGTAGTCTGCCTAACACGCGCTTGTGGTCAAAACCAGACTTGGCTGGGTCATTCTCTCATTTGTTCATGACAGAGCAACTCGAGTCTTACACACTACACGTGCGCACGTGACCCCTAAATCTCTTCTTCCTATATATTCTCTTTGTCGTCCCCCCTCCCTTAATCTGCGTGCGTGTCACACCTAAGTTTATGTGAATCTTGGTCCAAACCCAAATCCCATGTTTGACGACAACAACTTAATAGTAGTAAACCTTTTTTCTTTTGTTTAATTTTTGGAGAGACAATAAACTTTTACAGTTTTGATGGTTTCAATCCATTATATCACTATAGTTATTATATATGGAAAATAATGTTCTACTGATTAATTATGGTCACTGTAATTGCATCTTTAATCATAACTACAACAGTTTATCCACTCCAAAACCTTATGATTATTTCTCTTTCGTAAAAGCAATACTAATAAAATATCAATGGTTGATCATTGGATTCATTTCAGAAAGAAAGAAAAAATATGTGAATTAAAAATATTTTTGTAGGAATTTTTTACGTATCTTTGACTTCCTTGGCCTAAGAGATTAACCTTGTGTTCAATTGGTCACGTTATCTTATAGTTAATCATTTAATATTTATTGTTAACTATACCAAACCCCAAGAAATTCGTATCCTGTTCACAACAAGACTGTAAGATTTATTTTTACCAACAAAATAAAATAACACATTATTGGGTCGACAAACAGTAAATGTTGGTTTTGCAATCAGATAATTTAGTCTAAGTTATAAACAAAAAAATAAAAGAAAAATAAAAGAAAAATAGAACATAAAAGAGTCCATGAGAAGCTTGAGTAAGGAAGGCAGCAAAGAAAAACTAGAAGGCCAAAAGCAAGAGGAGAAATATCTATATACATCTACACATTTATATAGATGGTGGGCTCAGAACATCATCATCATCATCATCATCAACATCATCACCAAAACCATCAGCAGCAGCAACAAAGGAGCAAAGAAGCTTTAGGGATGGTGGCTCTCCACGAGGCCCTAAGAACCGTTTGTCTCAACACCGACTGGACTTACTCTGTCTTCTGGTCCATCCGTCCCCGTCCGTACGTCTCTCTCCCCTTCTCTCTTTTTTCTCTTTCTACATCTATGTCTTTCTCTCTCTAGCTCCCCTCAACCCTATGTCAATTTTTTTGTTCTTCAGGAGAGTTCGAGGCGGTGGAAACGGCTGCAAAGTTGGCGACGACAATGGAAGCTTGTAAGTTACACTTTCTTCCATAAAGAAAAAATATACAGTTTACCCATATATTTAAGACTTAACCTACTATATATAGTTTAGTCTTTATACATAACATGATTAAAGAAAAAGTCAAACATTTTCGCCTATCGTTTATCGTATTGTAGTCACCGGAAACTTTCCTCGGAAAGAAACTATATAGACAACTATATATACTTAGTACTCTCTAGCTCTAGGCCTGAAAAAACAATTTCCAAAAAATGTTGCATGAACATCGTGGACATGATCATGATCACGTAGCTATTTATGCGATGCGAGTATGCGACTATATCTACCTTTCTTATAAGCTATCTATTTTTTTCTTTCTTTTTTTTTTGTTTGTTTAAAACAAGTTAGGAATCATGATCTGGTGGAGAAGAACATATAAGTCATCATCAACTTTGTATGATCTTGTCTAAATAACCAATAGTATCCTTTTTCAAGAAACAGGAATGGAAATTATTGATTTATGATGAGTAGATTTACAACATATACACTATATAAATTGACATATTGATATGTGGGGCTACAGGATGTTGATGTGGGAAGATGGATACTGCAGAGGAAGAGGAGGAACAGAAGGTTGCTATGGAGACATGGAAGGAGAAGATCCTGTTCGTAAATCTTTCAGCAAGATGTCAATCCAGTTATATAATTATGGCGAAGGGTGGGTACTTGGTAGGTCCTTAATTACTTTTTATTATCATTTTCGTCTGCATGAAACCATACAACTCCTCACCTTATCTTACGCAAATTTAGCCGAAAATAGAAACTATTTATCTTCCTTTTTTTTTTCTGGGGTTTGCAACATATTTCTGGTCAACAGGTTAATGGGGAAGGTTGCTTCTGACAAATGCCATAAATGGGTTTTCAAAGAACAAACTGAATCTGAATCTAATGCCTCTAGTTACTGGCAAAGCTCATTTGATGCTGTAAGTTTGTTTACAGAATCAATGAAACATTTATATGTACTTTGAAAAATCTGTAACCCAACTGAGATATCTCTCTTTAAAACTGCAGATTCCTTCAGAGTGGAATGATCAGTTCGAATCTGGGATTCAGGTAAAATGAAAACCCTAATTATATATGAGAGTTTCTTGACTTTCTTGTTTGTCAAATCAACTTAGTAGTCTATTCTTATTGCACCTACAGACCATAGCTGTTATTCAAGCTGGACATGGCCTTTTACAACTCGGTTCTTGTAAGATTGTAAGTATTTTTTACATTCAGAAATTTAGGTTTCTCACTTGGGATCTTTCGGTTGTGTTCTCTAAACGTACGGGACGGTAATACTCAGATACCTGAAGATCTGCACTTTGTTCTTCGGATGAGGCACACGTTTGAATCACTTGGCTACCAATCCGGATTTTACCTCTCTCAGCTCTTCTCCTCAAACCGAACCACGTCTTCTTCAAACACATCGCTCATGGGCTCAAACCACCCTATACTTCCCCCACAGACTCAACCCTTGCAACCCTCTCTTCCTCACTACAACTGGAGTGGTACGAGCCAACGACCGATGATGGCTCAAACCTCTTTGCCTAACTACCAACCTCACATGCCTTTTCCAGTAATGCCACACTCAAACAAAGAACAAGACCCCGACGTGAAATGGCCCACGGGACTATCGTTCTTCAATGCTTTGACTAACAATGTCAACGCTAAGCTGCTGTTTGATTCAGAGGGTTTAGGTGAGAAAACAGACCACCAGAGCCAGAGCCAGGAACAGAGCAACTCAGAGAGTCAAGCGAACCCGAGCGAGTTCTTGAGCCTTGATAGTCACCACCGAAACATGAGTTTCTTGGAGTGATGGTCTTCGTGTCTCACCCTCGTAAGAACTTAATTAGTTTGTTTCTATTTCGCGTCACTTGTTTGTTGTTTGGCTCGTTTCTCATCACTTGTGTTAAACATAGTTAATCTACTCTCTTTTTTTCCAAATCCATTACCATTTTTCTTTCCTGAAAACGTTTATGTTTAATCCCTTTCTTTACAGCATAAGTTTTGTTCTATGAATCACTTATAACAATTTCAAATCATCCAAGTTTTTTTTTGTTTGTTGAAAATATATATTTTATAATGACATTCACCGTAAACTATAATCGCAAATTGTATTTTAAATTTAACAATATAGATCTGTTTGTTCTCATAATTCAATAGACTAGTTGAAGATGCTAAGAAAAAAAATAAAATATATATATATATAGGAGTAGATTTCATTTCCTCATAGCATTATTTAAGATAATTTATTAGTTTTGTTTACACTCGGTGACGAATATTTAGGTACACAATCGCCAAAAATAACAGAAGTCAATATAGTTCTTTACTAGCATTGAACAACCAAATAAACCAATATCCCTCTCTGTTTCATAACCACGTCACCATGGTCGCATTACTACACAAGTCTCACTCAAGCTCCATCAAATGCATGGCACTCTCTACAAGCAAAAATCGCCGCCATTAGTATTCTTCTCCACAGCTTCATCACTCTACTCCCTCTTCTCTCTTCAGTCTTCTTCCTCACCCTCGGCACCTTCTTCTTCCGCCCACCGACCCTTATCCCTCCACTCATTTTCACCGGCACCGGAGTTATATATTGCCACCGCTGCGATGAATACGACCTGTACAGAGACGCTGTCACCATCTCCGTCGCTTTCCTACTTGTTGAATTCACGGTTTTGCCACATCTACTATTCAGAGGTTTTGTATCCAACGTCTTGTTGTGAGTAATGGGATGACTCATGTTGTTGTTGCAACTCATGCTCGTTCTCGGAGAATGAGAAGTTGAGTTGCTACTACTACCAAAACTACTCCTACTGTTCGTACTGTTGCTCCGGGAGGTGAATGCGCTGGTCGCACTCGTACTCGAGATTGACCGCTTTGTATACATACTGCTCGCCGCAGGGAAAGAGTGTGGCAAGAGACGCCCGTTAAAGAAGAGGTGATCGGCGGGAGAATTCTCATTGAACGAGTCTTGCGACGGAGAAGATGGAGTCAACGATCCGAACTCAAACTCCGGTGACGGCTCGTCAGCGTCTGTGGTTTTCCGATGATTCACCATTTTTTGATGTGTTTGATTTATGCTGGTCGTATACTTGTTTAAATAGAGAGGACACGTGGCGAAATATCTATGGAAGTGGCGAGAATCATATGAAGGAGGGAGAAAAAAAAGACTTGCTAGCTCAGTGTTTGAATACACGTGGCAGAGTGAAATGATGGTGTTTTGTAATGATCTTGTCTAATTGTGTCGATGGTCGACCGAATTACGGATTAATAAATCTTCTAAGTTATCACCGCATTTTTATTTAAAATCTTGAGCTTATCTTGTTGCATTGTAAATTCATGTCGTACAAACTATTTCTAAATTTTAAAATTTCAGTGCTATATGTAAGCTCACATGTTTTACGCAGGGGACACAAGTCTCCCAAAGATACGCTTTGGGTTAAAGCAAACATATTTAAAATATACAACCTGATAAGTTTTTTATTAGTCAATTACCAAAAAGATGGAAAGATTCTCTGTTGGTAATCTAACAATAATTAAAGAGACTAAAAATAATGTAATATCCGATAGTATTAAAGACACATATCAACAAATGTAAAAGACAAAGAACTCGCACTATGGCTTTTGTCTCCCATTGGCCATTTTTAAGTGTCTCTTTACACTTTAGGAGCCATACCCTAAGGAAACACCTATCATCTTTAATCTCAGTGCTAATCATATTTTATGTATCTCTTTAGTTGGAATTAGCTCATAAAACACCTTAATGCCTTTACTTAACATTTGGAAAAGCCCATCATCGTTTTGGGCTTAAATCGGCCCGTTTATAACCAGTTTGTAATTAAAATAAAAAAAGAGAGAGAGAGAAGGCAGAGAGAGTCATAGGTGGCGCGAAGACGTCAGACAAAAGCCGCAAAGGAAGCGGCGGTGGAAGCTGACATGCAACATTGGCGTTCGTGTCATTTTCTTCTTCTTCTCCATTCCTCTCTCTCTCTCGAGATTCAAGATAAAAAAAAAAATCTCGTATGCAATTTCGTCTGTTCTTCATTATACTTTACATTTATATATATAATTTGCCTCTTCGTCTCTGAGCCATGACCGGTAAAGAAATTCTCCACAAGATGAAGGAATCCGTCAAGGTATCGTTATTTCTTCTCTCCCATGTTACTTGCACAATCGCTTGCGATTCGTTGTCTCAGAGAATTTGGTAGAACGTAGCTATGGGAATCCATATGAAGCTGGTCCTTTTAGATTCAGATATACTACTTGTGGGAATCTTAAGATACCTCAAATTAATTTGGTCTATTGTCTATCGAATGCTGTAACGTTGGCTCTTGATTCTGTGTGTTGTAATTTGAAACTGCGGCTCTGTGAATGTAGGAGAAAGTTGGGCTTGGTGCATCTGCAGATTCAGGGAAAGGGAAGAGCAAGATGTCGAAGCAGATCACACATGGTTTTCATTTGGTGAAAGGGAAAGCTTTTCACCAGATGGAGGATTACGTTGTTGCCAAATTCAAGGAAGTTGATGACAATGAGCTTGGTTTGTTTGCTATCTTCGATGGCCATCTTAGCCACGAGATTCCTGATTACTTGTGTTCTCATTTGTTTGAGAACATCTTGAAAGAGGTAATGGAGTTTATCCATGGAACTCTTTTTTAAACTTGAGAATATGATGAACTTGATGTTGTTCTTGTGTTTTTTTTTTTTTTTTAATTGGGAAGCCTAATTTCTGGCACGAGCCCGAGATAGCGATAAAGAAAGCTTATTATATCACGGATACGACAATTCTAGACAAGGCAGCTGATTTGGGGAAAGGTGGTTCTACTGCTGTGACTGCTATATTGATCAATTGCCAGAAGCTGGTGGTTGCTAATGTTGGAGACTCGAGAGCTGTTATTTGCAAAGATGGTGTTGCAAAGCCCCTCTCAGTTGATCATGAACCCAGTATGGAGAAGGAAGAAATTGAGAACAGAGGCGGATTCGTTTCCAACTTTCCTGGTATCTAATTCAGTTACATTTATGCAAATATGCTCTTATCTTGTTGTTGCACATGCTTGAGTTCTGATTTGTATTGAACCTATTCAGGGGATGTTCCTCGAGTTGATGGTCAACTAGCTGTGGCAAGGGCGTTTGGTGATAAGAGTTTAAAGATGCATTTGAGTTCGGAACCGTATGTTACGGTGGAGTTAATTGACGATGATGCAGAGTTTCTTATCCTAGCAAGTGATGGACTGTGGAAGGTTTTGATCTACCGTTATCTATTTTCGACAACTTAGTTGTATGGTCGCTGATTATTTAAAATCTCATAGGTTATGTCAAACCAAGAAGCTGTTGACTCGATTAAGGGGATAAAAGATGCCAAGTCTGCAGCAAAGCACCTCGCAGAGGAGGCTGTTGCTAGGAAAAGCTCAGATGATATCTCCGTCGTTGTCGTGAAATTTCAGTGACATCTTTCGGTTAGTTGAATCTGTTATTATAAGCCTTTTTAATTTGCATTACGCATATACAGGGTCAAGTTAAGACTTTGAGAGTAAAAAAAACATTGCATATATAAACATACACGAAACACGATCACTAAACATTATTAGACGCATGAGTAAGCCAAGGACTTTTAGATTTGCGGATAGAAATCCATTACAGGACACCATAGAGGCAACCAAAGGTTTATAGTTATATATGAGTGTAGGATTCAATACCATGACTCGCTCTTCTTGACATGGTTGATGCCATTATTTGGATAACAAGAGTGTAGATAGAGCATATGTAGATGACAGAAGAGAGGGAGCGGGAAGGTTTATCTGATTTGTGGTCGCTTGAATGATGAGTTGGTCATAGGAAGTTTCATCTCTACCCTGTTTTTTTCTTGAGTCTGGATCAGTTGACCACTAAACCCTCTCCGGCCTGACCCTTCTCCATAAATGTCCCCAGAAATCTTCCTCCTCCTCTCATTGTGTCCAGCTAAGCGCCTCCTGCAACTTCTTTTAGCTTCATCAAACTCTGGTAGCTCATGAAACCTGCTCAAAATCCCAAAACCATCAAATTGAAAACAAACCTCTTCTTGATCATTTGTATAAAGTAATATTGAAGGGAAGAATGATACCTGCTGCATTGTTGGCAAAAGCGTTGCCTGACGCCTGTAACAGTTGCAGCAGATGCCTTTGCATGAACTTCACAGACTCTGTGTCTGCGGTAATACTGCTTGGCCTCAGTCAAATTAGCAGTGCACCTATCGACTTGGCACAGTCGAGATGGAACACGGTCGGTGCTAGGACCTCTAACTCTCTCCATCATTCTCTTCTTTTGGTCTTCTTCTCCCCCATCTTCTGCTTCTCCATCCATGCCATTCTCCATTTCTTCTTCATCAAGGTTGGAGACTGTAGCCTTGGATTTCAAGTAACCTCGTCTTTGTGTTCTCTGACCCTCCATTTTCTGGTATAGCTTGAAGTTGTAGCCTTGAGAAGATGGGGGTAAAGTTCTGGTTAGGACTATGTAATGTTGAGGGATGGGCTTGTGGTTAATGTTTTTTGAAGTGTTTAAAAAGGGGAAGAAAAGTCGGGAGATGGACCACTGTGTCCTTGTATGCTTCTCTGGTGGAATAAGTACACGATTACGTGATGTGCTTGCTCCCCCAAAAAAGAAAATAAAATAAAATAGAGTAAAGGGTTTTAGATTGGAATTACAAGAAGTGAAAAATTTCTTATAATTATTTCATAGGCCTTTTGTGGTTTTTGGTTTCTTCTGATACACTTAATAGTTGGTACAAGATTGGAGCTGTATATTGTACTTCCGCTTTTACTATTTGACGTTTAATTCGAATTTCTTATTCAAACTGGGGACCTTGATTTTAACATCGATGTCCTTCTTGGTAATTAAGGTGATCCTTATTGACCAGTGCAACTGTAGACATATAGTACAATGAAGAAGAGAGCTGGAAAATCATAATTTACGCATGGTCTTCTCATCTAACTTTATAATATATCTCTAGAAACGGACAAAGGTCCTTTGTGGATGTAGACTATTGGATTCCTCTTCCTGCAACCCTAGGTGGGTCATCTATTGTTGGACCCATCTGGACTATAGGCATTTAAGGTTAGGATTAGAGGTAAAATGGTTATGTTCAGTTTAAACATCTCCTTGTCTTTTTTATGTAACTACATGCTGGTTTGTGTCTGGTTTAAACTTGCCCTTGTCTGTTATATTTGATGTTGGCAGCATGAATATCGTTTGTTCTGGACCATAAGCATATGAACGCGTTTAGTTGTTGCTTTTCCACTTTTTTCTCTTTTTCTTTCGGGTGTTGGGCGTTTTATCAGTATTACCTGCAAAGATTCTATTTTGTGGGAGTGCAAAATCAGAGATTAAAAGATGGAAAGTAAACAGTGAGGTCACTTTAGCTATAAGGGGTCAATGTAAATGTCACTTGGAATAGTTCTTGACAGAGAGCTTTGATGTTTTAAGGTTTAAAGTTTAGGTGCTCGAAAGAGATCTTCTTCACATAATAGTAACCATAAAAGTAAAAATATCCTTCACTTATTAACCTTGCTTTGTTTTTGCTTTGATAGGTAAAGAGACGTGTGCAGTTTCCATTCACCCAAGTGCTACGGGTCACTGAAACTAGTAAAGAGTCTTTAAGTTTGGACCAGCTAAAGAGTTATCACAAGTTTGGGGGTTTCCTCTGTAAGATGCAATCATCACCACTTCTATTTTACTCTACTTCCCTTCTTCTTTTCAAACTGTGTAATTTTTACTTAGTTTTCTTCTTTCTGGGAATAAATATCAAACAGTGAAAGCTTTCTTTGCTGCTCTTTTGAATTTCTTTTTTTGTAACTTTTTTTATTATTATACATTACAGCAGTGTATGAGAAAGAGGAATAGTTTGAATTAGTGGGTAGTGAAAGAGACATGACATAAAAGGTTTCACATGCCAAACTGTACTCATGTCTTAAGTCTATGACATGAGCTTTTGGGGTTGTTTTTACAACAACAGCATAAATGTAGTCCCTTTTCTCACATCTCCCTTCGAGTTTTCCACTTATTTTCTAATTAAATTGTTTTTAGCACCCTAAAAGTAAAAGAATATGCTATAGTTTAAGGATTTGATTTTGCTTTCTGCTTTGTGTGAGCAAGAAGTGATACTTTTGAAAATGGTGTAAAGAACACAAAGTGACCAAACCGTAGAATATGATAAGTTAATGCTCGTCTCCGTCTGCTCGGTGCCAACTTCAAGTTTTGGCCCTACGAAAGAAACATATTCTAAACGCGAACTTAACAGAACAAAAAGCAAGATTAAAGAGATGCTATTGTATAATCCAGGAAGTGGAGAATATATATATCTAGTCATACTTCCTTCTCAGCCATGGCGAACTTTTACATTTTGTCACTTAACGTAAGAAAACAAAACGCACGTAGCTATCCTTAAAGCCACTACTAACACCAAATATCAGAGATGCCTCCCAGGGGCGGATCTAGAAAATTTGTTCAATGGGGGCAAAAATATAGTAAAAAAACTATCAAACACTAAATTATAAAAGACATAAAATTGTCATGTAAAAACTTTAAAACATCTTACAAAACCAGTCAGACGCTCATTTAACAATTGAAACTTTTTTACCACATTTTCATTTGTGACATATTCAAATAAGTAAAAACAAAAAAACATGTTATTAATTAAAAATTTAGAAAATTTTGAATTTATAGACTTATATTTTAAAATTTATTAATTTTATATTTTTGAATTATGTAACAAACTTCCATAAAAGCTTAACCATAGAATAAACATATAAACAATTATCACTGCAAAAACTAATATAGTCATGTCTAACATAAAAACCTATATAATGTTTTCCAGGAAACATAGTTATAAGCTTGAACTGATTAAATAAAATTAACTGACTAAAAATAATGCTTATATAATAGAAACGATTGTAAAAAAAGCAGAAAAATAAACTCACAAATTGATAGTTGTTGATTTGCTGTCACACAAAAAAACCAAAGGAGTAAAGAAGAATAAAATAACAAAAAAATAGGTCTAGATTAGTAAGTCTTTAATTTATATATTAATTTTTTTTTTTGGTATAAGAATTAATGGACTTTCCAAGAAAAAGGATAGAAAGTAGTTTTTTGGTGGGGACAGATTTTGTTTTTTAATAATATTTAAAAAAAAATTTTTTTTTTTTTTTTTTTTTTTGTTGGTGGCAGCTGCCCCCACCACCTTGGCTGTGGGTCCGCCCCTGATGCCTCCTCTCGTTTTCGGTTCCACTTGTCCCCTACAGAACCAAAGAGCATTAGTTCTGTTTATTTTTCATAGATGCTAAAAGTAAATACTATGATATGATAATATCCCTGTGGTTTTACATAACTAAAAGTATATTTTGGATTTTAGCCAGTTGTAAGAACTTAGATTGAATCATGACTGGTGTTTGTTTGTAAACAAAAACTAAAGAAAGTAACTACAGTTAATAGTCTGTGCATGTATAATAACGATTAACAATACCTAGACTGTTTTTAGACGATGAAACTGAGCTACGCTTTGTTTTAGTAAAAAATAGTACACGATTTGTAGTGTCTTGAGCGATTTTAAGCCTAGAGAATTTGTCCCTCCATTTACGGGAATTTTCAACGAAACTAGCTTTAAGTATTTGCCAACGTGAGATACCCTACGCATTATGCGATCCAGCTGTTCAGTCCCAACCTCAAAACCGAACTCCGAAGACATTTGTCAATTTACACACAGACACTATCATTTCTTACATGCAATCACCCCATATTTTATTGTCCTTTCTTGAAAAATATCGATGATATGTTTTGAGATGTTAGCTATTCACGAGATAATGTTTGTGCATAGATAATTTTAGAAAATAACCAAGTAATTAAAATTGCTCGGAGCGGTTGTTTATTTTGCTTGCATTGGACTTTCAGCTAGTACTAAAAACAAACTGCAATGAAATCAAGCCAGGGTCCAGTCATAAAACCCTGAACCATGAGCAACCTCTCATTGAAACAACAAAAATGCAAGAAAAAGAAGAAAACGATATGAGAAACCCCAAAACACGAGCTTTGCCCTTACTCCTTAGGGTGACTTAACTTCGCCGCCAGTTTGCTGATGTAGATCCTCTACACCTCTATACTCCGTGGTATCCACAGGCTGTTGAACATCCTTTAACTCCACCGCCACCTTATCCTCTTGAATCCTACCATCATCATCACCGGCAACCGCATCACTAATGTTTTGACCCGTTTCCTTGGCCGCTTTCCAGGCCCCTTCCATCGTATCCTTCATGTTATCGCCGGCATTGATCGCTGCGTCGGTCGCTTTTTTCACTCCTTCCTTTGCCTTGTCTGATACGTAACTCGCTGTGGACTTATCGTCGTTTGCAGTGTTCGAGCCTTGACCATAGTGAGTAGTGCCCTATAGATATAAAATAATTCATTTATCATCCCTAGTATACTTATGTGACTCTTCATCCGTAATCTAAAATGTTATATAAAACCTTAGACATACCTCCGTTTGCTTATATCCGGTTGAGAAGTAGTTGATTCCGGTTGTAGCTTGACGGAGAACGTAACCGGAGAAATCTCCCCCCGGAGTACTTGAAACATTCACCGCCGTGAGTCTTTTCACCAAAAACCTAGCCGCCATTATTAATTTTCCCTTTTTCTCGATTAAGATATTTTAATCTGGTGCTTTCCCGTTATCTCTCAGTTGCTTAAGAAGTAGTTACCGAAGAAGATCCAAAGGTTGCGGAAGTCAGTAGAATAGTGGGAGTACCAAGCCGACGACACGTGGAAATCTAACGACACGTTTCTCAGTTAATGTCTCTTTTCTCGACACGTGCGCGAAACGGTTCCCAAGTTAATAAGCCCTATTATTGTGTTGTTTTTAACTTTGGCCCAGGTATAACCATTACGGCCCATTATAGTTAAGGCCCAGCTTATGAAGCTTACGCTGGAGATGCCATCTCTTTTATCCGAGAGTTGAGAGATAAAGATCGCCGGCGTTTCGAAGAGGAGGAGAGAGAGAGAGAGAGAATGGCGGAGATGAAGTGTGTGGGAGTAGTTGGTGCAGGACAGATGGGCTCAGGAATCGCGCAACTAGCCGCCACAAACGGTCTCGAAGTTTGGCTTATGGACGCTGATCGTGATGCGCTCACTCGAGCCACCGCAGCTATATCCTCCTCCGTGAAACGTTTCGTCTCCAAAGGTCTAATCTCCAAGGCAAGATTTACTTTGATTTTCTCCTTGGTATTTCATTCTTACATCGAATCAACTAATTGAGAGAGATCGCCGAGCAAGCAAACCTAAACGGAGCACAAATATAGTCCAGCAATCACACCATGTCCTATTTTGGTTTGTATAGGCTGTTTCACGATGCTATGTCTGTTTCTTTAGAAAATAAAATAAAATAAAAGGTGTTCTTATGATAGTGTTTTAGTGTTTATACTTGAGAATACTTTGCAGGATTTAGGAGAAGTGAAATGGTCGAAATTTCTGTTAAATCTCTATTATTAAGTTCAGGGTTATTTGTATTTTGCAGGAAGCTGGTGATGATGCTATGCGTCGTCTACATTTAACATCCGATATTCAAGATTTGTCTTCTGCTGATATAATCGTTGAAGCCATTGTGGAATCTGAAGACATTAAGAAGAAGTTGTTCAAGGATCTAGATGGTTTAGCTAAGAGTTCTGCAATTTTAGCTTCTAATACAAGTTCTATCTCCATTACTCGCCTTGCATCCGCAACTAAAAGACCTAGCCAGGTTCAAGATTCTGTTACTTCCTCTGCTAAAATTATCAATCTATCTGTTCATTAGTTTCAAGTCTGACTATTTCAATTAAGTCTTCCTTTTTAATCCTCTATAGGTCATTGGAATGCACTTTATGAACCCTCCTCCTATAATGAAACTGGTTGAGATCATTCGCAGTGCGGATACCTCAGAAGAGACGTTTATTGCTACAAAATCCCTGGCTGAAAGGTTCTATATTTTCTTGATATAACGTTTAAATGTATGCGGAAATTTTCAACATAATATCAAAATGTTGGAAACTTGGAATTAAATCAAATTGTATTATCTATCATGTACAAACCTCAACTAGATGAAACTGTTACCGTTTGGACCAGAAACAGAACAATTTTCTTGGGTTTGGTTATCCTGAGTAACTAACGAAATCACTGATTCAGTTGCTTTCCGTAGATTTACATTTAACTGTATATCCCTGAAACCTGCAGGTTTGGCAAGACAACAGTTTGCTCACAAGACTACGCAGGATTCGTCGTCAACCGTATCCTCATGCCCATGATCAACGAAGCTTTCTACACACTTTACACAGGTGTGGCTACAAAGGAAGACATTGACAACGGAATGAAACACGGCACAAACCACCCTATGGGTCCCCTGGAATTAGCGGACTTAATCGGTTTAGACGTGTGCTTGTCTGTGATGAAAGTTCTACATCAGGGACTTGGAGACATAAAGTACGCACCTTGTCCTCTACTTGTTCAATACGTTGACGCTGGAAGGTTAGGTAGAAAACGAGGAATGGGAGTTTATGATTACCGTAAAGCTACACAAAAGCCATCTCCTCGGCTCTGAGAAAGCAAGTCAACCCAAAAAAAATAAGAACAGTAAATGCTTTGTGGGCTAGTGTCTTTTTTCTTTCTTTGTTTCTTGGTAGATATGAAGTCACCGGTCAGCATAAGTGACCTTGTGTTGTAATCTTAATATGTACTTCAAAGTGCAGCTTAAACTAATTAATATAAAGAGTTGTTATCACGTTGTCCTCCAAGACAAATCATCAGTTTCTCTTTCCGTTTGATTGGGGATCAATCTCTCAAAATTCAGATGTATTTTGTCTTCAAAATGTACTAACCAGAAAAAAGGTAAATTCAACAGCAAAACGACGGGAGAATTTTGTCAAGTTATCAACTTATCTTGGATGACGAAGAAGAGATAATGATTTAAATCATTTGATGATAACTTTCATTAAGTTGATGATGCATAGATTAACTAGTCAAATAGCATAAGACAAGTCTCTGTTGACGAAAACAAAAATAGCAAAACACAAATCCCTAGCACGTTATTATTACTCTCTTAATCCACACTTCAACGGTAACTCGCCATGCATTGCTCTGTAATAAATTTAATTATCTTTTGAAATTGTAGTACTGTATATAAATTAAGTTACTTATTGGAAAATCATATTATTATTTAATTTAAAAGCTTAGATTAACACATTTTACTGTATATTTTAAGTAAAATAGCGTAATAAGCTGAAAGCAGTAGTAAGAAAGATAATTTAAAAGCAGAGCAAAGTTATTAAAACAAAAAAAAAAAAACGAAAATTCCAGTCGTGGCAGTAAAAAAATTATAAACAGTCTCTCAAGTCTACTCTGCCGGTGATACTCTCGGAGAAGTCACCGGGAACAGTGGAAGAAGCTGCGGCTCCGATTCTCTCGGAGTAGAAATCGGAGACTGGTGAAGGTAATAACCCTTGTCGGCGATGGCTCTCTCTTCCTCAGATAATGGCGACAACCTGTCAAAAGGGTCGCCGTCGTTTCCGCTGTTTCCCTGCTTTAACGGCGTCACGGGACTGTTAAGTGCAAGCTTGGGGAAATCAAGACAGCTAGGCGACAAAATCTCCTGATTCCTCGGCGAGAATCTCGGACTCCCGGCGCCACCACCGATCATGAGACTGTTCTTGATGAGGTTGTTGTTGAACCCGCCGTGTGATCTCCTCTCGTAAAGCTTGTTACCGGAATGTTTCTTCGGCTGTGCGGTTTTGATCGGTGGAATCACGAAATTACCTTTGCCGGAAGGAGTCGTCGGAGGACGTGGCGAGTCCGGAGATCTCGGGGAAGAGCTTCCCGTGAGCATCTGTACGACTTGTTTGAAAGAAGAAGTGTCTGCTTGAACAAAAGTTGTTGGATAATGATCAGATCTAGTTATGATGTGATGATGTAAAGAAGATGAAGCTGATGATGATGAAGAAGATGGTGGGTTTGTTGAAATCTCCATTGATGTTTTTTTTTTATAAAAAAAATCCTTCGGGGAAGCTTCTTGATTTTTTTTCTTTTAATCGTATCCTCTAAAACTCCATTAAAGAAACTCTCTGCTCTTTTATGGTTCTTTCTCTTGTCACTTAGGAAAATTATGTGTGGAGTATTGAGTGAAAGAGAAGGAAGAAGGTGATGAAAATTAAAATGGAGGTCTTCTCTTAAGGTTTTGGGATTATAAAAGAAGTTGGATTGGTTATTTTATTTAATCTGGAATCTTTCTTTGTGAAAAGAAAATATAGAACTACTAATTAAAAAAAAAATATATATATATAGAGACAAATAAAAAGTTGACATGAGGATTTGTGCCCAGGGAATCAAAAAATGTTTTTATTAGGCAATTTTTTAATTTCTTTACTTTGAATTTGTCTGCCATAGTGTACAAAGGAAGAAATTGCTAATGCAACTTTGTCTTTATTAGGCTCTATAATGATAATGTATTGAATTCTATAAAATTTTCACACTATTCAGAGAATGCTTATGCATAACTTATCAATCAACAAATTATATTTGATACTTTAGTTTTTTTTTTAATTACAACACAATTGCTTTTTCTTCTTTTCTCTCAAAAAAATAAATTAATCAAAAGTCATATCTTTATGAGTTTATGTGCATGCATACACCTATACATATCTAGTATATATATTTATCGTATCTCGGTCTCCCATAGCTTTTTCATATCCATGAAATGTTCGAAGTACCAATCAAACTCGAACACATGGCTATATTGTGTTTATATATTATGCGTGTGACATCGACGTATCAAATTTGCATTTGTGATGATAAAAGTAAAAGAAAGAAACTTCGAATTCTTTGGCTTAGTGGATTATATATGTGCGTTATTAGACACTTTTTCAAAACACAAAAACAACGATAGATAAAACCCACGATCCAATCCTCTATATAAAGTACAAACTTCCATAACTTAAAAATCAGAAGAAAAACTTTGCTATAAAACTAGATAAATAATAATGAATTAGTTCGAAATTTGAATACGAAATAATGCCAACTACGTGTATACACATACATACACATACATATATATATACAGTACAATTATTTGGATTAGATTTATTTCTGTCGTTATGACTCGTTCAAATAGAAGAAGAAGACTTTGGTTAAACAAATATAGAGAAGTTTTCTTAAATATGATTTCTATTAGAATAAGTCTAGTCAATATATCTTTCCTAAAACTAACAAAAATCTTTGTTGAACAAGTTACAATTTAGACTGGTTTTTAAAAGAAATGTTTGAGAAAACTAGAAAAAAAAAAGGAAAGATGCGATAGGCGTGCATGTATTGAGCCGCAAACCCTAATGATGAGATTTTTTAAAAATTAAAAGTCGTCTGACTAATGAGACACATGTAGGCCTAGTATTGGTTATTTAGTTTGATTGCTCCTAGTTGAACGGGCAAATACTCCTACTGTATATCATCAGTATATTTTAGTCTACTTCTCTACTAGGCAACTCTAATTAACTTCGTATTGGCCGGTCCAATTATCTATAAGATTAAACAAATTATTCTATGTTATGTCCACAAGAACAACCATCCTAAATGTCATGTTTGGTTGGTTACACTTTAATTCGTAGAAGTACAGATGTTGCGATATATAGACTAATAGTTTGATAAGTCCAAATATTTTCGTTCCTAAAAAAAACACCGTTTCTTTTCTTTTTCTACATAGTTAAAATAATTACGTTGCTTAATCATAAAAATTTCTGCTTAAATAAAATACAACGGGTAGTGATCTAGTTATGTATTATTTGGAGTTCAGCGGATTGCCGATGGCATAAGAGAAAAGTTTGGGATCATATTGATATGCAATTCTTGATTAGGCAAAAAACAACATATTTATTTTGTATCGTAGTTGTGATTGAAAGTCAATCGCATTAATAAGAAGGTGAGGCAAAGACTATTATTAATAAGTATTATCACTCTCTATGAATGCGAGATATTGTAGATGATAAAATATAAAAGAAGAGGATGAATCTTCTTCACCGCCTAACCCATAGTTTTATTCTTTTGTTAATCGCCCCTAACCCCATTAGTTGGTTTCCCACTTTGTTTCTTTTTTGGGGGGTTATTAATGTGCTTAAGAATATATTCGTACTACTTCAAATGTATATGATTAACTATTAAATAACCTTTCACCCACCATTAACTGAGAAAGAAATTAAAAGAGAAAATTCAAACTTTTTAAGGTAAGCTAACGATGCTTATATTAGTGGCTAACAAATGCTTTCTGGTCATTATCATTAAGTAGTTAGATTCTGTTAACTTCAATGTAGTTTTTTTTTTTAGTTAGGTTAAGTTATCATCACATTTCATTCAACCTAAATGTTCCCATTCTACCTAAATTCTTTCTCCAAACGAATGATAGAAAGGGCTTGACTATCTATAATACAAATCATTATAATCGTTCTTTTGTAATAGATATTTCATGATGATGATATATTTTTCATCGCTCAGTGCAAGATCGCAACACATGTGTCGCCCACCAGCTATTTTAATCCGATCTAAAACATCAAAAATAGAAAACAATCGACAAACTGATTTATTTTGTTTCCACAAGAAAAGACTAGTTAACGACAATGTAATGAAACAGAGAAGCCCCATGAGAACGTGTTAAGAAAACCCTAATTCACAGTCGACTTTTTACACGCGAGCTGCCTAGATTCGTTGCTTTAAAAAGTTCAAATATTAAACAAACGAAAAGAAAATCAAGAGTCTTGCATCGTCTACTCAAACATTAATTATTAAGTACATACGATTATGAGCTTTGTTGTAGATTATACAAGCTTGGTAAAACTGATCACGCAAAATCGCTTCCGGGCCTATTAGGCCAGATCTGGCCCATTAGGATATTTTCGGAACCCGCTAATTGATAAGCTTTTCATAAGTCTATTTTACCCACATGAATTATCTCAAATTACTTGAAAGCTAGTAGCTGCCTAGTACTAATTATTAGTTGCATATTAAACTACATATTATGATCTTGACCTTTCAGACAACATGAAGCATTGAATTTGAAGCTGTAGCATATAGGCTTATAAAGATGTCATCTGCGTAACTTAACTGTCTGTCTGTCTTTAATAACACGAAAAAATTGTATCCACTTTTAAGAAATTTACAAGTGTTCAATGGAATTTTCACTTCCACCGAATCGTTACTTCAGAGGTTAACGGTAAACCGTAAACGTTGGTCTATAGTTAACGTGAAACTCCAAGTAAAGTATCGAGTTTGTGCGGTGGCGAGATGCGACTGTCACAAACATTGGAAGTAAGAAGTGTAAAGGACACGTTGAGGGGAAACATTAGAGTGTTCTACTTCTAAGTCGGGTTTAGCAAGTAACCGTGACGGACATGTGACCTCTTTACGCGTTTCGTGGCACATCCACCGTCCCCACACGTGCGAGGTTTGCATAGGTTTTGGTGTAATACAACTCATGAACTGCATGACTTCCTTCAAGTTCTCACTTCTCAGCATAACAGTAAATTGTCTTATGATTGTCTAAAAGTGCATGGAAAAAGAAATTAAATATTATATCTAAAGAAACTATAAGATACTATAACTTGGAACAAAATGTAAAATTTTTGGTTTTAGACTTTTAGTAGGAGGGTGGAGTTGATTTCGTGACCAAAACTTCCCATCAAAAATACTTATCTCAAAAAAGCTGTCGACACTATTGGTTAACGAACACATTTTATGCCAAAGTAATGCGATAATTTAGACCAGGCCATGCTTCAATCAGAAGGCTAAAGACACATTTTCCAACTAATGAACTTATTGGCATGTTATGCAATAATACTTTTGTTATTTATTTTTGTAGGAAGAAATATTTAAGGAAACATTAGTTACGTACCAATCATCATAACTCAAATGTACGTATGCTAAAACATACAATTAACCATCTAAACTTCAAAAACAAGATCAACAAATCGTTATATCATTTTTTAACAGAGACAACTGATATGAGATGATGTATAGTAAAGATGTGTAACAAACAAAAAATTTAATGTAACTTTTTGCTCAATATGAAAACTAGAAAGATGTAATGATCATGATAGTAATTAACAAAAATATTCTTGTAAGTAAGGTTTTGCAGTGAATAATTCCCTTTTTTCCCTTCCGTTACAAAGACAGCAATCAATTGCTTTGCCTAATTTTAAGGAATACAAATAAATAATATAGCCTAAAAAATAGATTATTAATCTTCTTATGACAATATATATACTCCTAACGACATCTTCCCTTATGTTTCACCTTATGTTTCACTCTTCCTTTTGCTTCTTTTGTGTTCCAAATCCAATCTATCTTGGTCTACTCTTTACCTTAGCCAAATGGTCATTAAGAAGATTCCTTGTACATTCATTAAACTCATTCTCCTCATCTCCCCAATCCTCTATTTCCTTGTATTGGCAGCGTCTATTCATCCTTATTCGGTTTTTGCCGAAGAAGCTACCAATGTAGAAGACCCAGAGTTCTACATTCTTGATGAAACTCCTAGAATACTTTCGAATGTAACGATATCATCCAAAACACGACTACTAGTTTGCCATTACAAAAAGATCAGAAAAGGGATGAGATGTCATGTCGCAGGTTACAACATTTGCGACGGCGTAAAGGCTGACAAGGGGACGAGTTTGTTGTATTGTTGCAAGAAGCATTGTCGGAATATCTTGGGAGATATGAACAATTGTGGACGGTGCGGTCACAAATGCAGATTCGGACAACGATGTTGCGGAGGCATCTGCACCTATGTCGGCTTTAACCCCAAGCATTGTGGTAAATGCAACAATAAGTGTAAATCCGGGGTTAAATGCGAGTATGGATATTGTGGGTACGCTTGATTTTTAGTATGAAGAAATGTTAAAGGGGTTAAGGGGTGGTGTATTTCTATAGAAGCTTATAAGTAGAGAGATCATCGCATACAAGATTTCTATTCATTATTTTCTGTAGATGTTATTTTATCAATAGCTTCTATATATCCGCGATATTCACTAAACGAAAACGCATGAGAGCAACTAAACCTTCTTCTGCATTTTATCTCGTGAAGTATGTTTTATTTTCCTACTGCTTCAATTTGGATCGATATCAATTATGTCTAGATGCACTGCATTTTACAATAATCAGATTCTTAAATGAAAAGTAACTAGACTAGTGCACCTATGTTTGGAAATTCTTCTAAAGATGGTTGTTATTCTGAAGATAATATCATAAAAAATTAGTGACAGAGGACGCATACAAACGATCCAAGTAATTCACCATTCACCATTCAACATAACCTTATATGTCTCTCTCCCTTTGCTCAAATTGTTGCCTTGTTCATCTTTGATTGATAGAACGTGGTTAGCTTCTTCTCTGCTTTATTTTGCATGAAAAAATGAGTGTTCTTATCCCCTGCTTGAAGTCAGTGAACTTTGATCTTTGCCAGTATTCTTCTTCAAAACAACATATGTAGGGTAACTTAAGCTTCTGCTTTAAAGCACCAATGTACCAATAGTTCAGCTCAGGGAATTCATAACCTTTAAGAAATAGTTTTTGGCGTTTTAGAGTCTGCTTGGAAGTATTGTGAATATTGTGAAGCGTTTAGTGTGCTAATTGCTAAACCTTTTCTGCATTTAGTAAAGCAGTAGACAATGTTCCCATGCTTACTTCTGAGTAGTCTTTATTCCATTCTAATTTAATAACCCTTTTTTACTTGTTGATTATGGGGCCATCTGTTATCATATTTGAATGGCTCTAAACCTGTCAGATTCTTATAAACTCGAACTCAAGAACAACAATGATATTCAATTAGAAAATGATTTCAGAACTACAGTGATTATAATTGACAAAACCAAATAAAAATCATCACTCAATTTGAAGAACAACAACGGCGATCAACATAGATCACCCTCAAGCACATCGCTCAAGATACATTCATCAAACTAAGCGTACTCACTCTCGACACTCATCTCTCTTATTTATACTCTCTTATTTATACTCCCATATTGCAACTGCAGACCTTCTAATCGCAACAAAGGCTTCTCTTCAAAACACCATCTCAATGTTCACGTCATTGGCCACTACACCAACTGTATCAAAACCCTTCCATCTACTATGCGTTGTAGTTCCAACCAGTTCAACACTTTGACATGAGCTCGTGGGAACAAATCTTTCCAGTCTGTCCGTTGTAGTCATAGTTTTCTTTCCTTGGTATGTGGCAGTGCAGTCCTGCTTTGAATCAAGTCATGTTCCTCCATACATTTTCTTTCACATATGTTAAAACAAAAGTTGGTAGCACCTTCTGTTTCATACAAATCAAATTAGTTGATAAGATTATTAAAGCGTAGCTGCACCTGCTGTTCCTAAAAAGATAGCAAAACCCCTGTCGTGTCGAGATAGAAGAATCTCAAAATGGCGATAGCATATCTTAACAACATAACACTAGTGTTATTTTTAGTTTCAGTAGAAGGCGTCCTTATGATCTCCTGACGAATTGTCCCATTCCACTACATTACAGAAACAATACATCACTTTGATAATGAATCAGTATCAGCAATAGGCCCAATATATCTTATGGGCCGGGCCTGATGTAGCACAATTGGCTCAGCCATATATATATAAAAAACAAAAGAGAAGCTGAAGTAGGGATGTCTTGTTAGAATTGAACCCTAAACACTCTTCTGAACGAACTCTCAAGTGGCAAAGAGAAACAATATTTGTGAGACTCATGACAATTGGATTCTCTTCCCTCTCTTCTTGGGGATTATTCATCGTCTTTAATAAGTCTTAACATCTTGGGCAACTTAATTAACTTCTTACATACGGTTTATAATTGGGCTTTAAAACCAAAACGAGGCCCAAATATAAGCGGTATTATAGAGAAAATGTTTTTGATAGATTTAGGGTTTTAAATAAAAAAAAAAAAAAAAAAAGGTTTCCCTTCTGTTTTATAATCTTTCTGATCGAAAAGAAAACCATTGATTTATAGAGAGCACAATCACTTTCCTTTTTTTTTTAATCTTTCTGAAAAGAGAACTCGGAAGATCGATATCGATCCAGAGATGGTGAACGAGTCGTCGTCTTCCCCTGGTAGTAGTAACTGCACTCATTTGTTTGTTCGTCACGGAATCTGCTTCGCCTGCAAAGCGAAGGTGAGCTGTGTCCAAGGCCGACCATTCGGTTATCTCTTCTCCGGTTTACATCTGAGCCACGAAGCTGTATCTTTTACAAAGCATCTCACAACCCTAATCTCACTTTACGGACAGAGGAAGCTTCACTTAGTCATTGACTTGGACCACACGCTAATCCACTCCGTTAGGACTTCAAATCTTTCTAAAGCAGAGAAGTATCTAATCAAAGAGGAGAAATCAGGTTCAAGGAAAGACCTGCGGACATATAAAGATAGATTAGTTAAGTTTCGACCTTTTGTAAAAGAGTTCCTTACAGAAGCCAACAAGCTTTTTACCATGTTTGCTTACACAAGAGGCGGTTCCACTTATGGTCACGCTATTGTGAGGATGATTGATCCAAACAAAACCTATTTCGGGGATCGAGTGATCACTAGAAAAGAGTCTTCTGGCACCAAGACACTTGATCTTGTCTTAGCTGATGAACGTGGAGTCGTGATTGTGGATGATACGCTAGATGCTTGGCCTCATCATAAGAGAAACTTGTTGGAGATCACAAGATACTTGTATTTCAGAAACGATAAGAGATTCAAGAGGCCAGGATTATCTTACGCCGAGAGGAAGAGTGACGAGGGTAGAAGCGAAAGAGCATTGGTGTATCTTCTGAAATTTCTCAAGCAAGTTCACAATGGATTCTTTACCTGTGGGCTTGAAGATGAGTTGGATTTTAAGGACGTTAGGTGCTTGATAAAGGGTCCCCTTAAACCACATAGATGCTAAATTTCTTTGAACATGTTTACTAATTGAATAAAGTTATGAATGTGGATCATACCATCCTGTAGAAGCTATGGTTTAGATTCTGCAATATGTAACGAGATACAGAAAATGGAAGAAGCTTGATTTTATCTGCAATCTCTTAGGATATATGTAATTAGTCAAGCAGCTTGACTGTAACTATCAAGTGGATTCAATCCACAATGTTCACATAAAATCTCTATGGACTTTCATACTCACAATTAGGCTGTTTTTCTTTTTCTTTTTCAGACAGCTCTTGAAAGAGACAGGAACATTAATTAATATCTAAAGGCTATGAAACTACTATAAATAAACTAAGCGCTAACTTTGAAAGTCCAGAAGCAGCTCTTCCTTCACTCACTTTTATCTCTCCAATTAGGCAATGTCAAACCTTTTAATGTCTCTTCCCTTTCACAGTTTTACCGTAGAAGTAAAACCACGAGAAAGAGTGCGCAAGCAAGTGCAGCAGAAGAAAGTCCCCAGACCCAATATTTATGAGCCCTTCTACGGTTCAGGATGGCCTTAGGCAGAGCTTCGGTTCCTCTTCCGCGGTGTTTGTACCTGAAACTTCTTTGCTTTGGAAACAATGATCTATCCTTTTGGTGTTTCTCTTTCCCTGAAACTGTCACAGTCTTAACCTTTTCCAGCTCATTGATTACTTCTCGTGACTGGTCTGATTCTAAAGGAGAAGAAGAATTTGCAGCAGCTTTCTTCTTTGCCTTCTTCTCACACTCCTGAAAACAAAACAAAGAATTAAGAAACATACATGGAATGGAAGAGTTAATGGATACCTTAAAAAATCAAAATGGGATAATATAATTTACCTTGAGTTTCTTTTCAGCTTCCTTTTGAGCTCTTATGGCAGCTTTCGCAGCAGCTTTTTCTTGCAGCTTCCTCTTCCTTTCCATGGCTAACCGAGCTTTCTCTAACTGCTCTTCTCTCTTCCTCTCCTTCAACGTTTCTTCATCGACCTCTTCTTCTTCCTTCTTCGGTTTCTCATACACGGGGAATTCCAAATCTATAACATCACGCTCCTCAGCACTAGACCTGTTGCTATCTATTTTCTTCATTTCTTTCTTTCGTTTATCTGTAGTTACATTCCCATCTTGAGACGAGTTGGAGTTGGAATCTTCTTTGTTCGCCTTGTGAACCTTCTCGCCTACCACAATAGTCTTACTCAGCACTTGCTTTTCCCGGACAACAAGAACTGCAGGATCTTTAGTCCGGCCATCTCGATTCAGCTCTCTTTCACCGAGTGAAAGTGAGATTCTTTTTACGTAATCATCCCTGAAAGCCTTGTCATTATTCCAATGAGTCATGAACCTATCAACCTATATAAAAAAACAGAATCAAGAACATATGCTCAATCTCAGATAGAGACACCTACGCAATCAATCCTTGGAAAAAGCAAACAAACCTCAGAGCTGGACAACACTTCAAGGTCACTAACATTTCCAGAAGCAGCCAATTCTTTAGCTTTCCTCATAACAGCAAGGCTCTGGAAATAGGCGGCATTCTACAGAGAAAAGAAAAGAGATACATCAGATCTTTGAGATCATCCAAAGGCAAAACTAACAGAAAGACAAATATCGTACCCCTTTGTCTCGTTGTATCCTCAGCATCTTAATCCTTCCATACAACTTGTCCCTCTTCTCAAGTATGTGTGCCATTTCTAAATCCAAAATCCTGATATTGTTCTGGCTCTTTCCCATCTTGTCAGCCAACTGGTTAATCTTCCATGTAATGGCATCGAGCTCCTTCTTTACTTCATTCAGTTCCACAGCCATTGACTATACGATGCAAAAACCAAACCCTCACATCATCAGATTCAACAGTGTTTTAAGTAAAATACCACAAAGAGTTGACCTTTGGTTAGAGGCTTTACCTTGACACGGTTTACGGAAACTTCTTTCAGCGCAAGAGAATCCTCACTTAGAATTATCCCATCAGGCTTCTCAACATCCTTAAGCATCCAATCTTCATCTTCCAAACCAACGCTACCATGTTCAATCTGATAATGAGCTATGTAAATCTGCATCCACCACATTAATCACTTGTACAAATCAGAAAACTATAAACAGAATGCTTCGCTATGATCAGATCGTTAGGTCCCTTACAAGATGATCGAGCTCCTCCTTTGTAAAGCAAAGCTGATCGCTATTGGAGCACCGGAACTTCCGTAGAGTTTCCTGTAGAGTATCAAATTCCCTCTTCTTCTCTTCAAAAACCAATCTATAGCCTTCCGACTTAGGACCCAAACCCTCCATTTGAGCAACTGAGTCGGAATCTCAGCCTATAACAAAACCCAAAAATCAACATTCAGAAACGTATTAATCATCACACACACACACACGAAAAAAAAAACAAAAAAAAGGCTCACCCTTTCGAATTTTTGTGCATTGGAGACATCAATTCGGAGCTTATTACAGCGATAAATCTCTTGATCAGCTTCATCGATCTTAGCTTTGATCTCGGGATCATCATAAACCGGATGCTTAACAAAGTAGAAAGAGAAAGCCCACTCTCCAGCTGCAACTCCCGGTGAACTATCGCCGGAAAAAACATTGCCGTCTTCTTCGGTGGTGACAGTTGATACATCGCAATATGAGACAGAATGGTCGCTTCCGAAGAGAGACAAATCGTTCATTTCCGGCGGAGGAACCACCTCGAAGCCGTCACAGAGTACAATCTGCGCACCCATTTTGATACCTTTGCCCTTTTATAACAAGAACAGAGGAAAATAATCACTGTAAGAAGTGTGACATTGTCAAAACTGAAATCGAGACGAAGCTTTAAAAAGGATCTGTCAGAGAAATGTGAAATAAAAGTTTTCAAAAAAGAAGCAAACAAAAAGCGCAAAGAAATAAAGAAGATTTGAGAACATACGAGAATTCAGACAAAACAAGAACAGAGGATAAGTGTACTCCAATCAACAACAAAGATATGTCCTTTAAATCAAAAAAGCCGATTTTTTTTTTTTGTAGACGACGAAAATAAAAGAAAAAAAAAACGCAGAATCGTGGAAACAGGATTTAAGAGTTTTAATTTTAAGACAAAAATCGACCTTCTAAGCTTTGACCGAAGAAAAAGTAAATTGGGAATTTTACCTAGAAAGAAGAAATGAGTGTCACCCACAGAGATTCTCCCAAAAATCTCAGGGTTTTGAGCTGAAGAGGAAAATTTTAATCTGATTGCTTTGAAAAAAAAAAAAAAAAAATATGAAATCTAAAGAAATAGAAAAAAATCGAGTCTTTTAAAAGGTCTAAGTTGAGAGAGAGAGAGAGAGAGAGAGAGAGAGAGAGAGAGAGAGT